TCAAATGTGAATTTTTGTTTTTTAAATTGAATTTAGTAACTTAAAATTTTCTCCCCTAAAGGAAACCCTCTCAGTGTGAGACCTACCACCCCTAATATTTCAAATTAAAAGTGACACCTCACTTGAAAGACATTTTCAATCTCCATTTGGAACACTATAATTCCACGATTAAGAAAATTTATTTTTTTTAATTGCCTAATTACACACTCACTGTTAACATCACAAAAGATGTTTATAAAATTTCGGTTTTTGAGGATAATCGAAGGGAATGTTTGCACAACAATATCGTAATCTCCTATCAGCAAATTCGCGTGGAGACAATTTAATCTCTTCTTTTCTTGTGTACCCGAAGAAAGGACCACGCTCGAGTGCGTCTTATCTCTAAAAATTCGGCGATATTTCGAAAAATAAAGATGACACATGTTTATCTTGCGCACACAAAGCGATCGGTAACATAATATTTTGTGCAATATTTTTCGGGGATGTATTATCGAAGGACCCCCTCAGATTACGCGATATGTTTGTGTAGGCATTAGGTTATGTTTATGTATATTTTTTTGTACCTTTTGCTCAGTTATGCGCGAGGAATTGGATTTTCTATACGCGAGGTAAAATTTCGCTTCCTAAACATGTTATAATTTTTTTTCTACACTCGACATGTCCAGACTCGTCGATATTACTTTCGAGTGAACTCGAAAAATGGGTGTGTGCGGAATAAAGAAGTGCCTTTTGTCAACATTGAAAATCGAAAAAATATACCTACTATTGATCTCGACGTCTCGACAAAACTATTGTGCAACCACCTAGGCTAAATCTAAATACTTGTCTCAACAAGTTTGAGCTCAGGTTACGTTCTATACGTTCTAAAATGGGTAATAGGAAAATTGTCAATCAATCAGCTAGTCAGTTAGTAATCACTGCAGAATTATACATGTGTACAGATAAGTAGATACTAAAAAACTGGATATTTGTTTAACTTATTAATGAAGAAAGGAAAGATAACCCACCCATTAATTATTTATGCATTAAGTCAGTTATAGTAACTTTTTGCAGAATTATTTATACATGTGTGATAGATAAGTAGGTAGTAAAAAAATTAGATATTTCTTTAAGTTATTTATGAATAAAGGAAAGGTAACCCACCCATGATTTATACGTATAATCCGAGCACTTACATCCGAAAAACCGAAAATCCCCGTAAAACGGATCAATCGAAGCGTGAATTTGCGAATACAACAATAACGATTCGAACGGACTATTAAGAATCGCTTTTTTCCCGAAGGCATTCCGGCCCGTTTCTGCACAAAAACCGGCGTTACATATTATATTATTATAAAGAAATAATTTCTTCACGACTAGATGGTTAGCAATGCGAGAATACAAACCCCCGAATATATCTATTCAAAGCGATTCGGGAAAAGGACAGGCCAATGTTTGGTTAGCTGCAGCGGCTCCACAATGCACAATAATATGTCCCTTTCGCTTCTTTTCGAATAAATAAAAAGACGTAGAAAACGCATCCGAAGATCAGATCGTCCGATAAGATCCGGGTATTTTTTTCCTCTACTCTTCTTCATCTCGTTATCTGCGATCTGAATCTCCGATCAGCAGATGTTGCGCAGATATCTCAGATTCGATGTCGCAGATAAGATTTTTCCCGTTCTTTCCGATAGATAACGAGCTGTTAGGGGACCAACAAAAGGGCCTCTTTTGCGACAGGATTTTCTCCTCTTTCTCGCTATCTTAATTACTTGTACTGATAAAATTATCGGCGTGTCGCCGGAGTTAATTTCACCGGAGATAATCATCGCTTATCTTTCACTCGCTTCGTGGCTGATGAATTGAGTAATATATCAACCCTTACGTGTCAGGAATTATAAAAATTTGTAAGGTAGAAATCGACTTTTTTTTTAACCATTCATCCTACCTTTAATAATATGTTTTTAAATTTGGTTTACAACAGTTTGAAGGTATAAAAGAATGCACTATAACATATGTGTTTTTATTTTTACAGAGGAATCCTCCGGCGATTGTAACTTGACACTTTCGTGGGCTTTATGGGCGGCATAACCGTAGGAATTTGGCCATTTTTCGGTTTATAGAAAACAGCCCGAAAACCACTCGGGCGAACGGGAAGCTTTTGCTCTTTCAATGGCGAACATTATTCTAACAAATCCGTTAGATTCGCATGCTTACTAGCGTTTTAAACGGACTTCCTGCTTGCGAATATTCGCCCTTTGTTAACGCTAAATTGCATTGTACAAAAAAAATCTGATAAGCACAAGAATCATTTGAATATCAATACAATACAAATTTAACGTATTGATATTATCGTTCGAAATTTCTAATTGTGTATTTTACCCCTTACTCAAATTCAATTACTTCAATTCGACTGAGTATGCCTACTTTAAAACATTTAATTTAATTTCTACAAACTAGAGGGTTGAGAGTGGAATAGATTAGTGTAAGGAATTTCGGTATTAGTGGAAATTTCTAACAGTTTACTCGATAATTATTTCGACCACACATCTTTTTCCGGTTGCAGGGCGATCTGAAGGGCCCGTCGAGGCGCCAGCGCGTCCTTTTAGCAATGGAAAATATCAAATAAACCAGACTCATCTGAATGGCAGATGAGCGTTGAAATATCCGAGTGCTCCCGAATGCCTAATAGGATTAATTAGAAGGCGTCTGAGAGGCTTTCTCTGTAGTTTGTCGCTCATTATCGGCTGGGAAGCCGGAGCACACGTGCGTTTTTGCACAAACATTTCAATGCCTTGATAAACAAGGTATAAGGATAATCTAATTGATCCGCTCGAGCGCGTTAAGAGAAGAATGGCCGGGGAGCCGTAAAAACGTCAAATAGTCGAGGAATCTTTACGAAATGCCCAGAGAGAAATCACTTTGAATTAGCCTTTGTAGCAATCGTTACGTGTTTATACAGCCATCTGGGTGATTTTTCTATTGTCGCTCGACTAACTGCCTTCGTGTTTGTATTTATTCGAAATATTGTTGTCACCGTGGGCCTCTTTATTTTCGACAGGTCATTGTTTGATTTCGAACTTGTACGGGAGAGTATGCACACAAGCTCTGCGGGTGATTTGTGCAGGAGTGTGTTTTCCTAGGATGTTCTAGGAACGATAATTGCGATTAGGGTGGTCTGGATAGTTGCGAATTCGAAATAAGGGGATATTAGTTTTCTATCTATTGTAATATCGTAATTTGTGTACTGCTCATTCCAAACCAATATACATTCTCTCTATTATTTTTTTCTATAAGTTAATGCCTTTTATCTCAATTTTTACTTCTTTTAAAACAAATTGTTTTCTCTCTACTTTTGCTTCCGTTCAATTTGTTTTTTCTCCCTTCCTTTACTGCTTTTAAATCAAATTATTTTCTCTCTACTTTTTGATTCCTTTCAATTTAGTCTTTTTTCCCTATTTTTACTGCTTTTAAATCAAATTATTGTTATTCCCATACTTATATTCTTATAAATTAAACAGTTTTCTCTCCACTTTTACTTTTTTTAAATCAAATTCTCTACCTTTCCTCCTACTTTTATTCCTGTATATTTAAAGTGTTTTCTCCCTAGTTTAATTTCCTTGGGATGTTTTAGGAACTATAATTGCGATTAGGGTGGTCTGGATAGTTGCGAATTCGAAATAAGGGGATATTAGATAGTTTTCTAGCGCTATTTTGTGGTGATTAAAGTTCGTTCGGGGCAATGTTTTTATTATAATGGGCCGGTATTTCGGCCCTTCATCGTCGATGAGATGATGTGAAAAAGGCAATTTGAACACGTGCAAAAGGCTCAGGTATAATTCCTCTACACCACGAGAAAATGATAATGATTGAAACTGATTTTTTTCCGATAATTATTCCTGCCTGTTACTTTGTGACCCTGATTGAGAGATATTTTTTCACGTTACAAATAGGCGCGTAAATTAAGGAAGAAATAAATAAAAACACCCAATTATGTGCGGGTATAAATTGGCCCCGGAACACATTAATATCTAACGAGTCGAATGCCAAATTTGAAAACGCGTATCCGCTGTGGATTTTTCTGAAAAATATCTTTCGAAAAGCGATAAAAACGCCGAGCCGTTTCGTTTCATTTATCATTTTCAACATTTGACACGTGTTTACGAAACAACATGTGTCCCGGAGCCAGAATTTTCGATATTTAATACTTTTTTTTTTCATAGTGATATACCGACCGTACTCGCAACGGCCGGATTCAGGGGAAAATTCTGTTGAAAAAATTAAGAAAAATATTAAATTTAAAAAAAAATTCTTTGTTGTAATTGGCATCCTAAAACTATTTTATAACTATTATTTTTTAACCATTAGACTTAGACAGTTTCACTCTTTTTTATAACTTTTTTAAGTTTTACTTTTATTATTTTTTTCCTACATTATACTTTTGAGTTTCGGAACAATCTAAACATACATACAAATATTTATTCTTAATTGTTATGGATTTTTGGATTCTTTTGTGTAATTAACACATTGAAAATCATCAATAAAAACCTTGTTAGTAAAGTTATAACAAAATTAAAATAAATATTAAAATTAGGGTTATTACGGACCTGTCTCGTTGAAAAAATCTCCCGACTCTACAAGTGGCCGTACGGCAAAGTAATCCGATACCGTGGAATGCGAACTTCCAAAAACGAAAAAACCAAAAAGGGCCATAATTGACAGTAAAAAGGGCTCCTTTCAGAGACTCTTAAGGGTAAATATTTGTGGATGTAGCCCATGTGGTAAACATTAGTAAATACATATGGCTTTTCTATTGGGATAAGTAGGTCCAAATAGGGCGGTTAAGGGCGGGTTTTTTCCTTTCTTCGGAGGGATGAAACCGAGCTATTTGTTAATTATTATCCGCCGAAGAGAACGCCAAACGAATTCCCTCTTTATCAACGCCGAATTTCATCACTAAACACCAACAATTGACAACCCTTCAACCCTTCAAAAAACTCGCAATTACACTACGTTTGAAGTAAACATCAAAATTGAAACGCCACAATTTATATACAAAAAATACAATGGTATTTGCGGCGTTCGCAATCGTAGGACTGGTCCTGTTCGCCTCCTACGCGGCGCTGAAGAAGCTCCACGAGCGCCTCAAATCGCGGGTTTTCCGCGATTTCCTCCGGGAATTGTACGCCAGCGAAGCCAGAGATAAGGCGCAAGGCGAATGCCGACCCTTCGAGGCGCTAAATCCGGAGATAATTCAGCTGATTAAGGGCGAGCGCGATAACGATTCGACTTATAGCGATTTGAGAAAGGCCAACAGTTGCGTGGAGCTGCCGAGAATCGCCTTGATAAGGCGAGGAGTCAGCGATTTGTGAGGCATTAAAGCTTGTTATTTATTAGGGATTTAAATAAATTGTATTTTACGTTTATTATTACTAATTTTTGTACCAATGTATATTCTCTCTATTTTTTTATTTCTATTAGTTAATGCCTTTTATCTCAATTTTTACTTCTTTTAAAACAAATTGTTTTCTCTCTACCTTTGCTCGCTTTAAATTAAAATGTTTTCTCTCTACTTTTGCTGATGTTCAATTTGTCTTTTCTCTCTACTTTTACCGCTTCTAAATCAAATTATTATTTTCCCCATTCATTTATTCTAATAAATTAACTTGTTTTCAATCCACTTTTAATTCTTTTTAATCAAATTATTTTCTCTCTGCTTTTGCTCCTGTATAGTCTTTTCTCCCTACTTTTACTGCATTTAAATCAAATTGTTGTTATTCCCATACTTATGTTCTTATAAATTAAACTGTTTTCTCTCCACTTTTACATTTTTTTTAATTACATTGTGTTCTCTCTACTTATTCCCTCTACTTTTATTCTTGTATATTTAAAGTGTTTTCTCCCTAGTTTAATTTCCATTATTGCTTTAATTCGACCTTATTCTAGTGAAATCAAAAGTCCCACCTGTGAAACACCCTGTATGCGTACGCGCCCTCCCTATCATTACACAGACATTAAGTGACTTCCAGTGTTGGAATGCACCTCTCGCTTTAAATTTTAATGGTCCACGTTTTTATGTGTATATATATATTTTTTTTATTTCGGTGTGGTGTTTTTTTTTTCTCGAGGCGTCTTTCTTTGGTTCGGTTTAGGTGAGGCTTCCAGGGACGCGAGAACCTGTTTCCCTTTGTCTCCTGTGCACGTGCAGCATCTTCTTTAATTACCGTACGCCGTGAGGTCCTTTTTTTGTACGGGCGATAATATCGGCTTTAGATTGAAGAGACGGTTTTTTAGTGGGTTTTTTTTATATCTCGATAAATAAGAACGTCGACCTGTGTAATATCTTGACGATTATTACATAATGAAATTCGGTAATTTTTTTCGGTGATTATGAAAGATAATATATTTTTCTTGAAATCGTTAATTTTGTAGGTAAAAAGAGGTGTATTTTGTCGTGCTATTGTACATTTCTCGCTTGCTTTGGGTGGAGATTAAGTGTGTATCCTTATGAAGGGGGATGAAATAAATGATTATCCCGAATATCCGCCGCATTTCTTTGGATATTCGATACTCTAAAATCGATTAAATTCGAAATGTACTACAACATTTGTCGGTTTGTTTACACAATACAAGGTCTATTGTGTTACCACCCCCTTTGATTCTATTGATTGGTATGCGATGAAGTATTAAATGGGAAGAAATGGGAAGAAATGGGAAGAAATGGGAAGAAATGGGAAGAAATGGGAAGAAATGGGAAGAAATGGGAAGAAATGGGAAGAAATGGGAAGAAATGGGAAGAAATGGGAAGAAATGGGAAGAAATGGGAAGAAATGGGAAGAAATGGGAAGAAATGGGAAGAAATGGGAAGAAATGGGAAGAAATGGGAAGAAATGGGAAGAAATGGGAAGAAATGGGAAGAAATGGGAAGAAAAGGATAGAAATGGGATGAAATGGGAAAAATGGGAAAAATGGGAAAAATGGGAAAAATGGGAAAAATGGGAAAAATGGGAAAAATGGGAAAAATGGGAAAAATGGGAAAAATGGGAAAAATGGGAAAAATGGGAAAAATGGGAAAAATGGGAAAAATGGGAAAAATGGGAAAAATGGGAAAAATGGGAAAAATGGGAAAAATGGGAAAAATGGGAAAAATGGGAAAAATGGGAAAAATGGGAAAAATGGGAAAAATGGGAAAAATGGGAAAAATGGGAAAAATGGGAAAAATGGGAAAAATGGGAAAAATGGGAAAAATGGGAAAAATGGGAAAAATGGGAAAAATGGGAAAAATAGTAAAAGTTGAGAAAATAGAAAAAATATATGCAAGAAAATGAAATAGCAAAAATGACCGACCAAAATGTTAAATTCCATTAAAAACGTACGATGGAATTTAACCAGAAAACCTATACAGTCAATAAACAAAACTGACCGCCCCATTATGCACCGACTAGGTAAAAATCGAAACCCTTTTGAATACTCCACGACCCAACCCATTTCGAGTGCAACTCGAACCCGAAGAAGCGTGAACAGAAGAAAGGACGAAACGAAAGGAAAAAAAAAATGGGTTAATGCCTCCCTCGCATCGCATACGCATTAGCAGCAGCGAAATCTTTTAACAAACACCCCTACGTATACCATCTGTCTTCGAAAAATCGTGGGAACGAACTCGGAATCGCGATTCTCACGGCTCCCGACACCCCGATGCACACACACACCACACACGCGCAATCATCCCATCCTGCCGTCTCTGTCCCACTTTCCACTCGCCTCGAATCCACCGAAACACCTGTCCCTACGACGAACGCCCATAGGCCGAGGGTGGAACCCCTCTTAAGGGCCGGCTATAAATACGCCGACGACGATCCACCTTCCACATTCCGCATCCGACACGATGAGTTACCACTACGACTACGACAACTTCCTCAACGAGAAGGGCGAGAGCGCCGTCAAGAAGACGACCTCGCCCGTCCACCACATCAAGAAGCTGCTCGAGCGCGTGCTCAAGAAGACCCACAAGCGCCGCGATTACGCCGACAGGGCGCTCCACAAGCAGGAGATCGCCGATAACGACGCCAACGAGATTTTGGAGAACGAGATCTTCGAGGAGGTGGACCGGTGCGAGGCCGGCGCCGCCGTGACGGTGTTCGAGGACGGCGAGCGGCGGCTGATGGCGGTGAGCCGGGGCCAGCGGTACGTGCCGGTGCGGTTCGCCCGCACCGACGCCGGGACGTTCTTTTGGGCGAGCGCCGCGGCGCCGCCGGACGCCGACGTGTGCCGGTGCGGCGACCGGAACGCGATGACCGCCTGCCAGGCGCCCGAGATGCAGGCGCGCGATAGATGGGCACAAGCTTGATCATCACCGATCCAAACATCACCCAGTGCAGATAGAAGAATGAAGAAGATGAATGATTATAATTAATCGACGTTGTGATTTGATGAGTTGCTCAAATCGACCGGGCGTCGGATCGGTCGAGATAATGTGATATTTTTTTTTTGTATTTATAGAGAATTGTATTTTTTTTTGTGATAACTGCTTTAATGTTTTTTTGTATAAAATCTACGTACGTCTTCCAATCATTGTATAAGGAAATATATTTAATAAAATTTATTGTTTTTTGAAATAATCTTGCGTTTTTTTTTTAAACGAGTTTCTACACGTTTCGACGTGTCAGGTTACCTGAAAGGGTCCTTTTTCGAAAGGACGATTAGGATAGATCGTAGCAGGTAAAAGGTGTGTATAGCGGACCTGCTGAATCACCAACGAGATTCCTATGGATTGCCTTTGGTTGTAAATCAGGGCTTCTAAAAGGAATTTCGATGCGTACAGTTCTCCATAAAATTATCCCAAAATATATAGGTGGGTGTATTTACGATATTCCTCATTTTCATACTGCAGATTTCGATAAAACAGAAAATACTGGGTGGTTCCATTTGAAAAAAATAAGAATTTTGTTTTTTTTTTAAGTTTAATATTGTATAATTTTTGTACACAACCTGTACATAATTAAGGATTAGGTATTTCAACACAGGTTTAAATACCTTTAAACTTGCTAGTAGCCACCCTATAAACACATTTCTCAACTCTTTTATGCTGGTAAAAAATAATTTAAAATGATAAAATTTTGTGAAAAAAAAAATAATAACTCAAAAAATATACATTTTTACCTTGACTCAACCTGTATAAAGAAACTTGTTATTGTCAATTTAATTCCACATTAATTAATAAAATTCCAATTATTATACCTACCGAGATTCCATCATATTTTTACAACACAATGCTGCATTGCATTAGCTTTTAGAAAAAAACAATAAATCAATTCCAATATTTTACTATAATTAATAAACAAATAAAACAATACAATAGATTGTTTGAATGATATAGCGCACAGGTGGCGTTGCAATTACGAATTCAAAGTCGCTTTCAAGCGAGAATCCGAAGCCGAATTAACGGCGCAGAAACGAAGAAGGCTAAGAAGAAGGAGAAGAAGGGAACAAACAATAAAAAAAAACACATAATAAGTACAGGGGGAGGCGGAGATGCGGAGAGACCGTGCCGTGCCGGGCGCGCTCTCGACTCGTTCGCTCGCCTCTCGTCTATTTCGATAAACACGTGTTCCAACTCGTCCGGATCGTGGGAATAAAGGCAGATGTGCTCGTTCTCATTCTCTACCACTGAATCATCACACGACACCATACATAAACATTTTTATCTGTGTATCGTATTCGACACGAATTTTTTTTCCTACGCTCCGCCGAGGATTTCGTCGTCGGTTCGATGAAATTCTAATTTGAAAATCAATTTTTTTTTCACAAAACGGGATTTTATGTTTTTTTAGAAGCTCGACAGATTGTAATTGTGAAATGATTTTCTCCCTACTTTTATTATGTTAAATTAAAGTGTTTTCTCCCTACTTTTGCGCCTTTTAAATTAAAATCTAAATGAAATTAATCTGCAAAAATTTCCAATTATTTTGACATATTTTTACAAAATGGGATTTAATTTTATTTAAATCCCTATTGAAATTAAAAAAAAATACGCACAATTATTTTCTCCCTACTTTTACTATATTAAATCGAAGTGTTTTCTCCCTACTTTTGCACCTTTTAAATTATTAAAATCTTAATAAAATTTAATCTGCAAAAATTTGCAATTATTTTCGGCATTTTTTTACAAACCCGACTTAATTTTTTTTAAATCTCTATTGAAAATAAAAAAAAATTCCACCAGTATTTTCTCCCTACTTTTACTATATTAAATCAAAGTGTTTTATCTCTACTTTTGCACCTTTTAAATTAAAATCTAAATGAAATTAATCTGCAAAAATTTCCAATTATTTTCGCATATTTTTACAAAAAGGGATTTAATTTTTCTTAAAATCTATATTGAAAATAAAAAAAATACGCACAATTATTTTCTCCCTACTTTTACCATATTAAATCAAAGTGTTTTCTCCCTACTTTTGCACCTTTACAATTAATCTCCAAAAATTTCCCAATTATTTTGGCATTTTTTTACAAAAGGGTATTTAAAATTTTATTAAACCTTCTATCGAAATATGCGCAATAATTTTCTTCCTACTTTTGCCCCTTTTAAATTAACATTTAAATAAAACAAATCTCCACAAATTTCAAATAATTTCGGCATGGAAATGTCATCTATAAATAATGACCAGCGATATATGGAAGCGGATTGAAAGCGGTCAGAAAAGGGTGCCCTGCGTCCGTGAAGTACCCGTAGATTATCTCTGTGGGCTCCGTTGAATCGCTTACGAATGGCCCGGGGCGATTCACGTGCACGACCGCAGTTCGGGGTGTAAAAAAAAAGGTCCGTAAAGGACGCTAAGTAAGATGGGCGGCGCACCGCGCGTATTTTTACTCGTCTCTCTATATACCTCTAGACCGGACAGGATGTGAATGATTAGATACGGTCCATCGGACGGGAGGGAAAACAGGTAGAAGACGGGCCGGATTTTTTCTTCTTCTTTTTTTCGTTTTCCGTCCCGATATATCGAACGATTACGCTCAGTTATGTATACGAATGGTTCGTTAAAAAAAAACCTTTTTTTTTAATTCCTAACTGTTGTTAGATAGTCTTTTAAATTTTAAACTACTCGCACGCATTCGTTTGTGTCTATATCACCGGGTTAATTACGAGTGGAATTAAATCCACAGGTCCGCCCGGAATCAACCTGTTATCTCCGCACCCCTCGAAAATTCCGTGACATATTAGTCGGAAAGTTTCCCACGATTTCGAGGGGTTGGGGTGTGTTGTTTGCGCTCCGATGGAGGGCGAGCAGGTGGATAAATGCTCACGTGTAAATACACGCTGATAGGTGCAATTAGGGGTCGACGAATTATTCATTCCTTCAATGTGTTTTCTCCCTACTTTTACACACCTTCATTTTTTAGTGCAGAGTAACATTAAAAATAATGTAGTGAAAATTAGCTTTAAATGAAGTCTTCAAGGAAACGTAGTTTTTTTTTGGCCTCTTACTGTTGCAGTTAACGTATACATCAGTAAAATGTCATTGTTATTCATTACAAATATCATATCAATCAACATCAAAATTCAAGTACAAAACCTTACATTCTACCATTGTAAAATTAATATAAAAAACATGCATTTTACCACGTCAAAAAAAATCAGGAAATAAATCTAAGGAAAATATGGCGGCCTATCGAAAATCGGTGAAACCATTAAATTGCCTATAAAACATTACCGGGTTAATTAATTACATTTTAGATACGACCGGCTTCGTCCAATCGCTACTTCGCTTCGGGAATTGAGAATGGCAATGTTAAGGTAATAAAATAAATACGGAAAGCCGTTAAATAAATTATTCATAAAAATCCATACACAGGTCAATGCTAGTTTTCTGAAAGAAACCAACAATATTCCAAGTTCGAATGCGAACAGATTGAAACCGGTGGGTACAAAGAAACACAGTTAATTCTTTCCCGAGTTTCTCAAACAGATTTTTTTAGGGATTTCGACCGTTCAGGAAAATCCTCAACTACTCCCAACTGACTTTAGATGAGGAAATAAGCCTGACGAAGCCCAAGAAAGAAATCCAACCGATAGCCGAAGCAAAAGAAAACCGAGACAAATCCGTAAAAACATTCCCTCCTCAATAAATTCGACTATAATAATAATATTACAATTTGTAGTTACCGACGAAACAACACGATTATGTAGGCACAAAAAAGCGCAAAGAAGGAAGCGACACCAGTTTAGTAAGTACTTTCCATCTAGTTTTACAATCCCAAAATCTCATTTTTCGCTTTCAGATCCTCAGCACAGGCATGAAGATAATTACGAAGAACAGGAACATCAAAGAAGTGATGCGCCAGGCGAAGATCCTCGACTACAAAATCGGCATATTCAAAGACAACTTCCGCACGTCCCCTTTATTTAAATGGGGCTGCAAGAACCCCTACGAGAAAATCGACCGGGCCTACCGCACCCTGGTCTACATCGAAAAGGAGGAGGAGATCCTCAACAAGAAGATCGACTTCTTCAAGCTGAACAGCCCGCTGAAGGTGATCAACAAGGAGCTGAGGCAGGCCAAGAAGCTGTGGGACCAGATCTACATCGTGCTACCGCAACTGAGCCAATGGAAGAAGATCAACAAGAACTACGGCCTGCTCGAATTGGATTGCAACAAATTCAAGGACGATCTGAAGAAGCTGGACAATTTGAAGGGGTGCGATTGCTACGATCAATTCATGGATTGCATCAGCTACATGCTGATGTGCATCATCACCGTCAGCGAAGTGAAAGACGTCAATTTTAGGAACAGCCTGTGGAAGGAAATGATGGAAAGGGCGAAGGTATTAGAATGATATTCTTGAAATTGTGATGATTTTTAATGATTTTATTTGCAGTTTTAAAATTGCAACTACTAAGAAAAATATTTCATAATTTTGCGGTGTTATGGTTAGATATTTAAAAATTAATTATGTATAAACATTTTTATTAAATTTAGACATATTAAGATGGAATTATTTTTTATTTTGCGTTTGACAATCGCTCGAATCGAAACGTCAATTTACAATTTTGAACGCGAGCCGAATAGAATTTTATTTTGCGATGGCGATGGCGAAGAAACGACTCAACTTCAAATTGGAGGAAATTGAAACTGAACCGAAAATCGAACCTACTTCCGAATCATTCGAATACCCTCCGAAAATCACCTTCGATTACATCAAAAACCGGCACTCACAACGCTTCAGCATACCGGTAAATATAATAATTCAAAAAATAGAAAATATTAGTAATATTTCATTTGCCCAATAAGTCACCGAGGAGCAAATCACCAGAGGCCTTCTCGCCGAGGGAATTCGAACCAGCCACGTTGAAACGCATCCGGCTCTTCGACTACCGCCAGACCCACTTCAAGAAGAAATTCCGCAACTCCTCCCTCTTCAAATGGAACTGCAAGGACCCCTACGCCAAAATCGACCAGTTCTTCCGCACCCTGAAGAAGCTCGAGGACGAGGAGAAGCGCCTGCTGAAGAAGGTCAACCTCGGCGAGCTCCACTTCCCCGAGAGCCTGCCGCTCAAAGTCGTCGGGCGCGAGATCCGCCAGATCAAGGTCCTCTGGGACTTCATCACCATCGTCAAGAACTACCTCTACCAGTTGAAGCGCATCGAATGGGACGACAACGCGCTCGACCAGCTCGAGGAGCAGCTGCTCCACTTCAAGAAGGAGCTGAACGGGCTGAGCGACGTGAAAGGCTGCGACGCCTTCGTGCAGGCGATGTCCAACATCAACCAAGTGGTGAATTGCATTTACACGGTGTCCGATTTGGATAACACGGTGCTCGGTAGCGCCGTTTGGAAGGAGACCGTCATCGGCGAAAAGGTATTAAATAATTGAGTGGTGCTGGATTGATGTGAGTTTTGAAGTCTACCAGCTCCGGGAGTGTTTCGTTTCCACATTAAAGCAATCTAATCGATTCTGGATAGTTCCAGTTCGTTATTAAATCATTCTGGACATTTTGGGGATTTCATTTAATTCAATTCTATTAAATTCCTACTAAGACTTGGTGCGGTAGACCTCATATTAGAACGGCACGCTTGATTAGATTCGCTTGAGAAAATCTACATTTATGTTTGGTTTACAGAAAGAAGAAACTTTGTAGTTGCAAAGTGGGCGAAGTGAAACTTCCCAAATTAGGAATATTTTATTATTATTTTATTTTTTGCTTGTAAAAATTTTGATTACCAATAGAATTATTGCAAAACAACAAGCTTTTTAATTTATCAAATAATTTATTAGTAGGAAGAAGATTATGATGATGTTGTGGGTAATTTTCCGGTACAACCTTATGAATCGAGGAAACGTTTAAATAGCGAAAATAAAGCAAAAACGACATCGGCAAATTGACAAATTCTGTAATGACTCCGAACTATCCATTATATCGTAAATAAAAAACACATGCCGAGGCACGGCGTTTAAGTAGTCACGTTCGGTTCGAAATTGCATCGGTCTCCTTCTGGCAGGCGCGGCGCCCGATCGGCCCGTCTCGCTCGCGCACTTCCTCTCTACTGTGGGAAAATGAAGCAGGTGTTAGTCCATCTCGAGTCGATCTCGGCTCTCGCATAGGAATTTTTTTTTGTTAATCCTCGACTTTTAGAAACAAAATTCATCGTTTGCGGAGTTGTTTATCACTGGAAATTATGGTTTCGTAAAAACGAGCTCTCCGCGTTTTACGAAGGCGATTACGAGCGGTTTTTTTTTCATTTCGTTCTCTCGAAGTTTCGTAATTAGAACGGTGTGTCTGGTCGGCGTTCGATATGATTAGTTCTAGCGGTTTTCGTTTTATTTCGCCTTCGCCTAATCCTAACAATTCCATTAAAAATTTATAAATTATATTCGTGGCTCTTTACCATGAGAGTCTGTCTCTTTAACTTTGAGTCTAGAGTATAGATGGATCTTAAACACCAGAGGAATTTATTGTTTGTGTTATTTTCCGGGGTTTTTCCACCCAATTCACCTAGTCAGATAAGGACCTTTCATTTTGTGCGCCCAATTTATCTATAGAATTAATTTACCTACAGGACAAAACTGTTTAAAAATCTGGCAGATTACTATATGCAAATTTAAAGGCTCCGGATGCTGGTAGACCGCACGCGCCATGTAGACCGCCGCCCATTGATCACCGGCGTTGATTATCTAATTTCACAATGCGACAAAATGCGCAATCGTTTCGGTTCCTCTCTCGATAACAATAAGTTCCCTTCGTGTGTCCGGCACACAGTCGACGCGATCCCGACGAATTGCGACGAAACGGGGGGGCAGGTGAAGGTGAATACGCTTGAATATATCACAGGAACCGTAAGTCGTTCGTTCTATACACAACACACCCCGAACGCGTTCCCACGGTGCCGTTGGAAACACCTTTTCTTTCGTCGATTTGGGCCAGCCCTTGCTCCTTGTGCCCGGCATGCGACATATGGGCAACGGCGCGAGTAAGGCGCACCGTGGGAAACTACCGAAATATCGAATACCTTCAGATGCTCGCCTGGTATCCCCCTTTTTATATGCTATACGCCACTTAGTAATTGGTTTAATAGAATAGGAAATCGTACAATAGTTTTTGTATCTATAGATACATATATACACCTATAGAGATTTTACTTTTTTTTCGTCTTCATTATAATGAAGGTTCTCTAAAAGTCAGTTCTTAAATTGTATAATAACGACGTTATCTATTTAAGATTTGTGCAAGTTTTGTGAATAAAAAAATTAAGTATTTTCTCCCTAGTTTTATTACACTGAAAAAGTTTCTAGTTACACACTGTATTACTACAATTTTTTTGTAAGATCTTCTAATTTCTTTGTAAGAAACTTCTCTAAAAGTCAGTTCTTAATTTCTATACTAACGACATTACCTATAAGATTTGTACAAGTGGTGCAGAATTATTGTGGAAATTAAGTATTTTCTCCCTAGTTTTATTACACTGAAAAAGTTTCTAGTTACACCTGTATTATTACAATTTTTTTTGTAAGATATTTTAATTTCTTTGTAAAAAACTTCTCTAAAAGTCAGTTCATAAATTGTATAATAACGACATTTTCTATAAAATTTGTGCAAGTTGTGAATTAAAAAAATTAAGTATTTTCTCTCTAGTTTTATTACACTGAAAAAGTTTCACACTGTATTATTACATTTTTTTGTAAGATCTTCTAATTTCTTTGTAAGAAACTTCTCTAAAAGTCAGTTCTTAATTTCTATACTAACGACATTACCTATAAGATTTGTACAAGTGGTGCAGAATTATTGTGGAAATTAAGTATTTTCTCCCTAGTTTTATTACACTGAAAAAGTTTCTAGTTACACCTGTATTATTACAATTTTTTTTGTAAGATATTTTAATTTCTTTGTAAAAAACTTCTCTAAAAGTCAGTTCATAAATTGTATAATAACGACATTTTCTATAAGATTTGTGCAAGTTGTGAATTAAAAAAATTAAGTATTTTCTCTCTAGTTTTATTACACTGAAAAAGTTTCACACTGTATTATTACAATTTTTTGTAAGATCTTCTAATTTCTTTGTAAGAAACTTCTCTAAAAGTCAGTTCTTAATTTCTATACTAACGGCACTAAGTATCTATAAGATTTGTGCAAGTTGTGAATAAAAAAATTAAGTATCTTTCTCCCTAGTTTTATTACAGTAAAAAAGTTTCTAGTTACACACTGTATTATTACAATTTTTTTTGTATAAGATCGTTTCTTGCGAAGCTGTATAGTGATCATGGAAAAGGCGCGTTCGAGGGAATTCAACGTTTCGATCGAATTCTCTCCAGTTTAATTGGCCGCGTGTGCACATTATACTTCTGGAACTTTCACTGTTATTAAATCTGTTACGCGTTTCCGCTGACGCCGGGTCGCGATTTTCCCACGATCCGGAGGGCGTCACGGATCGCGAATCGTGCGCGGCGCTCCTACCGCTTGTTCGTCTTCGTTTCGCCGTTTTTTTGCGCCCGTAATTGCTTCCGTTTCGAAGAAACCGAAGATTTCGATAACCCTACGCTTATTCGCATGCCCCGAATTAAACTCCCGATTTTGAGCGTTTCATACACGCCCTGTATAAATTCTTTTGCAATTGAGTATACATTGTATGAGCGTTCCCTAAAGGGTGTATAAAATTCGAGCGGGTAATTCGTCGCATGACACTTTTGTATGAAGCACGCAAGCTCTAATCGTTTACATTGTGTGCACTTTTACATATCGCTCGCTAAGTATTTATTAGATATTCGTTTATCTGGTTAATGTTGGGTAATTTTCGTAACGAAAACTTCACTTATTGTCGAGATACCAGTAAAAGCTTCGGGCGAATTTCGGCTTTCAATAGGACATTATACAAATCAGTCTTTTATACAAAACGATTTGCCTTTTACCTTTGCAAGATGACATCGAGTCGAAGTCGGCTTTTTTCGTTAATTAGGAGTTTTACCATTATTACCATGTGTTGTTCGCGAGTACCTAATGGCGTTATTATACAAATTGTGTTAACAATTTACGCTTGATTTGTTGTACGTATTATTAAGTGAACAGACTGTATACAATTGCAATTGATACGATCTTCGTCGATTCTCACGACATGCGTCGCGCAAGTGTTGAATTATAAAAAAAAAATCCTTATTATGTTGTATACTTGTATCCGAAAATAGTGTTTATAAATTCAGCCATGTGGGAATTGTTCGGTGGGTTTTAGGAAATTCGTAATTTCTATATACCCGACCACGTGTCGAGTCGACTGTTTTCTCGCAATCGTAAATTAACAAACAAACGACCTTTCACGGTTAATGCAAATGCATCGCCACCGGACAAGTGCAACAATGTCATACGAAACGTTACGCCGCATTTTATGATCCCACACGCACGTGCATAAATTCGTTTTATGGACATGTATACCGGCGATATTCAATACACTCGGCAGAAATCAGATCTCGGGGATTTTCTTGCGGGGGACTTTTTCTTTCTCGATTCGTCGAGAAACGGATTTACGCTCGAATGATCATCTCGAGAATCACTTCAATTACCTTCTTTTAAACCTTTTGTGAAGTTTCTATCTACCTACAATTCATATGCAATATGTTCTAAAATAAACTGCTCCACAAAAGTTAAGGAAGTTATGCACAAATATTGAGATTAATTTAAAAGTTGTAGGTTCTTCGATCGCTAAATTTAGTATGAGTTGTAAAGGTTAGGGGCAAAAAATCCACTGAGATATGAGAGAAAACATTTAATTTCACATATTTGAAAATTTGGTGATCAAAAAGTCTGTAACTTTTAAAATAATTGCAAAATTTGCGAACTTCCTTAACTTTTGTGGAGCAGTTTAATAAATCTTCGGTATCAAAAAAAACGTGACTAATAAAACTCTTGCAATTTTGTGTTATTTCACGCAATCGTTTAAAGTGGCTGTAAATGAACGAGCGATAATAACAATTATCCAGTTCGGGTTCGAACGCGAAAACCCTGAAAGAAATCGCCGTGCAAAGACGCTCGAAACTGGATATCCATCGCGTCGGCATTGAATGGAATCGAATCACAACGAATTCGCGTGTAGAGAGAGGTGACCTCGCGCGTTTGAACAACAACAACGGCTCGTACGAGAAAACGACATCGGTACACCGAGGAAGAAAAAAAAAGCAACAACGGAAAAAAATCCATAAATAAGTCGAGTTTAATAAAGGAGTGCACGCGGCGGACCGAACGTGTGCCCGCAGTGCATTAAACCATAAAAATTCTATCGTACTTTCCCACGGCCTTAACAGCTTACGGCTTACCGCTTGCGCTACGTCGCAACCTTCTCGCGTGCATGCTGTATTAGTATTTGCCGACTGTCCCTCTACTTATGTATATTTAACTATTTCCTTCGGATTTAATCATCAGCTGACGCTTCTTGTTATTTATTTTATATTAGATTATTGTTGTTGTCGCTTGCTGTTGTTATTATTTTAGCTTGTTGTTGAAATTGCCGCCTTATCGTTATTAAAATCGCTTGTTGTTAAATACTCGTCGTCTTTTCTGTTGTTATTACCGATTGTTGTTAGAGTAGTTGTCGTTTGTTGATTGTTGTTTTGCGAACGACGAGAGAATATGGTGTAGCGAATATTCTTGAATGGAAACTCGTATCGAGATAATTTCGAGACGTGTTACGAACAAGTTTTGGTTCCATGTAATCAAGTAGGGTCGATTAGCGGATTCGAATGTCAACGTTTTGAGGTATAATTTTCGATCGTATCAATGCAAAATTTCGCAATGTAATTAATCGACATTTCGATAAAAATTGAACCGAAGATGATGCAATTTGCGAAAATTGTGGCACAATTTTTGTGTGTTTTATCGTTTAATGCCTGGTGGTGTTATCCGTTTTATTTTTTACATTTGCGTCTATAGAAAAATGTGTCATTATTGTAGGTACCCAGACGGTAATTAATAATAATAAAAAGATATTAAAAGTTGTAGACATTTTTATCATTTAATCTCGCTGAGCACTCCACGAATTACATTTTATACACAGATAATATCTCAACATATGAACACGTGAACTCTGTACATACGCATGTACCTACTCAATATAATTATACCTAGATAACATAGATTGAATTAAAGCTAAATATATTTTACTTTACATTTACTAAAATAACCGAATCATAAATGCATGCATTTCTGTAATTTGTCAGAAATAGAAAACCATTGTTGCTAGATAGGGCGCTGAATAATTAATTTCCACATATACATCAATCGACACGACTGGTCTATTTTTAAACAACAAAACGGTGGAAAAATTCAAGGAAAAATATTTTCGACTGATAACGGCGCCCATTAAAATCGAATGAACGTTCGTTACATTTTTAAGTTATGTAAACAGATAGCAAAGTCCACACGAAAGCGCCTCATATTACAGAAAAATGTATTTCGTTTAAAAACGTGCTCTTTGTTTTGACTGTCTTTTCCCAGATTCTTAAAATCCTATTAAGCTGATAAAGCAATCGTTCGGGTCATTAGGCGGAGGGCACCATTTTATTATTTTGTCGAAATATTCCACTCCCGCTATTTTTAACACCAATTTACATTCCATATTGGCTAATTAATTATTATCTAAATAATGAATTTGTGCGGTATATAAAAATTAATTTGAAATTGTGGAAGAAATTAGACATATCCGTAAAAATGCTTCTAATCTTCTCTAATTCCCGTCTATTTGATAAACAATGTTCGAGTGTGTGATGAAATTTAATGATATTTAGGCGATACACACACACACGTACTCGATTAAATTAATTTCATTAATATCGTACATTATGTATGTCTGTGTTGTTATCGAAAGCCGAGCAAATAAAAGTTTTTCGAATACGACACGCACCGAGGTTATCGATATCATGAGTTCTTCATTCGGAAAAATCCTATTTGTCGACACACTTAAACAGCCCAAAACTTTCCTCGCACTGATCTACCTAAAAATACATAAAACATGTATTGTACTTAAGATTTAACCTGTTAGATTATTCCGGTAGGTAATTTATCAGAGTAGAGGAAAATTGGGCGAGAAAAATGTTTATTTGTGGAATTTTTTTTAGACGCTACAGATAATTAAAATTTATTTAATTGATTGTGAAATTGTAGTACAACATATAAACAATATCTCCTTAGTTTTTGAGAGCAAAATATTAACAATTAAGCCGATGGCAATAAATGTTCGGAGGTGTTGCGAAAAATCTCTCGATAATCAAAACATTAAAATGCTTTAAGTTTTGTATAGCTACTAGTTATATTCTTTATCTCCGTTAGTTTTGCCCCGATTTGTTTCAAATTTTCACACAACAAACTTTAAATGTTACACAATAATTAAACGAAACAATAAAAAAATGAAAAAAAAAATTAACACCGTTTTGATCTATGTTAACAAAACAGGAATTAGAAACATCGATAACTAGAAGCATTCGTTTAAACGTATTTATGTTGAAAAATCGCGCGATAAAATAATAATTGCAATAATAACAATGGTTAAAAGTCGATGTTTATAGCGGCCGATAATACTAATAATTAAATAGCGGAGTCCGCGAACTCGCTTGTTTTTCTGTCGTCCGCATCGATTTGAGCAATAGGTCACGTTCCTGAATAACACGTGATGTAAAATAATAAGAAATAACGCACGGTTATCGTGCATAACGACGGAGCACATGCAAATAAAATTAAAAAAAAACCCACGATACGTTTAACATACCTATATATACACACATTGTAAGAAAACTCGAGTACTTACAATGATAACGTTAAACGCCAATTAACATGCACGCTCCGTCCCCCCCGTCGACTGCGCCCTTGTCCCGTTTCGAAAACGAGACCTGTTGCCGAACCGCCGTCGCTCCTCTACCGGCTCACCAGCCACCGCCGAGCGCCGTCTCCGTCGCCCCGAGCTCGTGCTGGTAACGTGCTCGACGACGTTAGATGCGATTATTTCGCCTAATCGCTAAAGCCGCCGAGCCCCCGCTAAACCATCCCCCCCGGAAATTTTCCGCACGCAAACGCTCCCTTTCAATTCTAATCAATCAATTACTCTACATTGTTAAAAATGATTAGTTGGATAAGAACCAGCACAGTGTATATTTTAAGTACTACTAGAGTACGAGGAAGTTTAGTTTCTAGTATGTACTTGTGGGCCTAGTATCTAGTAGGTATCAATTAGTGCTTTTAGTATCGCCTAGCATCTCCTAGTATCGCATAGTATCTCCTAGTATCTCCTACTATCGCCCAGTGTTTTATAATATTGCCTAGTATCTCATAGTATAGTATTGCCTAATATCTTCTAGTATCCCCTAGTATCGCCTACTATCGCCCAGTTTCCTAGTATCACCTAGTATCTCTAGTACCTTCTAGTATCGCCTAGTATCCTTTAGTATCACCTACTATCGCCCAGTATCTCCTATAGTATCGCCTAGTATGGCCTAGTATGTCCTATGGTATCGCCTAGTAGCTCCTAGTATCGCCTAGCATGTCCTAGTATCGCCTAGTATCTCCTAGTATCTTCTAGTATCGCCTAGTATCGCCTAGTATCGCCTAGTATCGCCTAGTATCGCCTAGTATCGCCTAGTATCTTCTAGTATCGCCTAGTATCTCCTAATATCTCCTAATATCTTCTAGTATCGCCTAGTATCTTCTAGTATCGCCTAGTATCTTCTAGTATCGCCTAGTATCTCCTAGTATATCCTAATTTATTAGTATAGTATTGCATAATATCTTCTAGTATCTCCTAGCATCGCATAGTATTGCCTAGTATCTACTAGTATCTCCCAGTATTTGCAAGTATCATCTAGTATCATCTAATGTCGTCTAGTATCTAGTTAATGAAAAACCACATAGCTCGCAAAGAACCTCCCACAGAATTACTAATACTGGTAGAAGTGCAAATAACGGCCTTATTAAAGAATAAAACATCGTAATCAAATTACACCTAACCGTAGGTGCTCGACTCGAGAGTGTAACGAATGAGGAAGGATGAGTAAATAACCATTTATACCGTATTTTTTTCTTCTGTTCATCGCGAAAAAAATTCCCCGCGTCGCGCGACGCTGTGTGTCGGTAGAGGCGAAAAAAGAGAGACGGCCGGCGGGCGGGAGCGAGACGGACGCGAAAAGGCAGCTGCACGCGCTCGAGCGGTCACAGGTGGCTAAAGTGTGGGAACACCATAGCCTCCGAGATTCCCACGATCCGGCTCGCCAACACGGGCCCCGTCGAGCCTGTTAATTCGCCGCCGAGAAGCCCGAGATCGGCGCGCACACGCACCTGAGCGCTGTATAAAAACCGCCGAGCCGGCGTCGCCGACGTTCAAATCCCGTTCAGCTTTCGAGTCGATCGGACCCACAGCGAGCGACCGATTCTCTCTACCTCTCGTTCGTTCCAAACGCGACTATAATACTTTTAGCGATTTAAAAAGTATTATTCATCGATATCTACACGAAAGTTCGGTAGTTCGTTCGTTTTATTAATTTCGTATATCAATCGAGACTGTTTTTAATAGTGTGTTTTAATCATGGAGGAATCGCAACCGATATCGCGCACCTACCAATACAGGAAAGTGATGAAGCCGATGTTGGAGCGCAAGCGACGCGCCAGAATCAACCGGTGCCTCGACGAGCTGAAGGAGCTGATGGTAACAGCGCTGCAAAGCGAAGGCGAGAACGTCTCCAAGCTGGAGAAGGCCGACATCCTGGAGCTGACCGTCAGGCACTTGCACAAATTGCGGCGCCAGCAACGCCTGTCGAGCGCCAATCCGGTGATCGACGCCGACCGGTTCCGCGCCGGCTACACGCACTGCGCCAACGAGGTGTCCCGCTGTCTGGCGTCCATTCCGGGCGTCGACGTCCAGCTGGGCACCAAGCTGATGACCCACCTGGGGCAGCGGCTCAACGAGATGGACAAAGTGTCGCCGCTGGTGATCCGGGTGGCGTCGCCGTACACGCCGCCGGTGTCGCCGCGGCTCGACGGCGAGCCGCCGCAGACGCGGTACGCGATGCCGCTGACGCCGGCGTCGTCGTCGGGGTCGTCGGGGTCGTCGCGGTGCTCGCCGTCGCCCGACCAGCCGATGGATTGCTCGACGGCCGGGTTGTTGAAGGTGGCCAAGAAGGAGGAGATGTGGCGGCCGTGGTGATTGTTGAAAGGCTCGGCTAATTTTGTACATATAAATTCGTTTTGGAATTCTCACTTAGGTCTTTCTATTATTATACGTAATTTAAAAGTTAATTGCTCAATCGCTTTATATTAAAGTTTTTTTTTTGTTTGTTTAGATTTATAACGATCTCTTCCATTATTATAGAAAGCTTTAAATTGTAAATTTAACGTTAGGGATACGATTTTTATACTGTTATAATAACTGTTTTTGTGATATTTGAAGTTAGTACCTGTGATTTTGACGGCAATGTTGAAGCAATCTTAATCAAAAAAAATATGTTATTATTATAATGAGTACTGCACTTATTTCGTAATGTGTATTGCAAGCGTAACTGTGATACAGTTTTTTGTATTTTTGATATAAAAAAATACTTTTGGAAAAATAAATATGACTTGTTACAATTAATATGTTGGTTTTATTGATGGTTTTCTCAAATTTATTACCCATTAAATATGCAAAATGCATTAAGTGTCTAAAAAAGGGTATACAAAAAATTCGTTCAGAAATTACCAAAAAAAAAACAAATTTAATCATTTATTGATTATTTAAACACGTAGGTCATTTGTCAAATATTGATCATTTTTCAAATCAAACAAATTGCTTAACACATTCAAAATATCTAGTATAAGTTTTGACTAAATCCGAACGCAAATTAGATAAAAACACTATTATTAGGTAATAATGATTCAATCACTAACCAAATTGCAAAAAATAAATAATTTACAAGGCATTTTAAATACATTAAATCTTTATCTCAAAATAAAAAATCACAAGCATTCCATTAGAAATTGCATTAAAACGGCACCCTGTTCCCTATGATAATCGCTCCGTTGAACCCCAACCTGTTGCTTCTGCCACTCCCGTTAAAGGTAGATAGAATAAAAAATAACGAAAGGGGTGAAACAAACGTTCTGGGAACGTGGCTTCCTGATGCATTTAAAACCATGGGAACGCGACGAACGCGCGCTCACCTAGAAAAGACGCATTATACTCATTATTCGGAACACATGTGTAATTCAGAGCGAGTGTAACAAAAAAAAAACGAATAAATTTATTCCACATTTGTTCGCGATATGGGAACGAATTTCTGCGTTCAAATCGACGTTTACTCGGTCTACATTCTGCGTATATGTAATGTTTCTATGGAGATTTAACTGTTTAATATGAAGTCTACCTAGCTTGATGGCTAATCTGTCAGATATTGAAGAATTTGACAAATAAATTGTAGGTAGATTATAATTTTTCTGTCACTAGACTGACAAAATCTTGGAAATTCCAATACACATTAATAAACAATGTGATAAGAATTGGGGTTAATATTTGAGTTAAATTTAGTTCCATGAAATAGCATTGAAACTATAATAAATATAAAAACTTTTAATATACCTGTAGACCGCATAATAGACAAGAATTATGACGGTAGACTTAATATTAGACGAGCACCAGAAAAGGCAAAAATTTAACTACATTCTCTATAGGTACCTACTCTCTATACTCTCTGTACCCTCTACATACTCTCTATAGGTGCTCTCTATACTTTCTATACTCTCTATAGATTATACTCTTTATAGACTCTGGCCTCTATAATCTACTCGCTGCTCTAATCTACTCTATTTTTTTAAAAACAACGCCAAGAATTTTAGCTTGTACTTTTAACCACTCGTCCCATTCTTAACCCGTTATAAAATTTATAGTTTTGATAGCATAATAATTTTTGGCGCGGAATTCCGATGCACTTATCTATCTAAATATACATGTGTCAACGAAACCATCGACTTCCACAAGGGACAACCGCCGGTCCATCGGCATCCTCTCGAGCCGAACGCGCGCCCGTCACGTTCCCATACAAAACGCGCCCAATTAATGCACATAGCATATAGCATTTCGAACGGCAACACACGGCGCGCCCGACCGAGCGTAATCGGTCCCCATTCAACAAACGCCGATTCCACCCTGTTCCCACGCTCGCCGGGCGCACCGCCGCACCTGGACTCCCTTCTCCCTGCTATATAAAACCCGCCGGAGCGCTCGCCTTTTAAACCACTCGCTCTCCGACTCCGACGTCGCTAACTACGAGCTCGACGAAACCCACGTGGTCGCGAGATATTGCTATACTCTATTAAAAAGTTCGAAAAAAATGTTTTGCCGCGAAGTCCAGCCGATATCGCGTACGATGCAGTACAGGAAAGTGATGAAGCCGATGCTGGAGCGCAAGCGGCGCGCCCGGATCAACCGGTGCCTGGACGAGCTGAAGGAGCTGATGGTGACGGCGCTGGCCACCGACGGCGACAACGTCTCCAAGCTGGAGAAGGCCGATATTCTGGAGCTGACGGTGGCGCATCTGCGGAAGCTGCGCCACGTCCAGGAGGAGGACAAGTTCCGGTCGGGGTACACGAGCTGCGCCAAGGAGGTGTCGAGGTATTTGGCGTCCGTGCCCGGTGTTGATGTGTGTTTGGGGACGGAGCTGATGACTTTCTTGGGGAGAGGATTGAAGAGCGCGCCTGTTGAGGCGCCCGGAGGCGGGTACACGCCGCCTCCGTCGCCCGTTGATTACTCCGTTTGCCAGGAGGAAGAGAAATCGATGGTGTGGAGGCCTTGGTGATGCGAATTTTAATTCGATTCAATTCGCTGCTTTAGTTGAGCTTTAATTAGTTAGGTATTTTTTTCGACTGTGATATTTGATTAGTTTTATATGATATTGGATTTCAGTTGTTGTCTGAAATTATCGCAATAATGTATAATTGTAAGTTATGTGATAGATTCGTTTATGTAATAAGTGCCTTAATAAATAATTTATAAATTACTGGCTCGTGTGGTTTATTATTTGGTAACGATGAAAATAGTGATTTATCGCTATTTTTGCGGAAGAAATATAAATTAAACTGGAGAAATTAATGTTGGAATTTTCTCTCTACTTTTACTGAAACAAAAAAATAAAATTGAAGGAATACATTTTTGGCGGTTTCTCCCTACTTTTACAAAAAATAGAAACAAATCAATTTCTTGGAGATAAACTTGTGCATAAACACGAATAAAAAAAAATAAACAAAAAATATATTTATTTAATTAGCTAAATCATATCAATAAAACTTGGAAAAAGTCTCATCAGTTGAATGAGATTTGAAAAAAGATTTAAATTAAATTTTTAGCATGGTGTGCCATCTATGAATACACTCCAAATTTATAAAAAGATCCCTGTATTTACATTCTCAAAATTTCCAGAATACTGTTTTTAAAACCTCAATAGTTCAAACAATCAACAAGAGATGACTAAAAACTTTAAAAATTTTAAACTTTCTATTTTTTGCAACTTTTATGACATTGAAAATAAACTTTTTTTGACAATTCTATAGGAAGAAATCGACAAAATCCTTCATGCCGGCACGGAAATTTCGCGACGAATTGAAAATTCGCTAAAATTTCCCGGCACGTTTTCCGCATTTTTCCAGGCCACCACCCCTCGCACGGGCGCTTTTCCATGGCGAAAACCGGTGAGTAAGTTTTCGAATTTTTCGAATTATCCGCTATCAACCGGGCTCCAGTCAGAGTTCCCATAGCGAGCGGAAAAATTCCATTTAACAACCGACTCTTCCACATCGGCTTCGTGACGAGCCTTTAATGTTAAAGATTCAACATTCTACTTCGATTGACGTTGAAATGGAATTTTAGGAGAGCACTCTCCGGCGCACGATCGCCTTGACTCCAATAATTACAGTGTAATCATCCTGACAGATTGAAATTTTTCAACTCCATTCCCCGTTTTTTATAGGCCGAGCTAAAGGGTTTTTTTTTGTACACTCCAATGCTTCGATAAGATCTTTTTTAAGTAAAGAAATGCATACTTTTCCAAACATTAACGCTAGATTAAGGAGATTGTTTTTTATATTACTAAAATTGGAAGTGGAACGATATTTTTGCTAAATCTCAGCAATACGTGCGCTTTGTTTATGCCTTTAGAAGGTTCTAGGAATGAGGTGTGCAAGTTAAGTCAGCAAATGTAATGTTGTTACGTCGATTTTTTCGCTTTACCTCAGTTCGAATGATCCGGTTCAAATGAAAAGAAGGAGATTTTCCGGGCGTAAATGCGCGGTAAGTCATTGCACTGTTTTTTTCTCAAAATGGATATCATACATCGGTGAACCAAGGTGTCTGCCATTAGATTCTTACGGGAATTCCACCACCTTAGTTCCTTTCAGGAGGATTCCCAAATAATTTTCAAATAATGTAACGATGAAAAAAGAAGAAATTCGATCATCGATTACAATATTATTCAACAATCGATAGAAAAAACCAGCGGGCCCACGAATGACCGAGACGAAACTGAAAGTGACACTGACCCACTTGTATAATATTTGGTCAGTTCGCTTGAGTATTTTCATTTTTGCACAACGATTTTGTCGGTTTCTCACTTTTATCTGCAAGTCGAGAACGAAACGGAGAATTCGACTATTCATTTCGCTTGCGAAAATCGAGTTCAACGAGCTATAACCACAGCGAGTTACCAACAAACAAAATCCAATTGAAAATAATTCATACGAGCAATTCGAAATTTTCTTCGCGGGTTCCTTCAATTTCGAATTATCGAACAAGATCGACGAAAGGTAAATCGTACCTAATTATCGTTAATTTTTTTTTGCTTCTTCAAGGTTCGCTGTTTGTTGCAAATAACGGATATTCCAAATTTGCTGTTAATAGGATTGTTTGGATATTTCATGTAATAAATAATCACATACGAATTAGCTTATTATAGAGAGTTGCTTATAGTATTTGTTAATTTGTCTCGTTTTACTACGCACAAAACTACAATAAATTAATGATAAGTGCGTGTTATCGACTGGGATATACTAGTTTCGATTTTATTAAATAAACACAATACAATGAATCTTCTCGGAATATAATTATTATCTGTTTCTTTAGCATTTATCGCTGCATTTAACTATACAAATAGCCGTAAACACACAGAATAAGAATATTATGCAATGGCTTAACGACCTCACATCAGGAATCGTCGATTTTAAATACCTGCACTAATTGTTTATAAATCAGTTTGGTAAAAAAAAAGGTCAAGTCGAAATCGAGCGATAATTAATTAATTCGGAGCAATAATAATTTCACTTTCAATACATACAAGGATAACCGTTTTAGAAACCGAACGGTCGATTGTTTTTTCTCTATACCAATTAGAATAATTACGTACGTTTTTTATATTATTTTATTATTTGTTTATCGCTCTACGAACAAACAAATTTTGTCGCTTCGATAGGCGAACAATTTCGATAAATCCCGACGCGATATCGATAACACTCTTCCATTCGCGATGCGGAATGAAGTTAAAAAAAAATAAAATCAAAACCGATAAGCGAAATATTTGTTGACAATGAGCCATGGATTTTTTTCTACACTTATACAGGGGGACCATTAGTTATACTGTTGATGATACTGTTTCAATATAAAATTCGAGCAATTTCTTACACCGTGAACGCCAAGGAAACTTTCCCCTCGGTGTACAATCATCCCCTTCACGTGCAGCAAATTAAAAGGGGAGAGTGTGTTTGTAATAAAGGTAGGGAGAAACTCTGATTAGAAATGGGAGGATTATCTCGCGTGAATCCCCGTTCGATTGGAGCGAATTCGAAATTTCCCAGTCGCGTTGGAGTGTCGGCCGGCCATCGTACGAGCGTTTCCGCGCGATTATAAAGCGATTTTCGATTTTAGTTTCAGTCCGGCGAAGGTGCGAGAGTGTAGCGAAAGGCGCGTCATTATCGTTCTCTACAGGGGGATGTTGATAGATTGAATTTGGGGGCGAATGTGTGGAATGTCGCGCGGAAATATTCCCGAATTTGCGGCGTTTTCTTATGAAAGGTGAGTTTTATCTCGTCATAGAAATGTTAATTGACGAATTATCGGCCGGATAGAGGTGATTTCCGTCGACTTGAGTAAGTGTTATGATTTTAGTTGTTAAAAAAAGTATTGTAACTTCGCTTGTAAGTACCTAAGTTGGGTTTTTTGCGGTGTATTGAACTTGCATGGAAGCGAATAACCGTTTGAAAAGGGTACGCAAAGGTTACTCGCGCTTTTTTTTTCAATAAATTATACGTTCAATGTTCACATTCGAAGGCTCGAAGTGTGGATTTTACGCAACAGAGAGCATTATAGGTGTGCTGGAGAGGTCGAATTTGTGAGGTTTTTTTTTATGCGACTCGGGTTCTTCAAATTCGTCATTGATTTTTTTACCAATTAGATGGTTTATGATAATTCGTTAATGGCTTAATAAACTGAAAATTCAATGCGACAAACCGCACTGAATAAAACATGACGGAACAATCGGCAATAAATGAAGCAAGCATTCGAAAAATTGTTTTCGAGAATTAGAGATATACACGAAACGTTGTATATTTATTATACGATTGTTGTTTTTGGCTACATAAATTTGTCGAATTTTGATAAATAATTGACTAATTTTTAAATAATCACGCATAATTTAATCATAGAATGGCGTGTGTTTGTTAAATTTGCTTAAAAAATTAACTATCTTAAAAAAACCTGGCTAAATGTATAATGTAAATATTCGACAAATAACAACATATAAGTTGATTTACAGAGTTATTTTTGATAGTAGCTCCATCAAGTGTTTGAGATGCCGGTCTAATATGGGTCTATGGCCCTAACTTTGATCTAATATGGAATATGTTGTCTTAAATGTAGTCTAAAGAGACAGTCTACAGTCCTAAAGGCGGCCCACAGACCTAAATCTGGTCTAATATGTAGTCTATAGCCCTATAACTCTGGTCTAAATATGAGGTCTTTCTTCCAATCACCCCAATTCCCCCCAACTCAGCACAATCTACCCAAATTCTTATCACATTCCTGATTTATTAGTGTTGATCGAAACTTTAGATTTAGAAACTTAGCCAAGATTTAACAAATCTACTGTGAAAATGTGAGTCTATACCTGATCTACAACTTCTTTGTAGAATTCGTTTGCAAAATTCTTAAAATGCCTGGCAGAGATTACTGTGTGGAAATTAAAGATAGACCCAGGTAGACCGCGACCGATGATTCTTTTAAAAATTTCAGGTGCCAGTGGCGTTGAAGATGTGCGGCCGGGCGACGGTGCTCGTGCTGGTGACGATAGCCTTGACGACCTCTCGAACCGGAGCCATCCCCGAAGAGGACAGCCAACTGAAAGTCGGCAGAGCCATAGACATATTCACCAGATACGGCTACTTCAGCATATCGATGAAAGTGAGCCTGAAAGTTCGTCTCTCGCCTTCCGGCGGTTTGTAACGTTTGCGATTTCCACAGGTGATATCCAGGAACGAATCGGACTGGATATTCCGCGAGCCCACCATCGAGGTGTTCACGGACGCGGAGCGCTACGCCGTGCGCCAGGAGCGCGTGCCCAAGAAGCAGAAGCGCGTCTTCGACGGCGACTTCCACATGGAGTTCTGCGACAACGCGCGCCAGCTCGCCCAAGCCTACTTCAGGGACTTCTCCTTCGAAAGGTTTCTACCCTCTCGACTCGCCTCTCCTTCTGCTTAAGAAACGCTTCGTTTGTATACAGATTAGACAAGCCGTGGAAGGCGTTCACGGCGTCTTGGGCGCCGGAGACGCTGGCCAAGAACCTCGGCATCAACGCTTCCTTCGTGGTGAAGGAGCACTGCTACGTGCTGGTGCGTTTGTCCAGGTTCCACGATGTCATCAAGCTGGATAGGATGCCGAGCAACATCAATTTGGCGGACGTCGTCGCCAGGGAAATCGACAAAATTCGTATCGGCGACGTGGGCGGCGTGCTCATGTTCATCAGGAAATACGGATCTCACTATATACATTCGTACGTTACTGGGAATTCCTTGTATCAGGTATGTAAATATAAGAATCTCGGCCCGATTAACCGGCGATGATGGTAGGTATTTGTGTTATCAATAAAAGACCTTGGTTTGTAACGCTGGGGATAAGAAAAATTGAATTGTATTCACCTTTCGCCTTGGATTTTGCGTTTCGGTTGGTCGATTGAAAAGAAATTGAAAGTAGTCTACCGTCGAGCCGATATGTGGAGAATATTACAATCGATTTAATTACAGAATACAGTGTTTGGTTAATTTTGCCTAAAACAACACAATACGTAAATACTTTTCGTTAATAATAATGCTCGATCTTGAAGCCACAAGGTCGAACGATCTCATAAAAAGTCCGACAAAGAAACAATTCTAGCCATGGAACAATCGTATTATCTAATTCAAATGAGTACGAGCACGCTGGCTAATTCGCTTAACCATGAACTACAGTCGATTTCCTATTATAAATCATTCGTAATCACGTGTACGAATTGAGTTTGACGAGTAGGATAGGTCCGATTCCGGCCTCGTGCAAGTTCAAAGTTGCCACAATTACCGACCGTTTTTTTTTTTGCGAAACGTTGAATAAATTTAGGATAACATAACATTGCAGGTGTTTGTTTTCAACAAAACGAACTACCTAAAGATGAAGGAGCGACTGAAGCGACAGGGCATAGCGCAGATAAACAATTTGGAGTTGACTCACTACTTCAGTCCGTGGTACGCGGAGCACATGGGGGCGATCAAAGTGGCCAGCGGGAACCGATCCGTGGCCAATTGGTCATCGTACAAATTGAAATACAACTACTCGATGTTCGTGTATCCATCTCTGCTCAAAATACACGGTGAGGTGTTCCCTTGCGGGTCGTATTTGTTTGTATAATGGTGTAAATTGTTTCAGGGGATCCGCGTTTGTTGAGCAGGCTGAACGGGCTGCTGGGCAACGAGGCGATATTGGAGTTGCACATGAACACGCTGGCGCCCGCCTTCAAGGACCCGCTGAAGAGGCTGTGGTTCGAGGAGGTGCTGGATAATTTTTTGAAGTTGTGGGAGTCGAATTTGTAGCGAAGCCGGACGGGGCGTCCGGCGAATGTCTGTGATCAAAGCGAACGGCGTATTTTAATTTATAGATTAATTGATAATAAAATGTATGAGAGCGCGGCGGTTGTTTGGTGTCGCGGAATAAGGCGAAGTCGTTGGAGTAACTTTGTTTTATTGAAAGCATCTAAAAAGTATAAAAAAACTAATATTATTCCTAAAAAAAGATCACTAGTCTGGTGTGATGATGATACGTTTTAATTTGTGTTAACACGTTATTCGAGAATTGCTATGCATAAACAAAAATATAACGACAATGGAACTGTTGCACGAAAAATACGAATCTATCTACTCTATTATTGTTAATTTTTTTTCTATAAATTTATTCGAGTAAAAATTATAAACGCATCACAGTCAAATCACAACGATTTATCGTTACATAATTGTCAAACGGTGCTTTCGGAATCGATTAAAATTAATTAGAGCTGCATTTTAGTTTAGAAATAGATTCGAACCGTTCTCTTCATCAATCGTTCTTCTTAAATATCGACATTTGAACTTCCGCCTGTAATTCCTTGCTGACTTTCTTGCCGTTTACAACTAATATCACCGGATTTTCCACTCTAATCAGTCTGAATTTGTATTCCTGAAATGTACAATTTCACACAATATTCGCACAAGTTGGGACATCCTGTATTATACACTTACAATTTCTTTGTAAATAAAATCAACGTCGGTTACGTAGGGTTCCGCAATCGCTACAGAATCTCCGATTATGACGCCTTTTCCATCGGCTAAATTGAAAATCGTAACAACCACACACGTAGCATCCTTATCAACCATGCAAAACGTACTAAAAAATACCATTTAATAATAGTAATAAATCTGAGAATCGTTTCATTTACTTACAATGGAACTCTGTCCTCGTTCCGGACGGAACACACCACTTTACCCAACACCACGGTCTCATCGTTGATGCCACTATTCAATTCTTTCAGTTTCTTTTGGGTCAAATTCACCTTTTGCCCTATAGGGGAGGTGTATGCTCCCCCGCCGTATGGACCCAGTTGCTTTGGTTCGAACGACTGAAATGCAGGTTATTTATATTTTCGATTACCATTGGTTATCGATTACCCACTTGCAACAGTTGCTGTAATCGTTTCGATTTCATCTTCCCGCAGGTCGAGGCGAATTCCTTAATGTCGTTTAAATACTGCACCAGTTGTTTCTCTTTGATTTTCGGGGGCTCCCACGTCGGATTGTACACGGAGGCTTCGTTGAACGATTCCAAAGCCAGCTTGAATTCCTCCTCGTACTTCAAAGTCTATAAAATAAAGAAATCGAATAACTCCCATTTTTAGTTGTTCGTTTACTTACTATTCCTTTGTTGTAATGAAGATCCGGCGTGCTTTTAGCTATGATGTCTTTCTCCTGAAAATAGTACGAGTTATTTGTCTTGTGAGGTAGTTTTAGGCGAACTTACGGCTTGCGAGTAGGCGCTGAGGCATTGCTTGAGGATTTTGGGGTTCTGTTGGATGCCGAAGAAAGAAGATAAATAAGCGTTGCCCAATACGGTCCATGATAAGCCATCGTGGGGATCGAGTTGAACCGCTTCTTTGGCGTAATTTAAACCGTTTTCTATGTTTTTCACTTTTTGTTCCCTGGTTTTGGCCGGTTCTTGCCTCACCAGCATCGACAGGCTCCTTAAGGAATGCTTGTTTCTTTTCTGGAACAACATGCGATGTTAATTATCTGTTTTTTTCGTACAAACAATGCAATTTGAAACCTCTTTTAAAGCTCCTTCGAAGCAGTTTATCGACTTTTTCAATTCGTCGTTCTTCCAGTAGCATTCGCCCAATTCGTTCCAGGCGTCTACCAATTTCGGATCCAATTTTATCGATTTGGATAATAATATTTCCGCTTCACTGCTGTACGTGGGCGACACGTTTAATAGTTTTCCTGCAACAATCGAATAGCCGGTAATTAAATCGCCATAAAGGAGCAGCGCTTTACCTTTTAAGTAATTGAACTTGGCCCTATCAGCATCTTCGATCAAACGCTCGTGATCAGTGAATAATTTTAAGGTTTCGATTCGAAGCTTCTCCGTGTCCTCTTCCTTTTTAACGGCTTCTTCGATATCGTGCGTTTCGAAATATCTGTCTCTGAATCTGTACACTTCGTCCGTTTTCTCCTAAACAACGTAAAATAATGCACAGTTAATCGCTAATAAGGCAATGCTTCCTGTGAGGTGCGCTCCCACTCACACCTGGTGCTCTCTTCGAGAAATACTCACGTTCAAGAAGGTTATGAGATCCTGGTGGTCCCCTTCGCAATTGCATTTCGGCGCGTCTTTAATGGAAACCTCCATTTTCCGCGATTTTCGTTAAAATTCGAAGTAAAAAGACATTTTTTTGTGACAGTCAACAACGTATAGTCAACAATCACTAAGTGAGGTTAGGTTCTTGTGTCACTGTCAGATTATTAGTGGCCTCTTACTCTTGTAGGTATTTCAAGTTGATCCGGATGAGTCAATAAAATGATTGAATAGTCTCGATTGGAGAATGATTTGGTAATTAGTTTTTGATTGTGGTTGATATAAGCGTGTTTCCATATTGTTAATGATTAAAAAAAAGATAAAGTGGTTAGATAAACTAAAAAGTATAGGCCAGTAAAGTATAAAAAAGTTTTCTATTTTATGACAATTGTCAAATGTCAATAGTTTCGATAAAGCGAGAGCAGAGGTCGCCGGCGCTCGCTGCGGTTTTTACACGGGAAAGACAAGACAAGAGCGACAACGAAACGGAAAATACGACCAACCAGCGCGCAGCGGAGTATCCGAGTAGCGTAGCAGATCGGAGCAGTCGCTGACGGAAGCTGCAGGCGCCCAGTTCGCGTTGGCTTTCTCTCGGCCTGGCCATCATCATTGCAATTGTCCTGTTCCATACGCACATCCGCCATATCGAGCCCGATCCAGTGATCCAGTTATGTTGTCGTGCGCGTACAAATGAATATGCACCTCGAGTTATCCGATACCCGATGAGTGTGAGGTCGGTGCTGTGAGCTCTCGAGTGTCATGGTGGTGTTGTGACATTTCTCCGCTAGTTTGTAGTCGTTCAGGAATATCCCAGTTCTGACGGATTTCGTCGCCCGGAAAGATGTCCAGCAGGCACGTCCCGGCCGATAAGGTGAGCTATCGCTATTTAGTATCGACAACCGCGCCCTTTCGTCGCCAAGACATTGAAACGCGACCTAGTTTTTTACCCTGCGGAACGTCTCTTGTCGGATTCTCTTCTCGACGATTTGTTATTACCTTGCCGAGCACTGCGAAATAGTACGAAAACGCTACTTTCTATTGCATTGTTCGTTGCCTTTTTAATACGCTGGCTTTGTTGCATTAGTTACTTTAGTACAGTACTGCCAACCTTTGTAAACATTTTACCTATTTTTTTGTTTGTTTAATTTAGGAAAAAAATAGGTGGCTGTTTACCCTATTTGCAAAGAGATCATTATTGACAGATTTACTCGATTACCCAACTAAATTATTTCATTATTATATTATAAGAAAACAATTGTGAGAAATTTCATAACAATTACTATGCGCTTACCTAATGAATTATAACTAAATTTAAGTAATCATGCATAAGATGTAACCCTATTCAACGCATTTAGAAACTTCTTTGTTTAAATTTTCCAAAGCCAATTCGATTTGTTTTGAAAATACGAATCAAATGAAAACATCATAAACAGATAAGAATGTCAACGGCCAGCTTGATGACTTCGAAAAAACCATACCTGCAAATTCCGATATTTTTAGATAGCTAAACTTGATGAATGAATTTCTACACACGACACCTGTAAACACACATACACACCGTTTCCCGTTGAATCATTATTGACAGATCGAATTATTGGAATACTGTTACATTTCGAGCAGCTCGAAGCGTTAAAAAAATAAGTCTGTTTCGCATAGAGAAACACTCGTGGCAATAAAAAATAAAAAGGTCCCCCGCGCTTGTAAACAGCGGAGCCGAGATGAATAGGAATAGAGAAAGAAAATAAACACTTTCGGGATGTCGGAATTTAGAAGGTTATCAAAGCGAAGAGGAAACGCATGTGGCAAGGAGAAGGCAATTAAAGCGTGAACAGGTTCTCGCATGGGTCTCGTTTATTACAATACTACCCCCCTAATATGTACATCCTATAAATAAACGCCCGACGAAGATTATTTTTTTATTGGTTTCTTTTTTTAATCGAATGTCTCGGTCGAAATTCGTGTTATGAAAATATGGGTTTTTCGAATGCCTATCTGCCGATGTCTTATATCAGGTAATAAAATTACGGGAAATTCTGTGACGAATCGTAGATAATTTTTGTTACTCCTCCTAAATTAGAATTTGTCTTGGTTATAAATTGTATTGAAATCACCGCGAATTGTACAAATGAAAATGACCTTATAATAATACATGCATACATAACGCATGACGAAATTTCATACTTTCAGTTAACTTACATAAAATAATACTAATCGAAATGAGAATTGTGTGTAATTTCTCGTTTGTGGTACGAAATTTCGGGATTTTTAGCGGAGGTTTTTCCGCAAAACGGATATTTTCGAGACGGCTTCGCCTCCTGACCGGTGGTCTTTTTCAACGAACGCGGGCCCGGGTATAATCTTCGAGTCAGGTAGTAAACGCGAGGTTTCTTCGAAGGTTGGAGATTTTTCTATTGCGACCGGTATCTTTTGTGGAATACCCACTTACCTGTTTCCTTCGGTATAGTTTCAGCGGCGCGCCGATCGCAATTCGCCGGATCTCTTTGTAACCAAATCGAAATTAATCGATCGTTCTTATTCGGTTTTATTGTATGCAGATGATAATTCCATGTAAATAAATCGTTCGAATGTAACGAGCCTGGTAAGTGGATAATGTTAATGTTTTCTTCATTATCGGCGGGACGATAACGAGGCCCGCATATTATTCGAATAATCTTCGTTGCGTAATAGAAAGCAATAAAAATATCGTTTGATACCGGACATTATAATGCGAGACACCCTGTTTATAGTGTAGAATTAAATGTTTACCTACAAGGACGCCTCGTACACATATACAGTTGGTTCGCAATATGAGTTGAACAAAGAAAGTTTATTAAAATCATTGTGGTTACAGTGAGAAAGTTGCACTCCTACAAATTTTTCTTTTTCCTTTAAATGAGACCAGTCTTTATATTTCTGGTGTCTACTAGATGAGCACCGATGTTTTTTTTTTGACACTCTGTATATCAGACGAAAGAACACGATTTATTCGATAAAACATGAAATATTCAGATGAATGAACGTGGATTCTCTCTGTGTTTATCGCGTATCCCGACAGGACATTAACCTGAAGAGGCGTATCGATTAATAGGAAAATTTTCAACATGGGTCCTTTGAAACGTACGAGGTGGACAAAAACAGAAGATATGTAAGATTATAGAGGATTATTTTACGAATCGATACTTGGTTTCGTTTAAAAACGGAATTTCACTCGGTCGCCATTAAAATTCAGTGATTAGAAAAGAGGTAATTACGCGGCTTTCACTTTTACAATGTGCACTTTTACCCGTATGTACATTTATATCTGATCTAATAAATAATTACCTGTCGGTTTTATTGTTTCTTTTATTCGGTATTCTCTGTGCGATTTGCGTGATTCGGGCCGAAAATGCACCTATTGTGGATTTATTTCCTCTCCTTTGACCCCTATAACGTTCAACGAGACGGCAAATAAACATCCGATAATAAGTTGTTTATTCGATTCTCGATTGTAGAATTTGTATTTCGTTCAGAGTAGAAACATATTTATTTTGGCTCCTCCTGTACACACGCGATTGGGATGTTTTTTCAGCGAATGGGGTGCAATAAAAATCTGATCTTTTTGCGCGAAATCGTAATGTCGACAAATTCATTTGTATCGAGCTAATGGAAACGTGAGAAAACGCAATTAAAACGGTCGCGGGACGCCGCAAAACTTAAAATAAACGCCGCAATATGTAATTTGGAACTGTTTTCTAAAACCCGTACGTTTTGGCAGTTGATTCGTTTGTGCGAGAAAAAAATTGGAGACGAAATAAAACGGGTAATTTCGGTTTTCGAAGCGAAACAAGTACTCTACGATATTGTATTTAATCGATTCTGGAAAGATTGTAGGCGCTTTTGAAGTTTTAAATATTCAATTAATTATTGTTGCTGCATACCTATACATTTCGAGGACATAATGGTATTTGTACGGGCGCGTTGTTTAAATTAAAAATGTGATTTATTAGACAGGAAGCTCGGGAGCGTTTCAGATATTCCGAAGCAGACGAGAGTTATTTATTAGGTCTGTTTTCGATTATGATTTAGAATATATTTTTTACGATACAGGTAAATTATTTTTTTTATAAACCCTCCCTAATTGAATCAGCAAATGGATAAAATTAACTTATATTTCCCTCGTGCAAATTTCCTCGTTCGTGCTCTAATGAAAGTTGATGTTCTCGCGAAGAAAAAAAAATGTATACCGAATTCGGGCAAATTGATATAGAGCATCATACACGATGTCCCAACAAGATTTTCACCGGTCAATAACACCGTAACGGTATCGTATTTTAATCAAAACCCGGCATTGTTCTTTATGTACATTTATTAAAGCGAGTGACAGCGAAATCGAAAAATCATTCGGAAAACACGGGAAAATATACTGTATCGATCGATTATTGCATATCAAAATACCCCGTACGTTCGCAATTGTCTGAATGCTAATATCCCTATTTGCCTTTTTCATTATCGATGCCGAGCGCGTTTCATGCGAAAGTATTTTTTTACATATTCGCCTTGACAATACAGGAAGTTTTCGACGATCCAGTCATTCGAATACTCATTACATTGCAGCAAATTGATTGGGACACGCTGTATACAAGAAACTTGGTAGTTGACGAGTGCGTCATCTAGTAGAGCAATTATATTAATTGGGACATGGGGTATAAATGAAGATTTACTCGGAGACAACCCGTATATAAATAAGTAGTTGAAGATGAGTGCATCATCTAGCGGGGGCGATCGATACGAGGCAAAAAGAGCGCCGAAAGGGGCCGTACGAAACGGGTCCCGAATGGATTTCCTTTTCGCCATTTCCACCGTTCGACCTCCTCCACCTCATCCTCCTCCTCCCCCCCGAACTTCTACGCTGCGTGTGCAACCCTCGCTCGATTGACCCAGAAACGAGAGAGAATCGGATGCCATCTGCACCGAGCCTCATCTCGAATTCTCCGCGGCGTCGCCCCGACACCTCGAATTTCACAAACAAGAGAGATATACAATTGGATTTTTTAAACGTATAGAACTGCACTCGAAATACCGCCCTTTGCGTAGGTACGTTAACTTCTATTAGAGATTAATGGTTCGTTTTAGAGGACAAATAGAGGATCTTGGAGGATGGAACGTGAATGAATGTATACGTTGTTTTGTTGCGGGAAATTCTTATTCTGCTTTGCATATTTGTCGCGTATGTGTTCGTCCTTGCTGTTAACTTCCTTTGTGTTTATTTACCAAGTTTTGTATATACAATATCGTATCGATACTTCCTTGTGTTTTTGAGGTGTTTGTATCGTGTATGCTAGATAAAAATAGAGTTGTAGAAAAAAATGGTACCTACTGATGTATTTCATGTATTGGTAAATTGGCTATCATACATTGGTGAACCAAGGTAGTTCCGTTAAATTCATACGGTAACTCTACTACCTTCGTTCATTGTAGTAGGATTCCCACTTTTCATTTAATCCGATTATTATCGGAATTCAATTAATGGGTGTATGGATTAAAAATAGAAAATTGAACGTTCGATATATTAACAAATTAAATCGTATAATGTCGGGTAATTTTCGTATTAGTAACGGGTAATAAGGTAATAAATATTCCCGTGCTTTGTAAATAGGCAACTAATTATTCGCAAACAACCGGAATAAATGGAATTTAATTGCCGGGTTATGCGCGTATAAATAATACAAAGTAGATGTTAAATAAGAATATGAACGTGTTTATTTTACGAAATTCGACAAAATTAATTTACTACAATTCTAACATTAATTGGGCTATTGTGATAAAATCATAACAACTATAGGGTGGTTCATAATAAAATTAAAAAAAAACACTCGATGTATTCTTCTGTAAGGGAATGGAATTGAGAGGGATGTTTTAAAATGTCTGGGAATTGCGTACAAATGGAATTGGGAACAAGTCATGACATGTTTATCTGATGAGATTTTGCCTTCTATGGTTACAAAAATTGAGCTATGGAAAAGCGACTATAAAAGTCGAACACCTGCATCAGACTGAACAATGTTGCACTGGATAGTTGCACAAACTTGTCAAGACTTGTTTGTCACCAATAACATTGCCTATAAGTTGAACGTAATTTAATTAGAACACAATTCCCAGAACATTGGAAACATCCCTCGTATGTAAACCTTTCAAATTTCAAGTATTATGCACTTAACGCGTTTTTCTAAGTTTATTTCAAACGAGAATTCGACGCTATTTCGAGACGCATCAATGAAAGCGGCACCCGAAATTACGGGAAGGCTATCGAATAACCGGGAAAACTATGCTAGTAACTATACAGTTGTAACCGTTCCAGGGGGGGGAGTTTATTTAAAAACGGGTCCCGCGGCTATTTTTATAACGCCATGCCGTTGATATTTTAACGATTATAAATCGCCATTTGTACCGTGTATTTTTCGATTCGGATTAGTTTAAAAATAACACCTTACAACAAAAGGAATTAAAATAAGTAGAGCGCTATTATTCGTACCACTCTGTATATACAGGAGATTCTTGCATATATAGCTTATTGGACACGCTGTAATTTCTATTTTTTGTTCATTATGATAACTTAGTTGATTATTTAGATAAAATGTTGTTGCATTTTTCGAGCGATGCATATGTAATGCATCCGAAGCGGAAATTTCGAATTTCAAACGGTTCATGCCTAATTTTCTGTCATTAAACGCGAGAATTTCGAAAGGGTCAAAGATGTTGACCTATAATTGTGGTTTTATCTAACAGAGGCGGGTTCGTTAACATTCATTAGAACACGTTTTATGTAAATTATGTAATTATTAAAATGAAAGAAAAAATCGCCCTTTAAAACCTTCCTTTTTTGTGATGTTGCCTTCTCAAGGGTAAATCTGGGTATTTTTTTTCTGTACCCCAGTACAATAATGATGTGTATTATACACGCCCCTGTTTGTTCCTAGTCATCCGCCTACGAGAAACGTTGGTAACTCATGTGAGAAAATTACACGGTGCGTCTTCTTGGCCGTTTCTTGTTGTTCTTTTTTCCTTTTATTACCATTCGAATTATGCCACATCGGGCTCCATGATGAACGGGTTAATTCGCTTTAATTATACAGGCGGTCCGGTCGAAGAAGGCATGGTTATTCCACAGGAATTCTAACCTTTTTTTTTTAATAAAAAAAATATTATAAATTATTCGATTTTCTCGCATTTCAATCGACTTTGTTAATTGAGCGCGCAATAGCGTTTATCGTCGTTCACCTTGTTAAAATAAGCGTTAATTAAAATGAAAAGGATGTTCGAAAATTTCACAATGAGCGAACTTGGACTTTTCTTTTTGTTGTAATACCGGTGTGTTTTTTTTATTTAATGTAGGAAACCTCTAATTGCGATCGCTGCGTAACATCGATTGCAATCGATTTTTTTTGAATACTTAATTTATTCGCATTTGCGCGTCTCGTTTTATTATCTTCGGTGCGGTTTACGCGCACGTTTATATTCGCTTTTATAACGCTTTGTATATAATAAAGTTAGTTTATAGTTTCGAGTTTATTATTTTTTTTCATCGACGAATCGTACTTAATTGAAAATCGTTATTGGAAAATCGAATTTTCTCTTTTCCGGTTCGCGCGAAGCCGAGAAGTTTGGCCTACATATCGCGACCTTTCCATCCTTTTTAGGTATTCTTTTTTTACGAGATTCCGATTCTAATCCCTCTTTATTTATTAACGCCAGTCAGCGCGACCTTTAGAATAGAAACTTGTTATTTTTGTCAAATTGGATGTCATACATTGGTGAACAAAGGCGGTTTTCTTTAAATTTGTATGGCAATACAAATAGGGCTGCCACCTTGGTTCATCCGACGAGGATTCCCGATATTTTCAACGCTCTGTCATTCAAAGGAAATCGATATTAAATTCGCTGTTAAATGCAATTCCTGGAATGTCGATAATATTATTCCGAAAACAATTAATAATTCTTGAATAAAATCGCAGGCGATTCCGATTCGCAATTACAGCGGTAGATTTTTTTTTTCGCACGTGGAATATTTTTTTGTTTACCACTTTGCGTTTCTACGCAGCCGTTAATTGTAATGTTGGGAAATTAAAATCGATGTAATTAAATATAAAAGGTTCAAAAATAAAAGAAAAATAAGGCGAACTGCTCGAGTCCGAGATCACAATAGATTCGCGTAAATTAATCCGATGCGGCGAATCGAGAACAATGGGAAAGTTTACAGTAAAATTGAAAAATCTTACGACCAATTCTAACGGGTTCCTTTCGCGGTTTTAACGATATTATTTAGAAAACGATTTCTTTTGGGTATATATTTATTCTTTTTTTTTCTGTTACACGCAAACCTTGCAATTTCTATTAACTGTATACGTAAAATACAGAGTGATTCTGTAAACTTTCGAGTGATTAATTTATCAACCGCAGCGCGTCGATTAAGATTATTTTTGTGAACAAATCGCTCTGAAAGAGAACCTTCTTCAATGTTGATTAAATACCGCTTTTATCACTAAACTAATTAACGTCACTTAATTATCTAAAATTCGATGTTTGTTCTGTACTATACCGACCTTAACACCGTTGTTAATTTCCAAGGATTTCGTGTAAATATTTTTTCCGAGTCTAGCAACGCTAATTCCACCAGATTAATTAATTAGCTAAACGATATACCTATTAAAAATGAACGTATTACTGAATAATTAAATATAAGAAGTAACTTTCATATACAAAATGGATATCATACCTTTGTGAACGAAGGTACTTACCGTTAGATTTCGTACGGCTCATTCGACCACCTTAGGAGTATTCCCGCGATAAAATTTGTGGAGTAATATGAGGGGAAAATGAGATTTTCCTTTCGAATACATCGAGCAATACATCAGCGTTCATCTGTGGACCGGTTTCATTTCGTTTTTCTTCCTGTTTCAGATAAACCTGCGCCTGATACTCGTCAGCGGCAAAACAAAGGAGTTTTTGTTCAGTCCGAGCGACTCTGCCGGGGACATTGCTCAACATGTTTTCGACAATTGGCCGGACGGTGAGTTTTTCCTTCTCTCCGGCGCTTTGTTTACGCCGATTCCCCGGCTAATAATAAACGCTGGCTAATTTTAACTGTTTACACGCCGGGACGCTCGTGAGGGAGCGCAGGTGGTTCGGTTTTCGTTTGATTTTTCTCGAGCATTTTTGTGTTCTTTTGCAGATTGGTGCCAAGAGGCCGTCTCGAAGGCCGAAATACTCAGACTTATCTATCAAGGACGCTTTCTACATAGTAACGTTACGTTAGGTGCTTTAGGATTACCGTTTGGGAAGACGACAGTGATGCATTTGGTCCCGAGGGAAACGCTGCCCGAGCCTAATTCGCAAGGTTCGTAAAAGAAAATTCAACTCGTTTTAATTAAGTTGCGAAATGGATATCATACATTGGTGAACTAAGGTGGTTTACATTAAAACGATGCGGTAACTCAACCACCTTAGTTCCTCGCAGGAGGATTCCCATAAACTGAATTAATTTTTGCATTCGTTTAATTTTTAGATCAACGACAAAAGAGCAAAGGTGGCAACAGCAGTTGCTGTTCGACATCCTGTTGCATTCTGTAAGCGCCAAGAAGAAGACCACGTAGGATTACCGATTGCGAGTGTAAAAAAAGAAAACCGGAAGATAATATCGAAATGAAAACAAAAACGAGTGCGTAATTTCTGTTAATTTTGTTAAAAAAAATCGAGTCGCGGTTATTTTAGCCTAAAGGAAAATTTTTAAGTAAAAGTTGTGATATACATGTATAAAAAAGAATTATTCGATACTCAAAAAAAATGTGCCAGACTGGGAGAGTGCGCGATCAAATTTTCGGGACAATTCGACCGGGATGGAATGTCGCGAGACGAAATGGGACTTTCGCGATTCGATTTTCGATTCCGAAACGGAATTTCGAGCCGCCTCAAAGTTTCGGAAGGTTCGCAATCCGGAAGGGAAATCTCGATTAGTTTTACGTCCACGTTGCGATCCTTCCGGGGTTTCTTTGTGACTGTGATTATTATTTTTTTTTACATATATAAATATATAATTTGAGGTGTACAGAATTGGAAATTATCCTTCATTCTTCCGCGTTAGATCTGCGTGCGGCATTTTAATAACTAATCGTCCGATATATATTTTTTTTTGTAATTATATTATATAGTTGTATATTGTTTTATATTTTAGAAATTGTATTATTTTATCGTCGCTCATCGTGTAAATTTATCCATCATGTCATGTAAATCTATTACCTACTTAATGTAATTTAAACAATTTCACAGGTTGGTTGTGAAAAATTTTATTGCCCGTTTTTCTTATTTGCAGTATTTTTTACGTCTTTAGTTTAAAAATTGTGTGCAGAAATTCTGTTCATAAAAAAATGTTTTTTTCACAACTACACTATGTGAAAAAATATGTGCTAGAAATATATGTATTAGGTATTATTCGAGAGGTATTATTCGAAATTTATAAGCGTTTTTATTTTGTTCATTTTTAAATGTATTTTCCATCGCCTTTCGGATAATATTTTGGAAAAAAAAAACACTGAAATAGTATTTGCTTTTCCCGATTTACGACAGAACAAAAAATTGTAAAGTGATAAAATAAATCTCGGCTCCGATTATGTTTGTACAGGGTGTTTAGATATTGGAATTACTGCAAATACTTTGAGTAATTCCTCAAAAATTCCTAAGTTTTTTTTTAACTAATTACCTTGTATTTTCATTATCAAACGCAGGCGCTTTGTTCAATTAAATAAAATAATCGAGTAATTTTACAGCATTTCTCACTATGTAATGACGATTTATTTTTTTGGTAATTATCTAATTTTTTTATTTAATTTAATTGTGTAAAGACGAGTCATGTAGATTAGAAATGTTAAGGCACTTTATTATAGAAAAGCAGCGTCAACTCGGATCGTTATCATGGATTTTGTAAATACATTAACCGAATACAAGAACAAAGCGGCGTTGCCGCGTCGTGTGGTTTATCCACTACATTCGAGATTTTCAGCAATAATGCAATATTTTTTTCGAAATACATATTCCTCTCTGTAAATGTCCGATCGAAAGTCTCGAGGATATCACAATTTCCGATCGAATCGAATAAATGTCGTGATTACGTAGGTGTTTCGAATAATGCAAAATGATGTATTTACTTAAGTAGATATATTTGAGTTACCTCGGCAAATCGAATTTGTTAAATTCGTATTTTAAAAGCATGTATTTGTGAATAATCGCCCCCCGTACACGTAAATGCTGGATATTTTATTTTTAGCGGAACCGCCGGTTTACTGAACGTGTCGGGTTCTATTAGAAATAATTTACAGGATTTACCGAATTCATAAATTATTCATCCATCCATAAATGATCTATTTATTATCATCGCTATCACGAATATTCCTTCCAAGAAAAATTATCCAGTGATGTTGAACGTTTCAAATGGGAGATTATCCGCTGTTGAAAATTTTCATATCGCTTCTATTTATTTTGAAATACAGGGTGACTGAAAAATATACTACGAACAAACACACAGTATATTAGATGTTTATATATTTATCCTGAATGTTTTTTCATGTAAATAAGTACAAATTAAATGTTGGACCACCGATATTGGATCGATTGGTTTTCATGTCGTATTGTTTTCTTAATTTTTTTTTAGAATTAAATTATGAATTCTATCGATATAAATATTACATTAGATGCGTTAATAAGCCGATGAGGGGCTGTTATTAACGGATCGAATAGAATAGGATATAATGTTATAATTGTAAAATTTTATGTACATAGATTTTCTTCCATATCATTAAGTTTCGACGAGGAATCAACTTGAATTTTAAAAATATCTAAAAAAATGCACTTTTCAACGAAGGAAAGAATTTTGAAAATCCGCAAACTGTACATAGGAATCCGATTACCGAATGATTAGCACGTTTCATGATATTTTTGTAAATAAGTTTATTAATTACAGCGATTTTCTTATACATTATACAGGGCGTCGCGACACTTAAATATTTCTGTTATTTTCTTGTCCCTCGAAACCGCTAAATCGTCGCTGAAATCAATGTCGTGATCTATAAAAATTCCCTTTTAAAACAGAATAGAAGTATTTACCGATAGTATCCTAATGAAGCTGGCTCTTTGCGATGCTAAATTTGTTGAATTTTGCATTTTGTGAAGGAATTCGTAATACTCGCTTAGCATATGCGTATAATATCAAAGTTACAAGATTAATTTTTTTTAAAAAGCTGTGTAATATCAATTTATCCGATACGAACGGAACCATTGGCGTCGCCAGAAGGGGGCCACTCGAGGGGGATTATTTATAATCTTTTTTCTCGATTGTATAAAAATAAATATAGATACATCCTGCTCGCCCCTCTGCCCCAAACGCTGGGGACGCCCATGTAATACATTGTATGGATATTTGTATGGGAATTAAATCAGTCGTGCTTTTGTAATTTCCATCATGAGTACTTAAAATTATACACACAGGGCGATAAATGTAAATTGTGCAGCTTGAGGAACCGAATCAATAGTCTTTCTTTATGCAACTTATCATGTCCTAGCGTTTGGATCACCCTGTATGTACTAATTTCGAGCATGACAATTGCAAAATATCCGTAAATTACAGGGTGGCTCAAATAAAGCGAATCTTTTTAGAACGATATAAGCAGGGAATGCCCCGGGATACGTTTGCATTTAATAGCTTGATATAGCTCGAGTTTTTTCCATAAAGATTCGTACGTTTACGAGATATCCTGTTCGCAATTCTAAACTGAAGTAAAAACTAGTCCTTGGATTGAATATTACTCAGAACTCACGGTGTTAAGACTTGAATGGATTTTTCTTAAATTAATTTTACTGTGTAAATGAAGGCTATATTTAAACTATATTTTTCCTATGTATTGTTTATTTTTTTTGTTCAGGTTAAATAGATTAATATTATTTTAAAAATCGTCTTTTATTACAATCGGCGTTCCTGTAAACGGAGCAACGAAAAATGATTGAGAAACGTGATATATCATGTAGAATATCTATTAGAGTGAGGCTTTTTTCTTGTAGCTGTTTATATTATACAATTTCTTGTATAGAACTTGATAAGGCGTGAAAGGGACTTCGAATAAACAGCGATTATAATTCGAATTAACGATTGATGCGCCATCTAAGAACGGCAGACCTTTACTAAAATAATGATCGATGGTGGCTTTGCTTTGAAGCTGTCAAAAGTTTCGAGCAGTGCTAGTTATTAGAGATGTTAATTGACAAAATTTTACACAACATACAAAGGAAGCTAATAGGAACCGTGATGGCAATTTTAGCTTCTCACATTTTTTTACAAACATTTTCTACTTTAAATTTAAGGTCTTTTTTGTTAACTTTATACAGCCATCCAACTTCCTCTTTTTTAAATTTTTGTTGACATTGACAATGCCTTTGTCAATGTCAAGTCAAAACTGTCAGTTGTCGCTGTCAATTTGTTAGGGCAAAGACGAAAATTTTAGTTGAATTTTGTTAATTAATTTTGATTTACAAATTAGTTTTTACCGACCAGCGACCGTTCGAATCGCACAAGTTCAAACAATATTTAATCGCCGTTATCCAAGCAAAAATGCCGCGAGGTGAGTTCCACGAGAAGAATATTTAATTACCCATGCGTTACGCTGGAATCCCCATTCCGGTTGCATTGCGCGAGATTTCGCCAATTTGTCACGTTGACTAATTAATTTACGTCGATTTGACGTCGCAATTGCAGGAAAATTCACCAACCACAAAGGCAGGAACCGCAGGTTTACCAACCCGGAGGAGCTCGAGGAGGAACGAAGGAAGGAAGAGCAGCAGAAGAAATGGAGGCGGAAGAAAGGCGAGAGCAGCGAGGGCGAATCAGACGAAGACGAGGCGGCTGGTGATAAAAAAATTAGCGAAGAAGAAGCGTCCGGTTCTGGTTCCGATTCGGAGGGTTCAAGCGATGACGATGTAGAGGTTAGTACAAATCAACACGTACAATTTAATAAATGTGATGGAATGTTTACCTTTCATTCAAGGTGAAAGCCAAAGGCGTTTCGAATCTCATAGAAATCGAGAACCCGAATAGGGTGCAGAAGAAAACGAAGAAAATTACCAACGATCTCGACGTGGCAGAATTGGACGGAAAACCGCAACTGTCGAGGCGAGAGCGCGAAGAAATCGAAAAGCAAAAGGCGCAGGCCCACTATCAAAAATTGCACGCCGAAGGCAAGACAGACCAGGCTAGGGCCGATCTGGCTAGATTGGCTATCATTAAACAGCAACGGGAAGAGGCCAAGAAACGTAGGGAAGAAGAACAACGAGGTAAGCGAGATTCTATTTCTTCAAATATCTTTGTAATGCTCGTTGTATTTTGCAGAAAAAGAGAATGCTGCCAAAGAGAAAACGGCTCAAACGAAGAAGGCCTTGGGTAAAAAATAATAAAAGTGTTTTTATTATTAAATTATTATTATTAATTTCTACTGCAATGTTTCAATTGGCTTGTTTTAAATGTTTCATATGTTAAAATTAACTTTTTCACTTATTTTTTTCGTGTATATATCTTCTACTACTCGTAAATTATAATCCAGTGATAGTTGAATTGGTTGAATTAATCATAAAAAAAATCAGTGATTGATTTTGTTCGTGTTTTTCGTATTTGATAATAAAACATAAATTTGAATTTTTTATTAAAGGGAGTTTTCGATAATTAACTTGTAATAGGTCAAATAAAAAAGGGGTAGTAATAAAAACGTCGCTTATCAAAAACTAAATAATTTACATTTTTATTAGTACAATCGATTCGTTAAAAACAAACGTTAATTCGTATAGAATTGTTTAAAAATAAACAAACAAAACCGAAGCGGATAAAATATACATTTAAATATATACACAATACAATCGATTTTATTTTGTCAGTTACTTTAATACTTAAGATTAATTATTAATTCAGGGCCGAATGAATTCGCGCGGCGCCACCGCCCATCATCTTACAAGCGAAAAACGGGCTATCCTATAGCTTTAATTCGGATATATTATCGAAATTTCAGGTGGCACCGGACCCAGTCTCGCCCTTATTATTTATTACACGACCAAACAAAACACAATAAAACGTCAATATATAAAAAAAAACCAAGAACAACACAGGAATACATCGACGAAAACAAAACAAAAAGAAACAAAATAACATCATCGCTACGAAATCGCGCACGAATTCCTCGGCACGCAACTCGTCCGATCGTCGACCATCGAACCCGGCGTCGTCGGCGTGCTGGTGAAGCGCTTCTTCCTATTCGAACCGCCGCCGTTCTTCTTGCGCGCCGTCCCGTTGGCGTAGCGCCATTGCGTCGACGACGACGTCAAAGCGTACGACTTCAAATGGGACTTCACCACGACCGGCAACGGTAGCTGCTCGATTGAGTACACGCTCGTCCTGGCCACTATGGCTCTGCAGCACAACTCCTGCAGGCTCAGTACTACAAAACGCAATTATTTATAGCTTTAAGATCAAGTGTGCCAATTCCTAATGTCAAATGTCATTTCTTTGACGTTTGAAAATGTCTGAAATTGGTTTTGATTGTAAGTTTGTTGGAGAAAGATGGACATTTCGAAGAATAAAATGCTCTTTAAATTTTAGTAGAAGAGAGGAATTTTGTTTGCTTTAAGAAATTGGAAAAATTGAAGCGTATTATACAATTAACAGTAATGTAAAACTGTCAAATTCAACAATCTCCTTAGTTACTCCATAACAACAATGTAAAACTGTCAAATTAAAGACGCTTTAAACGATTGTTTAACGTCAAAAAGGTGCGCAAAATAACGAATATTTAACATTAACGTATCCTTTAAATAAAAGTAAAAGTATCCTTTACATGCCCTTACAAATAAAAAACAAAATAGATACCTTTGTTGGATCTCCAGAGTCTTTCCAATCCGTTGCGATGCAGGGCCATCCGCGACAGCTCGCAGAAGCTCTCGTGTATGTTGAAATTGCACAAAGGCGACACCTCGAAGAAGGCCATGCCGTGCTTGCTGGCGTAGGCGTCGGCGTCGCGTTGGAGCACCTTGCGATTGAACGCCAGATGGAGGCGATTGCCGACGAGTACTTTGGGAACGCCGGGCGCGTGCTCGTCCACCTCCTTCAACCAACGGTCGAGCCCGTCGAACGACCATCGGTTCGTTATGTCGTACACGAGAAGGACGCCTGTGCAATTCGCGAATTACTTAATTTGCTAGCTTCAGTAGATGTTCGAGGGGACTTACCCTGCGCTCCTCGAGAATAGCTGCGAATTATTGTACAAAACCGCCCCTGGCCGGACGTGTCCCATAGCTGCAGTCTCACCCTTTTCCCGTCCAAGAGAATCGTGGTCGTCTTATAAGCTGTAAACGCGCGTAATTAGCGTTATTGGTTTTTTGCGAACTTTTTAAAATACACGTACACTTACCGCTGTGTCCGCAGAACGGACTCTCCGACGATCCATCGTCCAGATCGGACAGGATTTCTTGCTTTCCCACATCGCTGTCGCCTACTAAGAGAAACTTGAGCAGATAATCGTATTGTTTGGGAGGCCTGGCGGTGTCCTCAGTCATAGCAGTGACGACATAGTAGAGTTAAATGCATAATTTAACCAATGTTGTTCTTTAATCCGGTCTCTTCGCTCTACATGTCTTAGATGGATTGTGAACTGGCTGAAATCGAATACCGAATACTTTACTGTTCGATGTTTAATGGTAATTTCCTCACTTTTCTTTCTCTACTTCACCCACAAGGTCGTCGTTGATCGAGAACTCGGAGGTTTCTTCGGAATTTTTATACGATTAATTCACTTAATTTTACTCGATATATTAATTTAAACTCTTCGTTCACTAAACAATTACGCTACGGGATTGGTACTTGGACGAAATTTGCGATAATTTAACACAATTTTGACGAGTAAATTTTTGACACAAACAATGCGAAATATTGCAAAATGAATGACAGTCAATTGACACTTGACAGTATTGACACTAACATATCCAAAAAAAACGAAGAAATAATCCACAACTTTGACACAAATGACACTCATTTGACAGTTGTTTTGACACTAATATTGTCAAGTACTTAAAATGTTCCATTTAAATTAAATTTACCGTCTAACAACAACCGAACGATTAAATTAATAAATTAAATCGTATAAAGTGCGCTTCGAAATTCCCAACAGCACCAAGAAATGTGACGCTCTGACCCTGGTTTGTTTTCGGTACGGGTTTTTTATGGTTAGGTTAAGGGTCGAGTATCGCCAAACAGAAGCACGAAAACGCCTCGAAATTGATTGTCTCGCGTCTCCCGAGCCTCTCGGCTTCATCCACAAATGAGGACGAAGAACTTCTTTGTGACGGTAAGCGTAATCGTGACGTTGAGCTTGATGTTCGTGCTGTTCGGACAGGAGAAGCCGGAGAGCATCCATGACATCGTGTCGACCACCAACGAGCAAATAAGGAATTTCCAGGTAACTGGTAGCATTTACAATACTCCAATTCTCTTATTGATACCGTTTCGTGTTGTAGGTGAACCTGAGAGACGCCGAAACGAAGACTTTAAATGCGGACGAGAAGTACTTAAAAATATTGGGGTTCGTAGACGAGCCGAGGAGTTATCCTAAAGATGTGTGGACTAATACGTCGTTACCTGTGGTTGTGACCTACGTTAGAGAAGGCCAGGAAAGTCAAGCGATCGGTTTCGTAATTAACATGGCTAAAGTGTTGCCGAATAATACGGTTTTAATCTATAATTTGGGTTTGGACGAACAGGGTTTCAAATTGGTTAGTAGTTTATTTAGTAGAAATTTAAAAAATGCGTTTTGTATTTAATTTTTTTTTAGCTCACGAATTTTTGCAATAGTTCGAGATGTCGCGTAGTCGATTTCGATTTGAATCGCTTCCCTCCGCACGTGCTGCTTGAGAATTTACACGCGTTTCGGCCCCTTATCATTCAGGTATTTAATCAACTTCGCTTTACAATTGTGTATTAAAATCGATTCTGTTCTAGGACGCCCTGCAACACACCGGCGCCGTTTTCTTCCTCGAATCGAACTACCGATTGTCCCACAACGTGATAACGAAACTGTTCGAAGACAGGGCGTTGAAATCGGGCGTGCTCGCCTGGCCGTTGGACCTCAAAAATCCCGTATCCAGCCTCACGCACAAGAAGATGTTCGAATATTTCCTCACCGACGCCGATAATTTCCTGTTCCTCGAAATGGTAAGTCGCTCGCATTATAAAAATGCCCCAATTACATCTCTCGCATTACCCCAGGTGAAATCCGACGCTTTGTTAATCGTCAACACTCCCATCGTCCATCGGCAAGTGATGCTTCCCTGGGTGCAGTGCGCCCTCACGCAGGACTGCATCTTCCCCGTGGGGGCCCAATCGGCCGGCTGTAAGTTCGACAAGAAGCCGCAGTACAGGTACTCGGGCTGTCACGGCTACGACGCCTCAGCTTTGAACGTGGTGCTGGGGCTGTTGTTCAAGCAGGACGGCGGGGCGTACACGTGTTACGACAATTCCAGCGGATATTTCGATGTGATCCCTCTGAACGAGGCCGATCGGTTGCTCAAGCGGCTCGAATCGAACTCCACCACCGAAGGTAATTTGTTGTAATTATTCCTCTGTGTGGTTTCCAAAATGCTGTACAAGGTAGACGATGTATAACTGATTGGTTTGTGTTTTGAATGTTTATGATATGAAATACGAGGGGTGTTTGATAAGTATCGATAGTACACAAACCGGTCACTTGTATATTGACCACGGTGTATTGTAGTAATTTATTTTCTTGTGATAATTTGAAATGAAAGTTTATTAATTTTTTTGTCTGTATTGTAGAATCGTTTCTTCGGTCGAGTTAATTTCTGCATAACGAATTTCCTCGGTAGGATTCTGCTTAGTATGCATGATGTTGTGTACATGAACCTTGGGAATGTCCCTCGTAGCTTCTACGAGTTTTATAAAGTAATATCAACACGTTTCTACGATTTAGCGTATCTTACGAATGCCACTTCACGTTTGTGATTTGATTTGAATTTATTTGGAAATTTCCGTCGTGAAATATCTCGAAAGGAAATTTAGTAAACGTTCCTCTAAAACGCGCCGATTGCTCAATTTAAATTTACAACTTTATCGCGGATGATTACGATTACTCAATTGAATTGCTCAATTTTTAATTTACAAAACCTTTGGGGTTTTATTTTATTTTGTTTAATACTTTTGTACATATATTTTGTTGGTCGTTTTTTTTTTGTTTTTATAAGGGTGTTTCGACGAGTCGAAGGTTTGTACATTTACCAATGGAACACTCTGTATATTGAAATTGTTGTACTTAAACCCTTCTATTTGTTTTCGCCTATTTGTATTTTCTTATGCACATAAGTGCAAATTTGTTAGCAATACGAGAGCAACAAAGACAACTTCTATTTATTCATTCATGTAAAGGAAAAAGAAATAGTGATATCGGGAGATTGCAACTATCTCACTCTACTAACTGTTATTCTATTCATCTTTCTTTGTTCAACTCATAGAATTGAGTATATTGAAAACAAATTTGCACTTGCCCATATTTTTTTTTTGTATTTTCCCTGCGTATATTTGTAGTTTATCATTTCATGCCATTCCACATGCAATCTACTTTCAACATCACAAATGAAAGCAAATTAAACTTAATACATATCTACATATAGTATCTTATCTCATCATTTTATAAGCACTTAAATACTATTAAATAAGATGATATACAGTGTGATATACCTAGATTTAGAACTATTTTAGTATGTTAAGTTCTTGCCGAAAAAAAGAAAATCGACAACTGGTTAATTTTTATTTGAAACTTCTACACGCAATTGTGATACTTGTGGATCTATAAAAATACTCGGTTTTTGTAGTTTTGTAGGTCTTGTTCTATTTTTCGGTAGGAATTCAAGAGGCCTGGTTTTTCCCACTCGGAATAAAATACGTTCTTGAGTTTTGTGCGCTTGCGCAAAACAGTTTGAAGCATCCGGGGATTGTTCTAAAACTGGAAATTCTACAATTTACAGTTCGATTATTACTCGATTTATTCTCTATGGGAAAACCGGCCGAAAGTATTTTATAAATAATGAATAACTGTAAAAATTTCCACACTATTATTATTTATTTCTTCGTGATAATATCAAGCAGTATTCGTTTATTGCGGGCCATATTCGTTTGTATTGAAGTTTCTAGTCAATATTTATTTGATATTCGTCAGATTAATAAATTTAAGTTGAAACATGGTTGGAGTTTTTTAAAAATTATTTATTTTCACATTCACGGCGATAATAAAGCTCAACAAACACATAATAAGAAGATAAAAATGTATAAAACGGTAAGTAACAATAGTAAAAATTAACTCAAATTCAAAATAAAAATTTTATAAATCATTACGTAAATAATACAAGAAAATGTTAAATATTTCGAAAATGAATTGAATAAAATTTAATGCACTTATCATCTAATGTATTTCTAGATACGCTCGTTTTTTTAACAGTACCATCGAAAGCGCGGAATGTTCGTATTTAGACCGAAAAAATAATCAAGATTCAAAACTTTTTATAAAATTCTCTATACAAGATCAAAAACAGTATTTTCATTTTTTATCAAAACTATATATTACTATGATCCCACTTTATCAACAAGAAAATATTTGTTATCAGTAAAACCCGTAACAGCATCTGTTCCCGTAAAAAATAAACCTCTGTGGCGAACTTTCCAACAAAATACCAATCGCGCCTCGTATAAGTAATACGAGGTCGATTCGTTAAAATTTAAAAGGGCAATAAAATAAATTATTCTTCGAGATTAGAGTTTTGCAGTGAATACCAAGCGAAAAGTGCGAATTACTAGCTAGCAAATTATCGATTGGGCTTTCCCAGATAACCGATCTTTCCCCCATCAAAACAATTTGAAACAAATCGCGCCCGTTTGAATACAATTCCACACAGCCCAATCAACAGCCCTCTTCGAACACCGATCAACTTAACATTTAGCTCGCTCGTTACATCTAAAACTACCCTAATAAGGACACCCCAAGCGTTTTAACTTAGAGCGCGAACGCCACAGCGGACAGCAGCACCCCGACGAAGGTGAATCCTGCAAGGCTGGTTGCCGAGTTGCACTTGTCGGTCTCGCAGGTCTCGCAGCTCAGGTTCTGCAGGCTGTCGGGCTCGTCGCTGGCCTGCGATGAGAGCCATCCCACGGCTTTGGAGATGGCCGAGCAGCCCACGGTGGCCGGCGGGAGGCAGCCCCTGGCTATGTACTCCTTGCCGTCTTTGTCTGGAAACCATCGAAAAACTCGGTTATTTCGACACTTTAGGTGGTTTATTTAATGGAGAAGTGTGTCCTAAGAAAGCGCCTAATAAAGTCCCTTTATTTTTTTCTGTGCCCAAATAAGGCCGCAATGAATTTTTAAAGTTTGTCAAAATGACAAATGACAGTTTGATTTTTGTTCGTTTGTTGTATTCTTCATTAGGTGTGTTCGAAAATTCATACAATTTTAAATTTCGAAGGGCTATATCTTTTTAATTATTACACATTTTGAGTAACTGAAAACTGTTTTGAGCTCTAATGAATCATTTCTAAATGTATCTTTTGCTGAAATCTGGTGGTCTTCTCCATTGGCAATTGAGCGCGGACGCCCTCTGTGATCGTTAAAGTGAATTATCGTATAGGCTGGAAATTCGAATCGTGGGTGATTAATTGAATTTGTCGAGTGTGTAACGCGCTACTGTTTTTCTGTTATAAACCTTGAATAGAGTCATCCTCATTCTTATCCTCATCAACCAATTATTCTAACGATGTATCGCAAAGTTCGAAAATTTCGACCGCTTTAATTGGACATCATATACAGAAGAAACACGCAACATATTAAATTATTATTGTTATAGCCTTAACTAGATACATCTACTTTGTGTATGTAATAATTAAAAGAGTGGACTTGACGACCTTGTAGCACTTCCCAACATTTCTGTTCATTAATTTACGGTCTTGTTATTCAAATTACTCGAGCTGTAGCGTATAAACATCGATGGGAAAGGAACTATATAAAGCCCTAGGATTTGTACTTACTTTGACCGGTGATTTTGTAGCATTTAGGCGTGATCACCGAGTCCAAGACACCGGCGCTGGTGCACTCTTGGGTGTTGTAAGTAAACGAGGCTAAGCCCCATTTGCAGGAGGTGCTGTCTTTGGAATTGCAGCTGTAGCAAGTCAAACCGTTCGCTGAAAATTAGTTAAAAAAATACCATCAGTTCCAAGTGGGGTTGGTTCTGTGGTGGCCGGCAAAGCAACCAGATTTAACAACGATAGAAAAGTGTTGTTTTTTTTAGTATACATTAAAGTTCTGGTAATAGTTACAGTCAATATTTCGACCTGAATTACATAATAAAGCAAAATGTGTGCAGGTAGAAACCTGTTTGCTCTTCGCCAACAAATAAATACACCCATAAAACTTACGTAATGGTACGTAATGATTATAAATATAGTGTTCCGGTTATCTTTATTCGAGCTAACGGAAAATTCAGCAAAGATTTATCTTTCTGTTGCATATTCGTAACCAAAACCACTTTAATAATTATGCGAAATTTTCCTACAATGTCGATCAAGCAGAATCGTTAAAAAATATAACACGCAGGTAATTTGAATACCAAGTGTTTTTAATGGTTTTAAAAGGATGTTTGTTCCACACAAGGTCGAATATAAATCGCAAGAAATAACCGCGAATTTATTGTGTAATTCTCACAGTGTTCTGCTTTCGTTTTTTGAATATTTCAGCATAATCTAATAATACTAACTAGTTTAGCAAGTATGTATTCGCGAGTTTTATTGTAAGGTTTCTTTCATATACAATAAATTTTACGTGGGCATGTTTTTATATGAGGTACAAATATTTGTTGAAATTAAAATTATCAGTGAGGCACAGCAAATTGTAATCATGCGTTATTTTCCTAATAATAAGTTTATATCAAGCAGTTCATAAGTCATCAGCACAGACATCAAGGGTCATGACTAAAACCAAATATGATTCACCCAAAATAAATTACTCACTATAAATAAAATTAGGCACCTAATCAACAAAACAAAACCACCTTTCGCAATCAATCAATCAATTCCGAATCCCCAGCTCATCGGGGAGTTCCCTACACCAATTAAAACTCAACCAGAACTTTTCTCAAACTAATTAGCACCGAAAAAAATCGTGCAATTAACGTACCTGCATTGACAACGAACAAAACTGCAACGACACCAGTCAGATACGAAGCCATTGTTTGCTGGAAGAACGCCGAGAAACTGAACTGAAACCTGAGACCTTTTTCAGCGGGCGAGCGGCTCGAGAATCGAAAGAGATTTTCGGGCGTAGTAACGATTTTACGATTGAAACGGTGCCAACCAATGAATGGGAATGGGACAGAACGGAATGGAAGGGAGCCAGGATGGGCGCTGAACCAGCGAAGAGGCAACGAGGAAAGACGTTTCGAGGGGATTCGACGGCGTTGCCGATTTGCCCGAATTTTTTTAAATTTTTTTATTCCGCTGGTTGCGTGTTTGTTTTTTATCGATTGCCGGCAAATGCGAATTTGTTTAGTTGATTCGCTGTTGAGTTATTAATAATTATATCAGCAGGTTGTTCGTGGGAAATTGTCATCCGTTATTCGATGTGTTTTAGTACTACTTTTATTATCTATTCATTCATATTGCGGGAATTTTTGGGCAATAATATAATTACATTTGTTTCTTTAATTGATTTTTATTAATTGTTTCTAATCAAACACAAGATACAGTGTGTGACTGGTTGAAGATGACGAGAGGAACACAATCGATATTTAAATTAGCGGTAGAAAATTTGTTCTTATTATTTTGTTTAATACCTACTATTGTACATATACAGGGTGTTTAAAAAAAAGGTTTCCCCTTTCTAGGATAGGTATAGAACATTACAAAATCAGTGGGGTTTGCTTAGTAAAAAATCGCGCCCGTTTGTATACCAATTTCACACAACCCAATGAGTAGCGCTCTTCGAACACCCATCAATAACATTCAACTCACTCTTTACATCTAAAACTACCCTAATAAGGACACTCCAAGCTTTTTTAACTTAGAGCGCAATCGCCACAGCGGAGAGCAGCAGTCCGACGAAGGTGAATCCTGCAAGGCTGGTTGCCGAGTTGCACTTGTCGGTCTTGCAAGTATTGCAGCTCAGGTTTTGCAGGCTGTCGGGATCGTCGATCAAATGGGAGGAGAGCCATCCCACGGCTTTGGAGATGGCCGAGCAGCCGACGGCGGCCGGCGGGAGGCAGCCCCTGGCTATGAACTCCTTGCCTTCTTTGTCTGGAAACGATCGAGAAACTCGGTTATTTCGACACTTTAGAGGTGTATTTCTTTGCAATTGAGAGCTGGAGATTCGTTGAATAGAGTCATATCCTTATCCTCATCAACCAATTATTCTAATTACTTTTGTTATTCAAAGTACTCGAGCTGTAGCGTGTAAACATCGATGGGAGAAGAACTAGAGAAAGCCCTCTAGAATTTGTAGGTACTTACTATGACCGATGATTATGTAGCATTTAGGCCCCAACAATTTGTCAAAGACACCTCCACTTCTGCACTCTTGGGTGTTGTAAGTAAACGAGGCTAAGCCCCATTTGCAGAAGATGTTGTCTTCGGAATTGCAGTCGTAGCATGTCAAACCGTTCGCTAAAAATTAGTTAAAAAAATACCATCAGTTCCAGGCGGGGTGGTTCTGTGAATGTCAGCAAAGCGACCGGATTTAACACCTACATTCAAATTGTAGTAATAGAAACAATCAATATTTCGACCTAAATAACATAATAATGCAAAATGTGTGCATCAGGTAAAAATAACCTGTCTGTTCTTCGCGAATAAATAAATACACCCATAAAACTTACGTAATGATTATAAATATAGTGTTCCGGTTATCTTTATTCGAGCTAACGGAATATTCAGCAAAGATTTATCTTTCTGTTGCATATTCGTAACCAAAACAACTTTGATAATAATCCGAAAATTTCCTACAACGTCGATGAAGCAGAATCGTTATAAAATATAACATGCATGACGTTATTTGAATACCTAGGCTACTAGGAATTAAGCATTCAGCAATTACAAAACAACATGTATTGGCTGATGAAAATACTTATGCCACATTTTTTTTCAGTCATCAATATCAATTCCAATCAATTAATAATAATATTAAGATAGGAGTAGGAAATGGCAATTTTTTGATTGGACCATTTGTATTGCCGGAACGATCGGGTAACTTTACTTGCATTTCATTCAGATTTAAGGTTTAGCTTTCCAAATTTATGTTTTATCCTTTATCATACAGGGCGATGAAAATCTAGGCATTAAGTTGTAATCTGTAGCCCGGGCCCAATCAATCAAACAAACCCAAATCCCCAACTCATCGGGGAGTTTCCTGCACCAATTAAAACCTAACCGGAACTTTTCCCAAACTAATTAGCACCGAAATAATCGTGTAATTAACGTACCTGCATTGACAAGGAACAAAACTGCAACGACACCAGTCATATATAAAGCCATTTTTTGATGAAACAACGACTATAAACTGAAACCTGACAGCCTGAGGGACTGATAAATGGGAATGGGACAGAATGGAATGGAGCTAAGATGGGTTTCGATATGGCGATGATTGTGTGTGTGGTTTTTTATCGATTGTGTTTGATTAACGATAACATTTCGCAAAAGCGAATTTGTTCAGTTGATCCACTGTTAAATTTTTAATATTATATCAGCAGGTTATTGGTGGGAAATTGTCCTCCGTTAGATCTGTTTTAGTACTTTTAGTACTACTTTTATTTATCTATTTAGTTGAACAAAGAAAGATGATTACAATAACAGTGGCTAGAGCGAAAAGGTTGCAATCCCTGTCACAATATCACTCTTTCTTTTTCCTTCAGGGTGTCCTTCACCCCTACACTGTGTTAATAAATTAGGAAAACATCAAGACTCTTATAACACATAACATTTGTGAACATTTAGGACGTTTTAAGGACGTTAACGAAAACCTAAGTAGACTTTTTAAAAACGTTTATAATACGTACCTGCATTATGAGGGGAATTTGATTAAAGTAAGAAGTGTCAATATTTATTGATTATTAAATTGACTTACTTGATTTTTTTTAACTATATTTAGTCAGATGGTATCATAAAGATGTTTGTATAGCATTACATAAATTATAAAAAAGAATTTTGTTTTGAAATTTTATATTTATGTATTAATTTGAATGAAAACAACTTGTTTTATTAAACTTTGCTCTGAAAATATTTAATGGTACCTACTTCGAACTTCGAACTATATTCGAACTATAAACAGGTTTTTATCCTCATCAAGGGACACACTGTATAAAAACCAATAGCCCTATTTTTTTGGAAAAAAATCTTTATCATTTAACAAATGTTTGAACACCATCATAAATATTAATGGTGTCGACGAAATGTGCCGTATAAGCATATACTTACCGATAATTGAAAATCGATGATACTAATCACCAGCAATCATATTCGATTGATTCAACATTTATTATTCAAGAAATAAATTTATTCTCTATTGGAATAACCACTTACGAAGTGTGGTAATTCACATCACGAAAAATTATTCATCAAATATAGTGGAGAAGCCGCTAACATATTTTAATTTCTTGTCTCTTCAATATATTTGATTATGCAGACAAGTGCAAATTTGTTTACAATTTGGTTAAACCGAGTAGAATAAAAAAAGATTATTTAATTAACAGTGGTTAGAAAGAGTGATATGCAATCCCACAATATCACTGTCACTTCCCGTTATAAGAGATTAATGTAAGTCGTCCTTGTTGCACCCATAGACTGTTTTGTAAACAATTTTGCATCTACGTGTATATTTCTTATCTTGTTTATTAAAATAAGTGTTGCTATGTACACAACAACGCATTGGAATTTATGAATTAAATCCAAATTTGGAATTAAAAAGTAATTTGGGGCGGCATTGAAGCGAGTCGCGCTATAAAATAAATTAATGGAACAACATCGTCGTTAAATATTATTTAATATCAAATACACGGACTTACAACATGATAGGTAAACTTACAAAAAAAAAAGAAACTTCAAAACGCATAATAAAAGTACTTAAAAACATTTAACGGTACTGATTGCTACGCTAATTTCCACAAATATTACGCGAACTCTCAATAAATTCTCTGAGGTATAATATAGAACATTTCATACGGCGATTATTGAGATTCCGCGAGATTTACGCATTTACCAAAAAGTACATTATTTCGTCTCTAAACACCTAGTATTTTTTTTAATAATTACATTACGCTTCGATAACGAGCAGCTTACATGAACAGAAACGCGAAAAATACGGTAGCCGCAGCTGCGAAGCTGTACTGCACGGACGCCGCCGTGTTGCACAGGTCCGTCTTGCACACGGGGCACTTCACGTCGGTGGCGCCCTGCGGGGTGGTCGGGCACGGGGCCTCGCCGGTCTTCGGGACGGTGGCGCATTTCCTGTTCACCACCTCTTTGCCGTCTTTGTCTGCGAGAAAAAAACGCCAATTTAACGTTACAATTATAGGGGGATGAAAAGGGTGGTTTACCTTTGAAGACGATTTTCTGGCAGGCCGGCTCCAGGGTGGTGTCCGCGCTGCCCCCGCACTTGTTCTTACCCCATTCTTTCATGTCGTTCTTGCATGTCTCCGTGTCGCAGGAGTAGCATTCAAGCCCGCTGGCTGGAAGTACAATTTTTTATTACAAACAAGAAAATTCGAAAATACAATTAAATAGTACGCCTGAACAGTATAAGGTAGACTAGGGTAAATATAATATTTTTACCTATTATGTTAATGTTTATTATTATTTTTATAGTTCTTTTGTGCATTAGACAGGGTTTGTTTCTTATTTTTTCTTTATTATTTTGTAGCTCTGTTATTTTTTTAAATAAATAAATAAACAGCATATCAAATTTTAGAGGAACCAAATATGTATTTACAATTGCCCCATATGTTTTTCTATATAATTGTATTGCACTTTAGAACTGTTTGTTACATTTACCCCGTACCATGGGGTAAATGTAGCATATTGTCAACATTTTAAAAAATATGTAAAATGGTTTTCTTCCTTTTAAAAAAAAAACTTTTTAATACCTCGATTCTGTAGTTTAGGAAGTTGTGAATTTAATGTGGTATCAGCATTTCTAATAAGAGAAAAAATAAAGCCACATTTTAGGATTTAATTTGAACTATTCAAATTTTATAACCGATTTGCCCCAGTGTAACTTACATTCGATGCGAAAATTTCCTACACTGTAAATTAGCAAACTATTAAGATATCCCCTCGTACATTCACACCTTTGGAAAGTATTTTTAAATTAAAAGTTTTCCTGGAAACCGATCTGAAAATAACCCGGTTTTACACAAATAAACCGCATATAGGAACATCCCAAACATACTAACTTACGCAAACTACATACAGAGCGTCCCAAACACCTATTTCACAATAAATATATTCCTCCTTTTATACACCCTGTAAAAAGGTATTAAATAGGTCAACCTAGATACTAAAATCTGATGCATTCGAACAACGATTTAGTCGTAAAAGCGAAAGTTCACCAGCTATATCGCGAAGAAGGGTGAAAAAGGGAAGGGCCATAGTAAATATATCCACCATGATCATCAAGCGGGCTGGATGGGTCGAGCTGGCGCCGCGACGTCCGGCGTCCCCACGGCGTGGAAGGAATCCCATCGATTTTCGGGCGGCCAAAGAGGGTGCAGTTTTTTCGGATTGCGTGACTTTTTCGCATCGGCCCGGCACGAAATGTAATCGAATTAACTTCCTCGATTCGACGATGGAAATGTTTAAACAATTACGACGTCGTCGTAACGCCATTATTTTTACGAATTCGATACGTAACGAAACATCAAATCCGGTGAAATCAATTATTAGGCTATTGTTATGTCAGGCACGCCACATACCAGTATCATTACGGGGACTGCTAATTAACTGACAATGACAGTGGCTCGGCTGTATTTATTTATCTATTATTGCGCGATGTTTCGTCGGAATTTCGATTGTAATCGACTACGAATTTCGTTTTCGATGCGCTCGGTATATAGCCCACATGTAACTGGCGATGGCCTTTCAGATGGCCTTTTAAGTAGTCGGTTAAAGTTTGAAGGAATTTTAATAAAGTGAAATATTTTTCCCACGTCTTTGAGTTCTGTGTTGAACTAAACTATCCGAATTTGGGGAATTTAATAAATAATAATGGTGACCTCCTGGTAATTTTGTACTAACTGTATGAATAAAATAATGGCGCAGGAAGCGCTCGGCTAAATTTCCGACGCTCCCTCGTAGATTGTTTGAGAGAAGTTTTAGTCGAAAGCCAAGAAGTAAATTTATTATTAATTAATTTTAGTAGGTTTTCGTCGTTAGTACTAAGTACTCTTGATAAACAGGAAAAAACAACAACTGTTTGACCGTGAAAATAATGAGAAATAATTACTATTATAAGTTTAGTTAGTTGATAGAATATACGTTAATGAAGGTAGTTTCAAAGTAAAAAAATGTGAAATACCTAAGTAAATAGAATGGTATTTGCATATCTGGAAAAATTATAATTATGTTAATATGAAACAAAAACTTTTAGCTAATGAACAGGATAAATATATTGTCACTACACACGAATTTGAAAAACGCGAAAATAAATGACTCGAAAAAAAACACCCGTACAAAAATATGTTTTTAAATGGTTCATTAAAAATATGTTTTTTAACATTTCGATTATTACAAGCACTCTTTCCGATAAAAAACAGCATAATTCTTGGTTCACGGTATATTAATACCAACATGAGTCATTTCGGGCCGGAATAAACCGTCACCATTTTTATTATTCAACGTGGCTGTTATCGTTCGAAAAATTTACATTCGTTTCTAAAAACTTTTCAACAAAAGAATGGGCAATAAAACACCAACGCCGACGCGAAAATTTTACCTGCCGAATATGCTCGATTTTCCGCGTTGTTTTTTCGCCAAATCGAAAAAAAAAATCGGCTCTCCATCAAGGCCGATACTTAATAAAATTGTTGCTACCTACACTAGCAGCGTAAAAAAAACTTACATAAGAAATCATAAGTTTGTAATTCGAACGAATTAAAACTTACAATACAAGGGCGATACAATTTGTTGTCGTACATAGCGTGAATTCACGCTTTATCGAACCGGTTCGTTCCAGTTTTTCCTACACAATAAACTTTTTTTAACCAAAAATTCTTCAATTTATCGCCGAGTATATTAAGAGTACATACAAGAAAACCGGTTTACGAAGCCATTAAAATACATATCGCAATACAAAAATGATATAACAAAATATACAGAGCGGACGACGCGCAAATCGCACCTACTCCACCCTATATATACATTCTAAAAATCCCAACACGTCTACGCCTACTAATTCAAAAACTAAAAATACCCATCCGAACGACCTACTTGATCTTTCGAGTTTACAACAAAAAAAAGCTCGCTTACCGGCGTGGAAAACGGCCAAGCAACCCAATAGGACGAGGTACTTCATTTTCTTGCTGTTGCTGCTGTGTGGCTTCGGCTGATGCGGGGAAAAACTTTGCTGTTGGTCGCTTCGAGGTTTCTTCGCGGATGGTTTCGTCGGAATTGGTATTCGGAATGGGCAGGCGAAGGATCCGTTAAACTGGTCGGTTGAACACGCGCGCCGTTGCCGCGTCCCCGCGGCGCCAAATCGCGACCGTCGCGGTTGCCGGCTCGGAAAATTCCGTACGGCTCGAAAGTTTGATGGAAAATTCGGTTTGTAAGCAGCCAAAAATGCCAAATTTTTGTATAGTTTACTACAATTGGAGTTGGTTTAAGTAGATGTGGGTCTAAATAGGTCTATAGAGGCACCCAATCCTTCCCAAGTGGGTCAATACAGAATCAAAATAGCAATAAATGTGCCCAGAAATAGTTCAAACAGGTTCATATAGGTTCACAGAGGTCTATAGAGGTCCATAGTGGTCCATGGAGGTCCATGCAGGTCCATATACAGCCTTAGGTAGGTCTAAATAGGTCCAAAAAGGTTCGTATAGGTCATTAAAGGTCAATATAAGTCAATATAGAGACCCATAAAGGTCCAAATAGGTCAAATATGAGTCGAAATAGGTCCTTATAGGTCCATAGAGATCCCCATATAGATCTAAATAGGATCAATATAAGACCGAATAGCTCCAATAAATAGGTCCACATAGGTTCATAGAGACGAATATAGGTCCATAGAGGTCCATATAGGTCTAAATGAGGTCCAAATTGAGCTAAAATAACTGATAGTAAGATGCATTTATTTTTTTCTTCATTGTATATCTTCCTTCAAGTTTCAATTGTCTGTATAATAGCATTATTTATGGATCTAAGTATGATTTAAGTGAGCCCATGGTCCACCTATAACTCCTAAGAATCAATTACTTAGGTAATAAAAACACTTAATTACTTATACAACTTATTTATCATACAAAATGAGTTAAGTTAAGCCCCTAAAGTGATCAACATAACAATCCAAAGGAGTTTTTTTATGATTTTTGTAGGAGTTAATCTGGTGGATTTCGAATAAATCTGGCAACTGGTTGTGTTGTAGTAAATACTGAGCGATGTGTGGTGCGATGGCACGGATAAATTTAATTCGAGGTTTTTACGGCGCAGATGCGGACTAACCCTAATTAGAAACTAAGTATAGATTCCGAAATATTATTAAAATATAAAAACATCGAACGATTCGAATATACTACCGGCGTTATAATTGCGACTAAAAACGAACTAGCGGATTGTAGTTAAAAATAATTAGTCTGCGTTTTGTATGGAGAATTGGAGTAAATTTTCGGTAAACAAAAATACGGTATTCTTGTAGGTCAACGTCCGTGCGGGCGGCTTTCCCCCCCAGGGCAATAACAAAGGAACGCTCCGACCCCTGTTTATTCTGGATAATATTACAAAGTAGGGCGAAAAGGGGCGCCGCGGCGGCGACGGACCGACGCCAGGAAAACGCTAAAATCCTACGGGGGGAAACGCCTAACAATCCTGCGATTTTCAATAGTTTTCCAGAACGTATATACACCTAAATAAATGAACCGAACATACAGAAATTATTCGCCATTTTTACTGTAACTGGGTAACAGTAAAATGTTCTTGTTTCATGCTGAGTTTTAAATTTAATTTTTGCTCATTTATTGATACATTCTTCAATTTTCATTCTTCCTTTTTATAATCTGAAGACACCATCGGCGATCGAAGCGCCACCTATACGCTAATCTTCAAACTAAAAGCGCAATCTATGAGTGAATACTCGAAGTATATTTTTGTGGGAAATTTGAATTGTTATTTATTAACGCACATTTCCATGCATATGTATAATTTTTTTTGGGGAATTACTGACGCAACGATTGGTCGATTTCTGTAATATTTACACATTTATAAATAAATATCACGAGACAAAAGCGGTTTACCTTAACGACCTGTCGCTTTATTTGTCGGCTGACCAATACAATTATCTGTTGTGATAAAATTAATATTAAACACCCTTTCACCGGAAGCCCCATTTACGAACCACACCTATTAGGGTCGACTGGAGTATATTTTATTGTTCGAAAACTGGCCGAATTAGAGCCTAGTTGTGGGCCATAAACGCGCAAAAATATACGAAAATTTAATAAATCATTATGCGTGGATTATTTATGTAGTTTAATAAGTGTTCTTTGCTAGGACGCCGACTACGAGTTATCTCGTATTAATTACGTGATTAAATGAACCTGGCTTTCTTTAAACCGGAATTTTGAAAATTGCAGTGGTAGTCAACGTGTTTAAATGCATATTCCTGTCTCCCCTATCGGATTAAATTACTGCTATAGATTTGCTTATAGCGAGGTCGCAGCAGCTCATATTATCACATACCTTTTACATACGCTTATTGTAGACATAAAACTAATCGATATATGAATATTTCCTTAGGAAATATACGAATTTACGATTCACTTTTATAGTGAATGGGAATATAACGGGATAGTTTCTCGCCTCCGATAACTAGGACAGGTTCATTCATATCCAAAAATTGCATAACCGCCGAAATCTATCGGTTACCAAACCGATATGTTTTTAGCTCGTTATCGGCCGATACGTTATCGATAGATCGGTTATTGGATATTATACGAATCTCGAATCCGGGGGTATACCCGCTTAGACTAGGAAGAGAAAGGCAAGTAGCCGGCGACGGAGTCCTTCGAATCGAAACGAGCAAGAACCCCGGCGAGCGAGACGGAGACGCCGCTATAGGCCTTTAACTTTCGAATTTGCCGTGCTATATGTTGATAGTCGATAGTATAGACGAAGACGTAAGTACAAGGAGAGCCACTAATATATGAAAAAACCACTGGCGTTCGTCGGGCCGCCTTCCATTGGGAATTCGAAGTAACGATGAATAAATCTTCTCGTTCACTATACCAGGATTTTCCAGGACCTACCAGAACTACAAGGATTTATGAAGCTTCTCCAGGAGCATCCAGTATTTTCCAATACCTTCCAGGGACTTAAAAAATTCCTGTGGAAAATGCTACAGTAATCTATTTGGGACCTTTTTTCTTGGAACTCTAGATTTTCTAAACCTACCGATGATGGAAGCTTCATATTAAAATTGCACATTCTAAGACATTCAGGGAGCTTCTAGATATCCTAAACCTTCTGAAAGCTTCATGTTTAGATAACTAAAGGAAGTCTCTATCAATTGTCTTCTTATTTAATTGCTGTTTCTGAGACATTTAGGGAGCTTTTAGATATTCTAAACCTACTATTAAATTGGGCATTCTAAGACATTCAGGGAGCTTCTAGATATTCTAAACCTTCTGGAAGCTTCATATTTAGATAACTAGGAAGCTTCTATCAATTGTCTTCTATTTAATTGCTAATTCTGAGACATTTAGGGAGCTTCTAGATATCCTAAACCTTCAGGAAACTTCATATTTAGGTAACTATAGGAAACTTCTATCAATTCCTACTATTAAATTGGGTATTCTAAGACATTCAGGGAGCTTCTAGATATCCTAAACCTTGAGGAACTTTCATATTTAGGTAACTAAAGGAAGCTTCTATCAATTGTCTTCTATTTAATTGCTAATTCTGAGACATTTAGGGAGCGTCTAGATATCCTAAACCTTCAGGAAACTTCATATTTAGATAACTATAGGAAACTTCTATCAATTCCTACTATTAAATTGGGCATTCTAAGACATTCAGGGAGCTTCTAGATATCCTAAACCTTGAGGAACTTTCATATTTAGATAACTAAAGGAAGCTTCTATCAATTGTCTTCTATTTAATTGCTAATTCTAAGACATTTAGGAAGCTTCTAGATATTCAAAACCTTCTGGGAGTCTCACAATTAGATAACTTCTGGAAGCTTCTACCCAATTTTCAACAACACTTTTAGGGGATCAGCTTGTAACTTACGATTAAAGAACCATCAATCGATAGAGAATCGTTCGTATCAGAATGCTAGGTGGATAATACAGCAATGAATATGGAAACCCATTAGTAGAAAGTGGAACGCGCCGCTGCAGCCCAAGAAGTGTCTGGTAGGGGCCCATGTCGAGCGAATTGCTCGATTTCTTGCGGTAGTTAGATAGCTGCAAGACGAGGCGGTGAGTGATAGCCGGCGTACTGGGAAGTTTGGTTTTTTTTCGTTGGTACCGACGAAATTAGTACGGCAGCGCGCGCTGGCTCGAATCGCTGGAAAACAACCCCTCCGATCCGGTGCGAGAGCGTATTAATAGTGCCGCGTGAAAGCGTCCCGGGAAATTCGAGCCGGAAAGGCGATTGTGGATTTTCTCAGCGCGATTTTCTTCGGACAAATCGGAGAAATGGTGAGTGGAAATTTATTCTCTAATTTTCTTCGCTGTTATACGAGAAATAACTATTGTAGTATAGGTAAAATTTCAATACAATGACAAACGTCGAAAAGTTCCAATTAGAAAGCGTTTCTTGTGCGTATTTGATGACAATTTTACGACCTGCAGTGGATAATTACGATGATTATAGGTACTATTAATTTGCGATATTTTCGTATCGGAGTTTACCAAACCGTGAACATATTTGTTTAGAGAGTAGAATAGCGAGAAAGTAGATTAGAACAGAAGAGGTATCGATGGAAATTCGATTATTCCCGATGATCTCCCATTATTCACTCGATTAAACGATCGCCATTGTTCGGAACAATGTGCTTGAATTAACTTCGAAGAGAATTTTGCTAATTTAACGATTCTTCATCGTTCATTGTTCATTACACTCCGCGAAGACAATTAATTTATTAATTATCAGCTAATCGTGCATCGAAAAAGTGAGAGGTGAAAGTTATCGAGTTCATCTTGTATAAATAACGAAAATAATGCGAAGAACATATGACATTAATAAAATTTTTTTTGGATTTCATAAAACGAAATATGCGCGTGTTTTATTAAATTTTCCGCTCTGATTAACGCCAAAACTTTACACTATTCGATAAGTATTGTGTTGAAAATTTCGGATAAATCGCAGGAAACGGCAGGTACAGAATACATCAATAGGCAATCGCCTGCTCCGTTACGTAAATAATAAACTTAATTGTTTGAAATTTCAGTCGTGTCAACCCACTTTGATGTAGTACCTGCCTATATGGAGGGAAATTGATATTAAACACGGCCGTAAGGCGAAAGGACACGTTTCAATTCCGATATTCTGCATTATTCAAGCGGCGGGTTTTCACTCGAACGATTCATAATTAAATTCGAGCGCCGTCGTGGAAAAAACGCAGTCTTGGACTCGCTATTTTCGAAATAGAAATTTAAATTCTAACAATACTATAACCGTGCGGACGAGAGAGAGAGTTTTAACTACTCAAGGCGATTTCTGAAATTTATGAAAGCGTCATACTGTTTTTTTTCTAACGTTTATCCCAAAATATTATTACGTTTTTTTTACAATCATAACAACCTACATTCTAGATTTATTATAATAGTAAAAAACAATGAAAATTTTACAGAAAAATATACCAACTATTTAATTAATTCCAAATAGGTACGCGATTGTATGACTCAATATACCGTTATGATTGTAAAATAGCGATATCGACTAATACGTTATGCAAGAGAATTTTTTAAACGCAGCATTGATATAATTATTCGAGTAAAAGTAAAAATGTTTCAACCTAATTATAAGGAACTAACATATGACAATTGACTTAAGGTAATTATCATAGTTCTGTCAAATGACAGGTCTATCATAGATCTCTGAATTAAATTTACTTGTCTATTATAGTTCTGTCATCTAAAAGGTCTGTAATGGTTCTGTCATTTGCATTTGACAGCCTGTCTTAGTTATGTCAGTTGATGACATTTGCCAAATATTCGAGTAAATAATGGGCAGGATAGTTCGAATAACCTTATATCAAACGGTATTTACATAGCCCAGATTTCTCCGGCGTCGGTTGCATAAACGGGAAAATATGGCGGTCGAACACAAACGCCCAAACGCCGAAAATGTTATAAGAAGGCAGTTCAATCGCCTGGGTATACGCGTTCGAATGCATCGATTCCATACGATTACGTAACGCTTCGCTATGCTTTCTTTGCTAAAACGGCGACTTGCCAATTACACAGTCAACTGACCGAAAAAAAAAATGATTTGCTCGAAAACGCCGAGGCGATTTCGACAGGAGAATCGTAACACTCGTACGTGTACCTAAATGTATACGTGCATCGAATTTGTTATGTTGCGGTACTCGTAGGGGAGCTAGTGCAAATCCTTGAGTGTGATTATTTTACCCCACTCACCCCTAAAGTTGATACAATCTCGCGAATATCATTACTGGAGATTTCAACGAGCGGTTAGGATGAATACTAGTTAGAGAATAATAATTAATACGACCCGTAGATGCACTTAAGTGTTTAATTATATACATGCAATAGATGTATCTCCGGGTGTATAAAAGATATCATTAAGCTCTTTATTTTGTGCCGATTGTATCGTTAATTTCGTTGTGTTATTCTTTAGTGGGTATCTAGAACAAGGTCGGTTTTTAATTCGTGCATGTGTGTGTGTGTTTCTTTGCGGAGAAAATTATTCGTTCAATTATCAAGTCGGTCGACAATCAGCTGGTCAATTTTTATTACTTTTTTCGTAAAAGTAAAAGTCACCTACATTTTAATTGTAGCACAATATTTCGGATTATTGTTGAACAATATTTTTTTAACATGCACGTCAATGTGTATAGTTCTTTGGTTGCATACGCAATAATCAGATGCGGTATAAAATGCATGCTGCATACGAAAAAGCTTCAAAAAGTAACCACGAAATTCCGTGATTAGAATGAAATTTATTGCCGTAGTATTTCCACGATAATTTCACTGCGACGTTGTCTCTTAGTGGTTATTTTTCCACGATTTAACGACGAATACAATTAACCTTGCGGGTGGTGGAAGATGTAAAAATTCGCGCATTTTTATTTCTCCTGCATTCGAATCGACAATGAAACCGATCCGGAATCGAAAAGGAAAAAGTCGCGAATAGACGAGGTCGATACCTGCTTTGCGAGTTTGCTTTTGCGACCGAAAAAAAAAATCCATTTCCGTGTATTTTAACCCACTCCTTACAGCTTTAGGCGAAGTTCTGTTCCCGGCAAGGACGTATCGCGAGCGCATTTTAATAGTTTTCTTCGATTCAATAAACCATTAAAACCATTAAATTCAGCTGCTAACGAACTATTATATGCAAATTTAGCGTTTAAACGCCGATCCATCTGGATCGCTGATGAGCACCGTTGGGATGGATTTATTGGCTAATAATGTTGTCATCGACGGGATAATTACCGCGATAACGTCACCACGATGATAATCGTGAGCTTTTGAAGATGTCGTAGTCACGAATCCAGCGATATCGGAAGCATCAAAAGCCAGTTGAGAAATCGCCATCAGTAGTTTCCATTGCTCATCTCATTGTTTTGATAGCGATCGTTCACCTTGTATTCGAATTCGAAATTGCATCGATATATGATGATGATGTTGATGATGATTATTCGAGTTTTTTTTGTTAATTTCATTGCGTGTAGGTACGCAGAAGAAAGTTTTCGAACAATCGACGCTTCCGCGTCTTCGGGACGGTGTAAATAGAAAAAAAATTGTTCTCATAGGCGATTTGAGCTGTTAGCTAAATTGTCCGGTGTGAAATCTTCTTCCGGGCACGGATTTAACCGCACGAACTCCGGTCACATCGAATATTGTCACGGTGTCAATTTCACTTTTGCACACAGTTATAATAAACAGTTATGTATTTACTGGGCATTTTCGATTGTTGCAACAAACTTTTACTATTATTTTCTCTACTGTAAGCTAACGTGCAATGTAAACAGAAGATTATAGTGTTTAGTATTTGTTCCTATAATATAAATGAAAAAAAAAATGTTTGATTTCAGATTCATCGGCCGACATGTAGGCTTAGAAATATTGTGCTGGTGTTCGCTATAGTGATTTTGCTGATCCATGTGGTGTCGTCAGAAAGAGGTGAGTCGAGGATTACATTATCATTAATTACCTACGTTTTTTTAACGAGTCCTACTTCACTTTCGAACTCGTTTATTAAAATTTCACAAGATCCGATTTTTTTGGCGATATATCGCGCGGCCTCTAAACGCTTGTAGATAGAAGGAAATTGTCGCATTTTTCGCGTTGGAATGGCAGTTTTGAAATTGTTAGTTGTAATAAAATCGAGCGTAATGCATCGTTCAGTTTGTGCGTATTCATAAAAAAAAAGCATTATTATGGCCTCACCTACTTCTTGAAACTAATAAAACTGTTGGGTTACTTTCGTTTTCGATGGATGAATAGAAAGTGGGCTGCACAATAATAATGTAAAAGATTGTGTAGAATATGTAAAATGATAAATTCGCTTTTCTCCTAAGTGTTAAAAAAATAAATAAATTATTATTCTATTAATCAATCTGTTGCAGCAGACATAATAATCCCGTTCTGACATAAACTATGTTTGCTGTAAACAATTTCCGTTGATAATTGCACTAAAATTATAAAAAACCAACCGAACGACAACCTTGACATTTTTTATAAATTATTCCTATTTTCGAAGTGTCGTAATTTGTATCAAATGGAAGGTTTTTAGAAAATTAATTCGACATTCATTGATAATTTATTATAATCCGTGATAATTTCAATACGAGATGTTTCTGCAAGATTAGAATGTTTTAATCTACTTAAATTGTGTTTTAGCGCGAATCTATGTAAACATTTAATCAAATTTGCATATAAATATTATTTAATTAATAAAATTAATAAATCACATTGTAGAAATTCGTAACTGACTAACACGGTTAGACACGAAAAGAGAGTGAAAAATAAATAAGTTTTGTAAAAAAAAATGATTAAATACTCACTAATTTATAAAAATATTATTTGCATAACTTACTCTATTATTTCAACCCAATAACTTAAAAATACATTTACTCCGAATATTACACAATTGTCTAGTTTATTAACCTATTGCAATACCAATTGATAGCATGAATTATATAAGAGAAAATTAATATTCAAATTCAGTAAACAGACCATACGAAACTTTTCTATCATACACACGTCATTATTTCAGCGTAAAATAACCCTTCGGTTATTTGAGTGGTTCTGCTTGAATCAATATTTACCCACCAAGGCAAATATTATCCATCCACTTTGACCTTAAAGTATATATTCAAACAGGACAATTTCATATCGGTGGAATTTCGTTAAATACAATACACGTTCATTGCGAAATAAAGCAACAACACACAAACCTTGTTATAGCTAAGAAGATAATTATAATGCAATATTTTGGGAAATGCTTAGACGCTAATAACAAAGGCTTTTAGCCGAACAAAAGGTTTCTAATGGTCGGCGACCTTAGCGTGCGTCCTTTTACGAGCAATTTCAATCCATTACAAAATTATTTCTTATCGTTCTAACTACATGAAAAGAATTCCAAATCATCACCCAATGTGGTAACATATTAAAAACTTCACAAATTTAACTCTGAGGAACTAACTAACTATCTCAAAAACTACACATTCTGTATCAAAAACGATAAATGTGATAAAACAACAAAAATATTCTAAATCTGTATACCATTGTAATTAATGTTGTAGTGTCGAGAAGGAGGCTTCGCAGGCCGACGAAATCGTCGGTAACGGTGAGCAAAGACCAGGAAGTCTCCTCCAGCATATCCAAAGTGAGACGAACCAGGCCCAACAGCAGGAAACCGTCGGATAATTCCGTCGCCGCCGCCAAAAAGGACGACGACGACGGCTACAAAGTGGTCTGCTACTACACCAATTGGTCGCAATATCGAGTCAAACTCGGCAAGTTCACGCCCGAGGACATCCTGCCGGACCTCTGCACGCACATCATCTTCGCCTTCGGCTGGCTGAAGAAGGGCAAACTGTCTTCCTTCGAGAGCAACGACGAAACCAAAGACGGCAAGGTCGGCTTGTACGAGAAAATCCAGAAACTGAAGAAAGCCAATCCGAAACTCAAGACCCTCCTCGCCATCGGTGATTAAATTACTCAACCTAACATCAACAATCGCTAATCGCTTTTTATTCCAGGCGGTTGGTCCTTCGGCACGGCGAAATTCAAGGAAATGTCCGCCACCCGGTACTCCAGACAGACCTTCATTTACAGTGCCATACCGTTCCTCAGACAACGAGGCTTCGACGGGCTCGACTTGGACTGGGAGTACCCCAAAGGGTCCGAAGACAAGAAGAACTTCGTACTATTAGTCAAAGGTATTATCTATTATTCGCTACAAACAGCTCGAATCTATCTATCGACAATCGAGGTCGAAGAAAGCGCGCCGGGGAAATCACTTCATTCACCATTGTTCATCACAATTACCGAGATTACCTACCCACGGGCGGCGCGATGCGCAGCGATGAATGCATTTGCATAACAGATAATCACGATAATCATTCGATTATTCCGAAGAGAAAACTCGATTCTCTACTCTCGAATCTTTGCAGAACTCCGCGAAGCCTTCGAAGCCGAATCGCAGGAGATCAAGAAGAACCGGCTGCTTCTCTCTGCGGCCGTTCCCGTCGGTCCCGATAACATAAAAGGCGGCTACGACGTGCCCGCCGTGGCTTCCTACATGGACTTCATCAACGTCATGGCGTACGATTTCCACGGCAAATGGGAGAAGGAGACCGGCCACAACGCCCCGCTGTACTCGCCCCAAAGCGACAGCCAGTACCAGAAGCAGCTAAACGTCGATCACGCCGTCAATCTATGGGCTAAATTAGGCGCACCGAAGGAGAAACTAGTAGTGGGTATGCCCACTTACGGTAGATCGTTCACGCTGTCGAATCCCAGCAAACAGCACGGAGTACACGCGCCGAGCAGCGCCGGCGGCAAAGAGGGCGCCTACACCAAAGAAGGCGGCTTCCTGGCCTATTACGAGGTAAGCCGAACGTCCTACCAACCTGTCATTTTGACTATGTGCATCTTTCAATTCCTGTGCATCGTTCTGTCCGTCCTCATAACCGCCAAGTTGTTGAGGATGGCGTTTCGAAAGATCCGCCGGTCGTCACGCTGATCGTGTTCGCAGATCTGCGAGATGCTGCTCGCCGGCGACGCGACCTACTATTGGGACGAGGAGATGCAGGTGCCCTACCTGGTGCAGGGCGACCAATGGGTCGGCTTCGACGACGAGCGCTCCATCAGGCGCAAGATGCGCTGGATAAAAGAGAACGGGTTCGCCGGCGCCATGGTGTGGACCGTCGACATGGACGATTTCACCGGTACAGTTTGCGGCGGGGAGGTGAAATATCCGCTGATTGGAGCCATGAGGTAATATGAGATAGATATGAGTACCTATTGGAGTATATACTAATGTTTGGTTGCACGTTTTAGGGAAGAACTAAGAGGTATAACTAGAGGTAAGGACACCAAAGATGTCGATTGGGAGAAAATCGCCGGACCTGATGAATCCGATGACGACGATGAAGATGACGATGATGAAGACGACGAAGACGTTAAACCCAAACCGATCAAAATATCCGTAGCGGACGTGTTGAAACGAGTGAGGAAACCCAACGGAAAGAAATCGATCGCTTCTAACGCAGCCAAGAGAGTTAACAAAAAAGGTAGATAACCTACACACAATTCCCCCGAAACTACCTCGATATCTTTACTCACCGTACTGCATTTCAGTTCGCAAACCTCAAGTCTTCTGCTACATGACCAACTGGTCGTACAAGCGACCCGGCTCCGGGAAATTCACGCCCGAAGACGTCAATCCGGCGCTCTGTACTCACGTCGTCTACGCCTTCGCCACGCTCAAGGACCACAAACTGGCCGAGGCCAACAGCAAGGACCCCGAGATGTACGAGAGGGTGATCGAGCTCCGCGAGAAGAACCCCGAATTGAAGGCAAGCGAGATCTTTTGCGTGGTGTATTGGGTGAAATTAAAGGGTTGCTGTTGTAGGTTTTGCTGGCGATAGGCGGTTGGGCGTTCGGCTCGACGCCCTTCAAGGAACTCACCGGGAACGTGTTCAGAATGAACCAGTTCGTCTACGAATCGATCGAGCTGCTGAGAGAGTACAAATTCAACGGTTTGGACGTGGATTGGGAGTACCCCAGAGGAGCCGACGATAGAATAGCTTACGTGAATCTATTGAGAGAACTAAGGGTAGCATTCGAAGGTAATCTATAACACACCACTAAAATTATACGCTTAAAACAACTCGGTGTTATCATAGGCGAAGCTAAGAGCAGCGGTCAACCGAGGTTGATACTCACAGCAGCTGTACCGGCTTCGTTCGAAGCCATCGCAGCCGGTTACGACGTACCCGAAATATCCAAATACCTGGACTTCATCAACGTGATGACCTACGACTTCCACGGGCAATGGGAGCGAACAGTAGGCCACAACGCTCCCCTATTCCCCTTGGAAAGCGCCTCCAAGTACCAGAAGAAACTCACAGTGGTAGGCGTTCGAACTCGCGATTAACACCACACCTCGTTAACATACAAAATTAAAAATTCGCAGGACTACTCGGCGAGGGAGTGGGTGAGGCAGGGCGCGCCCAAGGAGAAGCTGATGATCGGCATGCCGACGTACGGCCGCAGCTTCGAGCTGGTCAACGAGACGCAGTTCGACATCGGCGCGCCGGCCAGCGGGGGCGGCGTGCCCGGCAAGTACACCGCCGAGGCGGGCTTCGTGAGCTACTACGAGGTGTGCGACTTCCTGCGCGAGGACAACACCACGCTGGTGTGGGACAACGAGCAGCAGGTGCCGTTCGCTTACAGGGCGAACCAATGGGTGGGATTCGACGATGAGAGGAGCTTGAAAACGAAGGTTTGTTATTATACAGAGTGTAGCAAAAGTAGGTTACTACAGCGGGTGTTGATTGTGTTTGTAGATGGCTTGGTTGAAGGAGGAAGGTTTCGGCGGGATTATGATTTGGTCTGTGGATATGGATGATTTTAGAGGATCTTGTGGTAGTGGAAAGTATCCGTTAATCAACGCAATGAGGCAGGAACTCGAGGGGTATAAAGTGAAGCTCGAATACAGCGGACCTTATGAAACTAGCGTGTCTTCTGGACAATATACAACTAAGAATCGTGAGTTTTACTACACTCTTTGCACCTCTACAGATGTATAATCTTGGAGTTTTTTGTAGCGAACGAGGTGACATGCGAAGAGGAAGAAGGTCATATCAGTTACCATCCGGATAAAGCGGATTGCAAGATGTACTACATGTGCGAAGGGGAGAGGAAACATCACATGCCCTGCCCGGCGAATTTGGTGTTCAATCCGGACCAGAATGTGTGCGATTGGCCGGAGAACGTGGAAAGTTGCTCGCAATTCACGCAAGCGCCACCGGCCAGTTAAGCGGCTGGTTCCAATCAGTTTATTCTATTATTTTTTTAGCCAAGTGAACATTTAAAGACTGGTCGATTGCGAGGGAGGAAATTTTTACCGACGCGAGAAATTTAATTTTTATTATGTTTGTTCTGTTCGTCTCGTGGTGTTTGATTTGAAAATTTGTACGAAATTGTATTGTAATCGCGAATTTGCTAAATTTTATTGTTACACGAAATATGCGTTTTTGGAATGTTTGTATAATGTATTTATAGCGTTTTTGTAAATAGTTATATTTAAATAAAGTGCATCTTTTACCCACTGTATGTCTTAATTTCCACTCAGAAACGCACTAAAAAATTATTCACCAAAAAAACTTCAACGAAATTAATTGGAAGAGTTTCGGTTGATCCCAGCATGAAGCTATAAAAATCGCGAATAATTGCTTTGAAAAAATACGATGGGTTTTTGATAGGGCAAAAAGAACAAAGGTAAAACGAAAAATCGTGTCTTTAAGCCGGGCACGCATAGTTTATAGTCCATTTTCCCTCGAATAAATCGCAAAGTGGCCGGTCGATAAAGGCCCAACGACTTTGAAGAAATCGACCGGATAGAAAACGGAGCATAATCGTAAATTTTAGGTAAGTGCATTTTAACAATTTACTGCGTACCCACCACAGGTAGATAAGTTTGTTCTCGCGAATTCCGCGCATTCGATTCCACATGAATGCCTGCTCGATATTCGATTTAAATTCTCCTGAATTCTTCTCGTTTCATTTACCACCCCATATTTACCTGCTATTTATTTACAACTATTTGAACCTGCCAACTCCACCATCAAAATAAATATTATTACATTATAATTTAGTGCCCACTTCTTATTTTTTATTTGTTCTGATAGTAGGGTTGCTGGGTTCACGCAAGTTTTATTTGCACCTATAGATAATAAACTGTTTACACAAAAGTTCGCAAATTTTGCGATTATTTTAAGAGTTACAGACTTTTTGATCGCCAAATTTTCAAATATGCGAAATTAAATGTTTTCTCTCATATCTGAGTGGATTTTTTGCCCCTACCTCTACAACATTAAACTAAATTTGGCGATCAAAAAACCTGCAACTTTTAAATTAATCTCAATATTTGTGAACTTCCTTAACTTTTGTGGAGCAGTATACAGGGTGTTAATTAATTGAATGCCGATACTTCAGGATGGGAATATTTGGATGATTTTAAGAAGAAAAGTTTATATCAATGTATGTCCTAAACCTGTTTTCGAGCCACAGGGTGTTAAAATTTTAGAAAAAAATGATTTTTCTATCATAATTTTCTTATTACTTTAGATATTTTTATGAAATTTTGTATACACTTTTTAATTATTAACGATCATTTTTTGATGCATAAGATTTTTTTTAATTTTCACCAGTGACGTCCGTACGGGGTTTGAAGTGAATATGTTTGAAAAAAAATAGTACCCCACTGCTTTTTCTAAAAACCAAAATTATTTTTAAAATCCTCATTTATTTTGTAGCAAATTCGGTCTGAAGACTTACTTTCGTAAGACGCACCATTTTCGCGTAAAAAAAATAAAAACCAAAACAATTTTTCCCAAGTTCATTTGAGACTGCTTTTGATATTTTGTTGAAATTTGGTAGGCGCCCACCATGCATGGAAACACTTTTTTTTGGAATAAAAATTAATTTTCTACTTTTACCAGTGACCTCCACCTCCAAAATTTCATAAAAATATCTGGAGTTAGAGAAAATTATGATAAAAAAGTTATTTTTTTTAATTTTAACATCCTGTAGCTCGAAAACTAAGAGGTTTAGGACATACATTGATATAAACTATTCATCTTAAAATCATCCAAATATTCACATCCTGAAATATCGGCATTCAATTAATTAACACCCTATATTTGTTTAGTACCACTCGTAGCGAAGCAGAATTCTTCTTAATAAGATTTCCATTATTTTTTTTGGCAGTACCAATTGACTACCGCTGGAATTAAATGCCCACTACCTTTACATCAATCTATCGGTAGCGGTACGTTTCAGGTGCCATCGAGCGCACCGTCTTCGGCCAGTGCGCGAGAAGAACCGCTGGCGATCGGTCGTTGTGGTACTCATTTGGTACTCCTGGCAAAAAGTGCGAGTACCGGCGATTCGCGCGCACTTTTCTAAAGACATTTCGGGCCGCGCGAGCATGTGAGTTTTTCGTGCAGGAATTCCGGGAGCGCTGCCAACATGAAGAAGAGACGGTGAGAAAATATTATCGATGGGTATTGATTGTTTGGGAGGCGGTATTTTTCGGGGAAATTTCACTCGGCTAGCGGATGAAAGTAATATTCTTTTTTGGCGAATTAGAATTTTAAATTTTCTAAGTTCAATGCTGGTGTCAACGAGAGGCGTTAATTAGCATTCGGTTGTAAATAAATAAGGATTTTTAAATTTCGTTTTTTTTGAAATTTATTACCGCTAATTGATTGTAACAATAACGATTCGATTGCTCAATTTGCAAGTAATCGTATTATATTAGGAATACTCGCGGGTATAAATTTATTAGCTTAATTGAGGAAGTATCAACCCAGATAAAACTGCTTACTATTTCTTAATTAAATTTTCGGTACTTAATTGCACCACATCTATAAACTTACAGATAATTTTATTTACAATCTCAATTACATTTCCTGCAATAACCCATCCATACAAAACTAGACCACCGATAGATAACTAATAATAGAACATCTCCGCCCAATAAAAAAAAACATCCTCTTACAATAGACACGAACAACTTGTTATGCAAATACTTATACGTTTCTACGCATTGATAGCGAATCGTTAATCTTTTTTTGTTCATTGTTGGTTTTTTTCCAACCTGATTTTCATCGATAAATATAACGTGCATACGACTATGCAGAAATTCCGGTCATATCATAACTGTAACCGTCCGACTATCATCGTTAATCGCAGGGAATCCGCGGCATTGTCGAGAATTAAATTCCTGCATGCAGGACGGAAAACCGAATCGCCGTCGATTTTCCGGCTAATGGGAGTTCCTGGAGTACTGGCGACTTTACTACACGGTCGATTCGAAGCGATTAAGTCTCGAATAAGCCGGGTTTTTACCACCGAATTGTATCACACGCATTTTACAATAATTTATCGATAAAGGTGTCCGTTAACTGGGATCGATTGTTCGCACAGAGAGGTCTACCACGGTAACCGCACGAACCTTAATTTACTAGTACTTGTTAGAGCCGTTTAACCTGTTAGCGGTTCCGTAATTGATACTTTTCGATTAACTCTTCTTGCCTCAGTTCGACAACGGGTTCCTCATGCACGCTGGAAAATTTTTTGTGGGCTTATTCGATCATTCTTATCGCACTTTCGACGATTCTTCCAGATTGAAAATTCACTCAAAAGTTGTTAATCGACTCTATAGGGCAGAAAATGACTATTGAGTAGATAAATGACTCTATTGGGTAGATAAATGACTATTGGGTAGATAATTGACTCTATTGGGTAGATAAATGACTCTATTGGGTAGATAAATGACTCTATTGGGTATATAAATGACTCTATTGGGTAGATAAATGACTCTATTGGGTATATAAATGACTCTATTGGATAGGTAAATGACTATTGTACAGAAAAATGAATCTACTGAATAGATATTAGATATGTAAATATCAAAACTATTCATATAATTGAAAAAGGTGATTTATTAGAGCCACTCTGTATAAATGAAATAATAGAGCAGGAATAATCAGGAATGTAGTTGATGATATTTTTTTGCAATGTACAAACAATTTTATTCATCGTATACGTAATAGAGGCATTAAAGTAATTAATAATAATGGTGTATATCGGTGTTCATTGTCTTAAATGAATATACATACTTGGCGTTTCTCAAACTGTTTACATTCGAGGAATATTTTCTCTTATAACACTTCACACAAATGAATAACATTATTATTGACGGTAATGCATTGATTATTTAGCGCGATTACACGCCAAATTGGTTTAATAATAGAAACAAAGATAGTTAAATTTATTATCGTTATGTGTGTCATTTTTAACGACAATCGGAAGGAACCCCGACGAAACGAAATCGCATAAAAGATTACTTTCAATAATTATGATTTCAATTAATAAATGAAGTAATTTTTGCGCTTCTCTTACCACACAAAGGTCCATTAAGCGTACGCACACGAGAAGAAGCTATTCACATACAATTCCTACATACATTTTAATGTATCATTATAAGAAAATTTGAATAGGTACGCAAGGTGAATGACTCTAATGGAGACAGTAAAAATACATCCGAAATATTTCTACTTGGGTAGATATAATTAAAAAATCGCCCTGTATCTACACATGTTCGTACGGTCAGCGTCTACAACGTTTAACAGGTACTCTAACCATGAATTATTTAGTTACCGTTCTTCGCGGAAACACATCTATGCTGAACTTGATAGAAACCGTAGCAGGAATAAAATTATTATAGTCAGGTGTCGCCGGTTTCTTTGCGGCATTTCCGATTTTTCGAAAGCGCCTGTACCTCGCATGTGTATTTGTTTTGTATTCCATCTATTGTTTGCTCTATGGAGCGAAATAATGCTCCATTAAGCGGGTATTCACGAGCGGTACCGTTAGGAGAACTGCCGAAAAAATCTCTGACCACAACCGATGGATTTCGCATGGTTTTTCGATGTTGAAAATTGAATTTTACGGATGCACGGTTCGCGAATGCTGCGGGCTATTTCGAGCCAATTACTTTGGCAATTACAAAAAATGTACATACAAATACTGGTACGAAAAACACGTTGTAATGTTACCTACATTGGGAATTGTTTGCACTAGTTTCGGGAATAGAGAAAATCGATTCGAAACGAGCGTATTATATGAGGAATAAATTTATGGATGTATCGATTCGAAGAAGTTGTTAGAAATATACATTTAAACTAGTAAAATATATTAGAATATTTTATGGAGGAACGACAGATGTGCTATAGTGAAAGTTTTGTAGGTGATCGAAAATTTTTATTGTATCAATTGAAAAATGTACAGGGCGATTTATGTAGAATGAGCCGTCGAGTTTTACTCAAGAAAATAAAATACTTTTTCGTATTGTTTTTAGGTTAGATAGAGCAATAAATTTGAATTTCTCTGTACAAAACCCCGATATTAATTACAGAAAAAAGTTTAATAATTTACCTAAGAATGAAGTGAAACCGATCTCAGTAGGGCGTAAAATTGCAATAAGATAAACAGACACGCATCCGCCGTAATCGAAAATAAGAGCCAACAACAACAACATTAGAAAATCGAGAGAAATTAACATTTTTCATCGCCTCTTTTTTATAATACCCGCTTCTAACCTGGATGCTCTCGAAGCATTTTCTACTCATCTAGCAATCCGTGCCGATTGCCGTTTTTGTTACTTTTGTTTCGTTCGTACAGAGATCAAGTGACCGGCCTACATACCGCCGTCATTAATGATTTTACTCTCTTTACACGTTTTCTAATTCATATTTTCGATCAACTCGGTAATATATCATTTTTTTATATCCTCATTTCTCCCGTGTTTTTATTTCTCTGTTGTTTGCTGTTAGAATTCGATTAGTGTGCCGTGGCTGTCAAAAGTCATATTAATGTGATTGAATTGAGACGTCAAATTATGACAGATTCTAATCAAGTGTCAATGTAAAATGTATAATAAGAGAAAATTTCAAAGAAAATACTAAAATTTGCTTAAAAAACACACTAACAATCAAGAAAAATCATTGTTAGAAATTAATTAGTACAATCTGAGTTTTCCCACATTAGCAAATCGGACGTGTCTACTCAACCTACGCGAAGTTCGGCCGTGTCTAATAGACCGAACGCGTAAGAAAAACGAGAAAAGAAGCGCTTTTTTTCGCGCTTAACGAAGGAATCCGCTCGATTTCCGCGTGGATTTATTACGGATGGCAGTTTAATCGAAACAAATAAAAACTTAATTATGTCGGTACATGTCGGGGAAAAAGTGAAACCGGCACATTAGTGTGACAAGTAGTTCGAGCAATCAAATTAATAGAAAGCACAAATAATCGAGTCGTAGGTAAACAAATTAAACTTCGCAATTAGTAAGTAGGTATTATTGCATTAAAGAAATTTTCACTCGATTTGACGTTCGATATCAAAACGCCGGGATTTTCTCTTTAACCGTCGGTAATTTCGTAGCAAACTCAAGAAATTAGTGGAGGAAAAAAACGTACAGTGCGTCTAATGGAAAACCGGTAAAATTCCCACGAATTCACCACGTCAATTAAATCGAGCGACGCATAAAATACGCGCCGATATCATCGCGTTTCGCCTAATTTGCATTTTACGATTCCGTCCGGGATTCTTTCTTCGATTTTTCGATCCAATTAATATGATGGACGCGCTTAATTTCGCATTAGCGCCGTCCCGTTTCGAGAGCGACTCGCCATCAAGATCCGATGCACCAGCGCTAGATGCTGCAGCCATTAACATGTCAAACGTAATTAAAAACATTTTAAATAATATAGTACTCAATACAGTGCGATCCATCAGTAATAACCTGCTTCTAATGAACCATCTTCGCGACACAAATTAATTTCTGAATAAAAAAGAGCCTGGTGTTCCTGGATACGGGTGGATATTTTGCGAATTTTTATAGTACCCGTTGAATAAGTACCCTAAATATACAGCTTGAAAGGTCAAGTGTGCGTTCGTATAAGCAGTAAAATAAAAGTCCCGCTATTACATTTACGTTATTCTTTGGTACGGGTTTCTTGCAAGTACCCAGCGAGTACCTACACAAGTAAATAAAACACTCTTTATAACCAACAAAAATTAACATTATTATACACCAATTTTCCTACTAATCCTACTCCATTTAACGCTTACTCAACACCCTTTTTATTGACAATTTTCCAAAAAACATAACAGTACCTAAAGAGCCTCCTGAAGCCGTCCCTGTTGGTAAACAGATGGCACTCGTAAGTACTACTACAACAGCGTTTTACCGTTGGTTTTCGTTCATTTCTCGAAACAATTCGCAGGAAAAAAGCGAGTGTCGGACGGGACCGGGCGAATTGAGTCTGGCCCGGTCGAGGGGATAATTAATATTAATTGATCTTCGATTTCCTGCGGCGCGAGGCGGACTTAATTGAATTCGAATGGTTTTGACTAACTGGTTTCGTGTTGGATTTTATTTGCTTAGTGGGTAATTTACTTACCGGTGGGTATTTGCTGGTCGTTATGTAGGAGGTTATTTTTTTTTGTAAATACTTCATTAAGATCAGGTGGTTAAATTAGTTGTAATTTCTAATGGGTAGAGAAAACGCGATGTTTAAGCTTGATGTGCGTAATAAATTTGTTTGTTGGTTGCGTAATTTTTAAGTTTTATAATTAAAATTTGTTAAAAATAGTTTGTATAACGTTTTAATTACGAAATTAACTATTTTAGCTGAGTAGGTAATGAGTAGTTATATTTGAAAAATTGTATATAATTTCACAAAATCCGTTTTGTAGTAATGATGACCTTAGAAAATTAACTAATGACATACAATTCCGGAACTTTCTTTAAAATTGCACGGATTCCCACTTATCTGTTTCCGCGATCGCTGCGGAATTTCTCAAAAAGTTTAGAAGAAACAACTTCTATTGAAATTTCATAATGAACACAAAAAACTCGAATTAAATCCTACAAATTGCATAGCATCCACAGCAGGAATTAAATTAATTATAACCAAAAATAAAACAAATATATTCAAAAAGCAAAACTTCGAGTTTCTTAAAAAGTTTAGAAGAATTACCTCCTATTGAAAGTTCTTAATGAACACAACACTCGAATTAATCATACAAATTGCAAAGTATCTACAACAAAAATTAAACCAATTATAACTAACAAAAAAATACAAATCTATTGACCAAGTAGTAAGCACTCAATTTACCTAATTATTAATTGAATTTTCGAGGTTAATTACTACTAAAATCCTTTCAATAAATATAGTAACAGTAGTACCTAAATTACATCATCGTTTACAAATTCTATTGATACAATTTCGGATGGTCCTTCGATTCCTATTATCGCATTCTCTTCACTATTCATCGTCAGTAACCTTAATTCGCGCAATTAGTAATAATACAGTGCCGCAATTGGCCGAAGGTCGATTGAATAGAACAGAAATCGAAAAATATTCGATAGAAAATCGTGTGGTCGTGAACCTTTCAGCAACGATTCTCTAATGATACTCATCATTTTGCAGAACTCCTCATTTGCTCAACCCTGGAGGTTTTCGATTAAAAATTTTACCGAAACCGAAAGTGGCGAGAAATGCAAAAATTACGGTTTCTCTTTCGTTAGCTTTTCCTAGCAATCATCCAATTTATATCTACTACGTGATTCGGGTGTTTTCTCCAAAAACTTAAAATTTATAGCCTGTGGTTTTATGCGCTCAACACTTCAGTTTCGGGCAATTAATATCTAATAATTATTTAGTTCGAAAGTGAAAAAAAAATAACAAACGCGTTGCGTGTTTTATGAAGTTTCTGCGCCGTTTTTTCCTCCGATCAGATCAAACTTTCTTCGTTTTAATTATCAGTTTTCGGTTTAATTACCGACCGCGCTGAATACCAAACTAAACTAAAACTAAAACTAATTGCCGGCTAGTTGGATAACGTTCAGTTAGTCGTGAAAAAAGACAATAAAACGGAATCGAAAGCAGAGTAGCGATTACACGAAAAATTCCTATACCCGGTGAAATTAATATTTCCATATATCGGTCGAATCGAAGGCCAATCGCCTTGTTTACAGAATTTTAATGCCGCATTAAAGCCAATCGAATCGCTAAATTTGCATCAAGAATAAATAGTAATTAATTGCAAACATTATAAATTACTAAAGCATAATGGAAGAGGCTAGGTTGCAAACCTTAAGTCATAGAACTAGGCTATACAGCTAGGTTATAGAGCTACCCAGGTAGGTTATCGTGATAGGTTATCGAGCGTTATATCTTGTTCTATTCCCACCGGGTTTATTAAAAATTTTCTCGTTGAACGCGTCAGGTGAGGTCTTTTAAAAACTTCCTAATCAGCATTAATCATCGCGATACAGCAACACCTAATTCCACCAGAAACTAGTTCCACGCACCGGCATCCTGTTTGTCCGTCGATTATTCCAGAGCGATTATCGCGATACCGATGATGAAAACGACGGGGTAAAAAAATCGCCTCGAACGCCCATTAATTCCGTCAAATGATTTCGATAAAATCTCTTCGGCGGTGCGGTTTTCCGCGAGAAGTCGGAGCCGGAGAAGAAAAGAAGAGAGAAAAAAATATACGCATCGACGAATTATCTTCGGAATTATATCTGAGCGGAAATAGGCGGGTTTCGGCTACTACTAGCTAGTAACGGTCAAGACCAGCGGCGTCTTCGCTTAAAACCCGAGAAATGTTCCTATATACTCAATTCTAAACGCTTATTTGCTGAAGATTTGAGTTTTTGACAATTGACAGTTGACGTTTCGACATGTACAAATGTCAACTTTAGCTACGGATCGACAGGAATAGCTGAAGACGTTACGACTATCATCGTGCTGTGTATTTTTGAAGGACATGCTGTATATTTTTGGATACGCTCCGGTGGTTTTATAACGCTTTTAAAATAGTGTTTTTTCGTCTGAAATTTGACGAACAATGCCTAATAACGATTTAGCAAAAGTGCGGTTTAAACGAGAATTTACCCACAGTTAAGAGATGTATGTGAAATGCGTTGTTAGCAATTAAGTCGAAAAAAAAATTAACAAGATTCAATTACGTAATGTGGAATTTTTAATAGCGCCTGTCCGGGTGAAATTTCCCGCTATAAACGTTCTCCGGGCGCTAATTTGATTTGGTATTCGCTGAAAAATGCGATATTAAAAGAATATGTACATATTAATTAACCTCAATATGCATTATCAATATGAACAATTACCTTTTGTAAAGTAACGTTTTGCCATATTCGGACATCTTATTCAATTGCACTTAAACAGCATTATCAAGGATTTCGAAATTTTTCGTCCTCTTTCCGTTCAATTACAATCCAAATAGTCAGTTGATTAGAAAACCAACGAATCGAAACCCAAGGATGTATAAAATTTGAATAAAATCGCAAATCGAGCCTCTTCTAGTGCACTTCTTAAATCATTAAAGCTAACGGATATAGGCGAAAGAAAACGCGAAAAAGTAGCACGACTATGTCGCGTTTTACCGGCCAAAAAGGAAACCATAATATGCCATATGTCACTCTAAGTGTTGCTCAACGTAGCGAATAAAACAATCCTAGATATTTATGTCGTATTATTACCTTCTTATGTTATTTTAACGGCCGCATTATCGTTAATTACTGCAAGCGTTAAATAGAGTGTAGATGATTAAACATCAACCGTTTATTAACAGTTTATATATCTTATAAAATTGGATTTCCTACGCTCAATTTTTATTATACTATTTACAGGCAATTATTGGATTCCGATGAAAATTTACTACCCAAATCCACCGAAAGATACTCCAAAATCGATGATCCCGGACGAGTAAGTATCAATTACACTATCTTCTCCGGTAACATGTCCTTCTAAATCATTCAGGACAGTTCCAAATTATTCTAGACAGTTCTCAATCGTTCTCGGCAATTCTGATTCATTCTGAAGCAATCTAAAAAATCATAGACAGTTCCAATTCGTTCAGAAGCTTTCTAAATTATTCAGGACAGTTCTAAATCATTCTATATACAGTTCCTAATGGTTCTGGACAAATTATTCTAAACAGTTCTCAAACATCCCAGACAGCTCTCAATTATTTTCGACAATTTTGACTCCATTCTGAAGCAACCTAAATGATTTTGGACAGTTTTAATTCGTTCAGAAGCGTTGTTAAATCATTCTAGACAGTTCTCAATCAGTCCAAATAGTCTTCAGTTGTTCTCGACAATTCTGATTCATCCTGAAGCAATCTAAATCATCTTGGACTGTTCCAATTCGTTCAGAAACTTTCTAAATTATTCTGGACAGTTCTAAATCATTCTACACAGTTTCAATTCCTTCAGAAGCTTTTTAAATCTTTCTGGAGAGTTCTAATACGAATGTCCACCAGGAAAAGCAACGGCCGCCGATCTACAACCCGGAGGACTACGCGTACTTGCTGAAGAAATGGGGCAAAAAGTCCGGCCACGGCGGCGCCCTGACGCTCTACGCGTCGTCGAGCGTCTCCGACCTGGAGAGCAACCACTCGCGCGCGAGCACCTTCAGGGACTACAGGAACCCCATGCTGAGCGCGGCCGGCGTGGAGATGACGCTGCGGCAATTCGGAACGGTCTCCGAGCTGCTGGCGAAGCTCAAGAGCGACCTGCGGCTGGCCTATCCCAGGTGAGAAATCAACATATTTATTCTTCGGCCAATTAGACGAACACAATGTGGAATATATACTTGTGTTTTCTTTGTGCGTGTACGTTCGTTCATTTACAATTGAAATTTAATAATTTAGAATTTTTTATTCGGTGTGTTTGAACTCTCTCGGCCGACAATGACCCGAAGACGTGATGTTATGTTTGTTTTTCGCTTTTCGGGGTATACGATGGAACGTTATTTCGTTTTGAAATCGACGTGCCGTTGTGTTTGTATATTGTATACGGCTCGATATAAACTTATACTCCGGAAAAAAATCAAATTTTCAAGTTACTACTATATAAAATTCTTCTACAAAGCCATAAAAATCCTCTGAAAAGGTTAATAAAAAATACTCTTTTTGTATTTGAGTATAGTGTAGTTTTTTTCAAAGTTACCTTTACACACAATTAAAATATTTGTTCAATTGAATAAACAGTACAATGTCAAGAATTGTGTTGATATTATCGATGAGTTGAGTACCATCTAAGTAGTCAAATGCCTTTTCTTGAGTCCTTGAAGGCATCCTCATCCTTACAACGTTTTCGTTAAATATTTGCCACTTCAGACGAAGGTTATACGAGCCTATTAAAAAGAGTTATTGAACCGCCAATTCGCCGATTATTCGAACGTTCCTTAACATACCAAAAAAAAAAAAATAGAAATAAAATCGAGTGATCCCACAGACGTTTGTCATGCCAGTGACACTTTGAAACGGACAACTCAAAATTCCCTCATTACATTTACACAAACTCGCCCATACGGAAAGTCGCTAAAGATGGCCTGTTGTCCGCCCAACTGCCCCCCGAACAACCCCAACATGCCCCGATCGGTGATCACGTGCCCGCCGTGCCCGCCGTGCTGCCCGCCGTGCACCATACCCGTCATCGCCGACAACCTCCCCAAGATGCCGGTGCTGCCGGTGCCCGGCATGGGCCAGCACCCCGAGTGCAACCCCGTCTGCATACCCATCAACCCGCCCGTGTGCCCCCCGTGTCCCCCGAAGCCCAAGAAGAAGTGCCGATACGTCCAGCCCGCCAGGCCCAAGTCCTACGCGCCCCAAAGGAAATTCATACCGCCCGAGATGAAGATGGAGGATTTCACCATTTACAGGTACAACTGTTTATTTGTTTCGCAAGAGTACGATATCCGTGGCGATCGATTTGGCAACTTTTTTGGATTAATTTGGCCAAAATAAAGCGAAAATGGAGAATACATTTTTTTGATATCTCGCTTCGTTTTCGAGATAACGATGCTTGAAGTTGAACAATTTTTTTTTGCTTGATATTGATAAATCTTCATGAAATCATAAAATTAATGATAAATTACAATAAATTATAATTACAAACTCTACCGACATATAAAAAAACCTACCCTACCTTACCCCACCCTACGCTACCCTATCCTATTACACTACACTAAGCGAATCTTATAAACTAACTTTTGGTAAAATTCTTATTCTTTATTTTCGCTTTATTTTGGCTCATTTAAGGCTAAAAAAAGTAGTCAAATCGCGATGCCACGAAAATCGTACTCTCCCCATTTGTATAATATAAAGTGCATACATACAGGGTGAATGTAATGAAAGGTATACATAAAACAGTGTATTTGTAATGTTTGCAGGAAATCCTTCATACCGGTGGAGGCCGAAAAACCGACGCAAATCATACCGGAGAACAATTTGTGCGTGGGCGAGGGTAAGATATCGGACAACACGGTGAACAGGATGTCGTACCAACCGCACAAGGTGAAACCGACGTGTCCGATCTACCCGTGCGAGCACAAGCTGATCGGCGAGGGCCCCATGCAGGACCTGACGACGGCCAAGCACGACTACGTGCCGAAACCGTTGGTGAAAACCGAACCGGTGAAGCCGGCCACAAATCTCTTCTCCTCGGACTGCCCGCTCAGCGACAAAACGGTGAACAGGATGTCGTTCCAGCCGCAGGACCTGGAGAAGGCGCGAGTGACGCCGATCCGGCCGACCAACGCCATACCGGCGCCGTGCGGCAAGTTCAGCGGCAACACCGTGCAGAAGATGTCCTACCAGCCGTGGAAGCCGCAGGAGAAGGTCAGCATGCCGTGGGCGGAGAAGCCGCGCTACATTCCGCCCAAGCTGCGCATGGAGGACAACACCATCAACAAGTTGAGTTACGCGCCCCCAGGCGAATACGTCGAATGCGATCCGTGCGATCCCAATTGCATCGATTGTCCCGATAACGAGTGCGTCGTGCCGGCTTGCATGGGCCCATCGTGTTCGATGCCCTGTTGTTGTCCAAGAGCTGCCTGCTGAACTACTATATTTTTTTGCCCCCTTGTATAAAAAACGTATATATTATATGTAAAAAATCTTTTGCGGAACTTTGTCATACTCTTTTTGTATATTTATAATATTCTATACAACCATTATTACATTTTTTTAATAATTCAGTATTGTACAACCGGCCTGTCTGTCTCTTAGTTCACCGCAAGGATTCTTGTGAACAATAAAAACGGGAAGTCAGAAATAACCGAGTTTTTTTTTTCACAAAACTACATAATCTCCGAATCTATTATACTAAACTTCATCCATCCAACCAACGGAGTAATCAAAACAAGGTTAGACGCTTGATCATCAAGCACATTTGCATCTATTTGGTAAAATAAAAAAGCCTCCTTACGCTGGCCAATCACTAGAGATCCAGCGTCTAATCTTGCTTAGTTACTCCATTGGTTGGATGGATGAAGTATAGTAATACACCAAATTTTCTCTTTAAAGCTTCGTGCAGGAGTTCGTGGCGGATCCACTGGACGGGGTCACGTTGCTGCTGGACCTGCTGCGCGCCATCCAGCTGAACCAGACCAACAACGTGCAGCTGCAGCAGTCGGCGCAGGGCACGAACGCGCCCAAGCTGCCGCCGGCCGTCCAGCGAAGGACCCTTCTCGACGAGCTGTCCTGCCTGCAGTGCCTCCAGAACTGCTGCGCCCGCTACTCGGAGGCCGTCAGGAAGCTCACCGCCTGCTCGGCCAGGCTCTTCGCCGTCGCCGTGTGCATCATGAGCAACGTCAATAAATCCAGGATAGTCGCTTTGGAGGTAAGAATGCTACGATTGGTAATTGAAGCGTTGGAACAATCGCCCGAGTAAAGATAGCTGTGTTAACAAATTACCGACGATGTCGATGATTGAGGAATACTTTCGTTTTCCTTTCCGTAACTAATTAGCGCCGGCGGAGCGCGGCTGGAATTATCGCTCGACCGTAGGATGAAAACCGCGGCGCACGACTCATTATGCAAATTACGAAAATAGACCGAAAATTACGGTATATACGCAGCAATAAAATCGCTCACCCGCGAACCATTCCTAAACGAAAACGCGCTTCTAACAGAAGATATCACCATTACGAAACGACCATCATCGTTCATCATTCCAGCCATTTCTCTACTCAGAGCATATCTAAGTACAGACCTCTACCAATTATCTCCAATCTTGTCTTCAATCTTTCCACGGATCATTCAGTTTCTATCTAGATTTTGGACATGGATTAGTACTCTGTATCTGGAGTCAATTGTCTAGTGTTTCTTTACAATGCGAGTGGTATTTTCAGCTGTTGAGCAGAGCCTGCGAGCCTCCCGCCAGCAATCACACGGCCGTATCGGAGGCCATGTCGACTTTGAGGCTGAGGTTCGGCGAGCCCGTGCGATTCCGGTTCTTAGTGGGCATGCTAAGTTCGGCTGGAAGCCACGTGGAGCTGCTGTCGGCCGGCCTGCGGTTCCTGAACGCCTTCCTGAAGACGTCGGGATCGGTGCAGAAGCGGGTGTACCTGCAGGCCGAGCTCGAACAGGCGGGGTTCGATCTTACCGCCATCAGGAAGGTGAGAGAAAGTCTCTTGAAATTGATGTGGTTGGAGTTATGTGGTTTGTAATTGCAGAATATCGGAGTGAATCTGGGCGTTTGCGAGCCGCTTTTGGATGAAATGGAGACGTTCGAGAAGCAGTTTATCGATATAGAAAGCTTGAGGACTCGCACGGAATACGCCGAGAAGGAAAACGGTTGCTTGAAGGACAAGCTCACCGAGTTGGAGCAAAAAATTCAAGTACGTGCAACTTTTAACCCCTTTTAATTCCATTTTTACAAACGATATTGCATTGCAACCAGGTTCTGCAGGAGGAAAAAGGAATACTGATATCCATGGACCAATGCCTCAGGGAGAAATGCAGCGAACTAACCGAAGAAGTACACTCATTGAAATCCGCGCAATCGATAGAAATCACATCCAAAAATCAAGGTACTAATATTGTAGTTTAACACAAACCAAACAACCGATTTATATTACCACAGAATCGCCGCCAGAAGACGAAGGAATATCCTCATCCGAGCGCACCCCCAGCCCCGAGAACGACCTCCAACCCGCCTCGCCGGTCTTCGAGCTGTACGCGGCGCCCTCGCCGCAAATCCTCGACGACTTCGACGAGGAGGACGAGACCACCATCGAGGAGGTGATCCAGGAGCTGCGCGACATCATCAGCAACGAGGAGACGGAGGCCTACAACAGGGAGAACGCGCAGCCGCGCCGCCTGCGCGACGACTGCGAGATCGTCCCCGTCAGGCTGCAGCCGGAGCCGCCGCGGAAGTCGCGCAGCCTGGTGCACCTGTTCGCCCGCGCCGGCGGCGACTACGAGCCCGATACCAAGGAGATCTTCTTCGAGGCGGAGAGCCTGACCAGCGACAGCTCGTTTTCGGTGGTGGACGTGTCCGATTGCCGGCAGAAGAAGCGATCGCAGTCGTTCAAGCAGCCGCCCAGAGGTGAGATTGATGTGTGGAGGCGGCCCGTGCAGAAGGAGGATGCTGATGAGAAAGGCGGGAGCGCCGATGGGTTGTTGGAGGAGAGGACCAAAAGCGACTCGGGGAATTTATCGGTGAACTCACTGTGCAGGAGCATTTCTAACGTGTACATCAACAAGGATACGAAGACGAAGCTTGGTACTTATTCTGAGGAGAAGCATCGAATGTTTCTGCCGTCGAACGGCGACGAGAATGAGATGTTGTATTATTTTCCGAGGATACAGGAGAGGAAGTGCAGCAATTCGTCGAGTTTTTTGATGAGTAGAGGTTACAACAACGCGGGGTTGTACTCGGGGCAGAGCATCGAGAATCACCGGTATTTCTCGAGGAGTCGAGAAGTCGTGGGGAGCGATTGCAGGAGTTCCGGTAAATTGACCGATTATCCTTCGGGATTGTATTAGTTATTTCGAGGCTTGAATTATGGGATAAAGTTCACTTTATTTAAATGCATGACAATATTTGGGTGTAACAGTTTATTGCATTTATGGGATCACCTTGTACTTCATCAAAAGTTAATCAGTAAATTAGTATAATATAGGATTATTCAAGAAGTAGGTGTTATTTGTTAGGTTTATGTAAAATATATCTTTTGTATGAAAATTATTAAAAGGAATATTGTATGTGATAAATAAAATACGTATTTAAAATTAATAGTGTGGCGAAATTTGATTTGTACAGTTTTTGTAGGGGTTAACGTTTGTGCAATATCTAGAATTAAACAGATATCTGTGTAGGTATTCATTAAAATTATAATAAAATTCCAAATAATGCGAATATTTAGAGGTAATTAAGAACATATTTTGTAATAGAATTCCTTTGAGATCTCTACTGAAAATTCAGGGCTTTGAGTTGTTATGATCATATTATTAAATAGTATGTAAAAATTATCGAATGAATACAGAAAAATGTTGTTTCATTTCAAATACCCGAAAATATTAGTAAATTTTGATGGAAATGACAAACTTATAATGTAACATATTTATTCGTTTTATCTACATAATAGAACTATAATTTAAAAGGAAGAATTTAACAATGTTTAATTAGCGTAATTATGCATATCTATTTAATTTACGCAAGAATTTATGTGATAACAGAAACTCGCGTATATTCTAGAATAATTCTACTAAAAAAAGTGGCAAATATTCCATTCACTACTCGTACTTAACTCAATTGTAAAGGTTATAGAATTTCAATCGTTCCATTGAATTTTTCTAGAATATTAAGATTTTTTTTTCAATCATTTCATCGAGTTTGCTATCTATTGTTTCGTCGTTTACGACAGTGACAAAAGTACCTACTTTCCAACGTGTTGAACACCTTACTTTTTCTACGATTGCCCAATGATTGTAATCATCCAATTACAAAACTAAACTCTCGATCAATCTTTTAAATAGAGATTAAGTTTTCGATAACAAATTTTTAGGTAAAAATAGTTTTATAAATTTACAATAAAATTTACTCGTTGAAACATTTATAAGTAAATGTATGCAATTTTTTTCTTCGCTTTTTCACGCATATTATAACAGTTTAGTAATTAGAAATTGTTTGGATAAAATATATTTAGTTACTTACTAAATAAATAAAATATTTCTAGACTATTTAACTCTAATATCGGGTGTTTCATTAATAATAAATAGAGAAGTTTTGTTTGTTAATGAAACATCCTGTACAGGACGATCGAAATAAAATGTTTTATACAGGATAATTGTTAAATTTTATCACATGCTTTAATTTGCCAATAAAAAAATACTCGCCAACACATTTCCAATAACTCTTAGGTAAATTTTCTATCGAAATTATCTCATAAAACTCAATATTCTTCTACTGACAAATCTTCAACACACCCATAACAAGTACAATATCGCTTCTGTTGTTCGTATTTACAAATAAATCGGATAAAACTACTTGCTTTACGTTAGTTAATTGTTCATATAAAAATTCCTCATCGATGCATCATCTAGACATTTAACAAGTAAAATACTCTTCGGTCCCTTTTTATTTTTGAAAAAACCCGTCCATTGGCGAAATCCGTTCGATTCGCTCCCGGTAAAAACAGCTTAAAAAAGTGAGGGTCCCTCCATTGAAAGGTCACTCTGCGTTTACGATGTAAATCAGTAATTCTTTATTATTAAATTTATTTCTCCTATCTAGAGTATAGAATGAAAGAGAAGAAAGGCCAAAATCTAAATTACTAGGTATATAGGCATTGGTTTCGTTACCAATACATAAGTTTCATCAATACAACCTCGTTATATTTATACAGGGCCGCGACAATAATGCGTGCAAAACTCCCTGGATGATTGATATAATTCGTAATCGTTTGGAAGTTTCCCCTCAGTCAGGTCTAATCAGGACCTATAAGAACCTAGCATGATCACAATAAAAAAATTCATACATTATAATTTACCTATCATTCGTAAATTATACTATACTAAATTATAATGTATGATTTTTTTGTGGATGTGCTGGGATCACGAAGGTCTGTAAAATGCACACAACTTGACGCGGTCGTTTGTTTAATATATACAGGAAGGAATATTAAATTGAAAATTATATCACATTATTTAGTTGTGGATTATTCTTGGTCCAAATTAGGATTCAATATAAATATACAATTCGGTTTATGTACAATGCAACATCCTTTTTTCTCATGCACGGATATGTTCGAAAGTTCCCTTTTAGTATCTGAATCCCTAGGTATTTACAATTTACATGATTTTTTTATTTAAAATATAGCGATCTTTACGTTCAGTAGCATCGGCGAATTTTCATCGATATGACCACAAATGTTTATTTCGAATTAGATATGTTTCTACAATTGCGACAATCAAGAGAAAGAACTGAAATATTTTATATGATATGCTTCGATTACACGCATAAAATCTTTTTTTAATTAATTTCTACGTTCAAAAAATTGTTATTAAGACTTGGGTAAGTTTATACTGGATATTTTTGATACCCTTTTGTACATCTTTTTAATTTAATAGGCTATAGAAGATGCATCTCAAAACCACCCAGTCCAGATCGCCTCCGCTGCTGATTCGTTATTTCCAATAGATACAAAAAGAATCGATTAACAAGTAATTTCAAAATCGTTTTTAAATTAATTAAACACTTTCATCGCGTTCGATCGCTCGCCCGTGCTAATAGAACTACAAACATTATTGCTGCTCACAAATTTCGTATCACTCGCCGCAAAGTCTATCATCGATCTCCCGTTAAAAATTAGTAAAAAGTTTCGTTAACGCCCTAAGCGTCGGATTTGAGTGTGGTGGTGTAACACTGACCGGAGTCCTGGGCCAGGCTGACCCGGGTCGGCTGGGACGTCGGCGTCGCGACGGGCTCAAATTTTGGTTTGCCCATCAAAAACGCTGGATTTGATTCGAGACCAACCCCGTTTGGATTTAGGGACGACGTCACCCCTATCAATCCTGAAAAAACGGAACGTTTGGAGCGATTTTCGCCACTAGGAATCGGTACGTGACATGCCAGTAAATCTCTTTGTTCGGTATGTGTGTGATCTACCAGCTGCGGTATTTTTAAAGTAGGCTTTTCGAATGTTAAAATTAATGTTAAATTATACTATACAGCGTACTTTAATTATACCGTTTTTTTGATAGATTGTAGAAAGATAATTGTTCCAGTATGGGTCCCAGTTGGCGTGCATTAGAAGCTGATAGCGATTGGCAGCTTTCGGAAAATCGTGAGCACAATATTTTTGAATGTGCGGAAAAATGTAAAAATAGTGCACTTTGGTCTCCGAAATGTACGAATACACTTTAGAGAACTATATGCGGAAAAATCACAGAAAATATTGCTGGACCCAATTTGGAAAATCGAAATAAACACACCGTGTAGCCACAACATCAAATAGAAGAAATAGTAGTAGAAGAAGAAGAAAGATTTGTCTATAATTTTCCTATTTTATTCGCGATACAATTACTTGTATTAAAAAAATGGTAAATCCACTTCTTTAACACGCAAATATGCAACATAGAGAGTTCATCATTCATTTGCACATTCTCTAAACTAAATCAAAAAAATCTAAAGTTTACTAAAAAATGCACGTTATTCGCAAATCCAAACTGTTTGAGCAGCAATTCCACAACCTCGTTTGTGGATCTACGAATAAATAATTCCGGAAAATCGGTAGGGCAGGTAAACAGGGATTGACAGTGTTACAGTCGACATGCATTTTAAAAAGATTGTTTTATTTTTTTCGAAACGGTACATTCAGGAGCACGACGATTCGGTTTATTCATGCGTCAAAACGGTCAAAAGTTCACAGGAACGGTTTCGGAATAAACCAATTTGCTCCGTAATGCATTATAGCGAATGGAAATTCGTTTACTCCGAAACCGGGAAGAGTAATATCACAATTAATAGAATTTGTTTGTTTATACCCCTCGTACTATTCAACCGGTTCGTTACTTTTGGTACCATTTGATCTGAAATTGGAGGGACGTCGAATCTGATCTGCAAAAAATCCAAAATTCAAAATTCTGCAAAAAAAAAACGCACCGATTTGATTGCGTAGGAAGCAGCTAAAAGTAGAGAGAATATGTTTTACCGCATTAATTACAAAAATAGTGCGTTGTTAAACGATTTATCGCCGTCCAGCAAATCAATTGAGGTGCTTCCTGTCCACCGAAAACACTTTTCACCATTACAGGAATTTCATTATTGCGGCAATAAATATGAAACGCGGCCTCGCCGGAGCGATTCGCATCGCTGGAAAAATCCGCAACGATCGATACACGCCCGAATCGCACCCGATACGTACCCAATTTGGGCATCGGCGCGCCCATCATGTTCTCCTTCGGATTGTTCGATTTCGCCGCGTTCATCCGCCGGTTCTGCTCCATGGCCGTCGGCCCGCCGGGCGGCCCGCCCGCGGGCGTGCCCGTCTGCCCGGGAATCCGCGGCCCCCGCGTCGGCTCCACCGGCAACACCCTTCGCCTCTTCTTCGGAAGCTTCGCTCTCGCCTAAAATCAAACAAAAACACCACAAAGAAGCCTCCAGCGCTTTCGAAATCGGCTGGAAATACCTGCGTGTGGCTGTAATACATAGCGAAGTTGCTCACGATGACCGGCACGGGTAAAGCGATGGTGAGCACGCCGGCCAAAGCGCACAGAGCGCCCACGAACATCCCGATGTAAGTCTTAGGAACCATGTCTCCGTAGCCGACGGTGGTCATGGTGACCAGCGCCCACCACAGCCCGAGCGGTATGCTCTTGAAGTCGTTGTCGGGATTGGTCTGGATGCGCTCCGCGTAGTAGACCAGGCTGGCGAATATCACGATGCCCAGGACGAGGAAGAACACCAGCAGGGTGAGCTCCTTGGCGGAGGCGCGGAACGTCTGGATGAGGATCTTGAGGCCGGACGAGTGCCTGGTGAGCTTGAACAGCCGCATGATGCGTATGATGGAGAAGAACTCCATGATGTCGGCGTTGTCGACGTGCGACGCGAACCGGCGCAACAGCAGATCGATGTAGAAGCTGGCCGTCGCTATGTAGTCGATTATGTTCACCGATGAGTTTATGAATTCGCATTTGTTCGGGCTGGCTATGAACCTGCAACACGTCCACCATTTAGCTACATCGATTATAAGCAGCAGTGAAATTACCTGATTAGTATTTCGAAGGTGAACCAAGCGTTGCAGACGCATTCGATGTAGAAGAACGCTATGTGAGCATCGGTATCGATTTTATCCACGTAGTAATCGGTACCGTTCGTAGCCGTACGGACTTCCATTAGAACTAAAGACGGTACTTTCATGTCGGGATGGGTTTTCAAACAAAACGATAATATCGAAACGCATATGAAAAATACTGAAAGTACTCCTATCACCTACAACAAACGAAAGTAATCGAGTAGTACTAACGACGCGCTGGATAGTACTAAATATACCTTGGCTGCTGTCGAGGAATACGGTTCGTCGAACAACGACCAAATTTTCGGTTTGATTAATTGCCACCAGGACAACGTGCCCCTGAAGTAGTCCTCTTCGAAGCCGAACTTCCTCGCTATCTCCTCGTCGCTCGGCTTCTCCGTGTCCAGGTCCAGTCGATCCAACACGGCCAGCGTTTCCTGCGTGTCCCTGTGCTACAACCCACCACATAATTCCTGCATTTAGTAAACAGACACGAGCTTCGCCCAGCCTTCCCCAAATTAACGCAGCTTTTCCGACTCACTCCAGCCTCCTTCCAAACCTACTCAGGCTCTCCCAGACTCATCCAGACTCACTTAGCTTCTTCATGCACAGACTCATCCATCCTCCTGCTGGCGTTCAGGAATCAATCGCTCGCTCCGCCAGTTTCGTTTATTTATTTATTTCCCAAACCCAACGCGATTGTTCGAGTCGATTAAATTGTGCATGGCGTCTTCCATCGATTGTTAAAAAGCTTTTAGCGTCCGGGCCATCAATCTGTCGGTTTCGATAACGGGTGAAAGCCCGGTAAAAGCGCCTGCTTACCTGCGTGTAGGTCATCCAACAGCAGGGCTCCACCTGGTTGGCGTCGAGGCCCCAGAACTCGAGCTCCTCCTCGAAGAGCGGCCCGCAGACGTCGGAGGGATAGTGCAGCTTGCCCGTCCTGCAACAGGAATCGAACGCGGGATGTGTGATGATGCAAAATGATGATTCGCAAGCGGATCGCCCGGTCAAATTGAATTGCGAAGTTTCGCGCCCGTGGCGGAAACGCGCCTAACGAATGCGAGACGGGACCGGAACCGCCGCCGCGCCGCCCCTAATCCGGCGGGGGCGCCGATAAATGCGGAGCTTTCCTAAAAGTTAGATGTGTTCGGGAAAGTTTTCCGGCGAATACGCGGTCTGTCGGGACCCTGGCATGATATACAATCGTATTATATCAATCGAATTGTAACTGTGTTTGTGTAATATATTAGGAGTTTATAATAGTACTGTGAGGTTTTTAAAATTTCTTCGGTTTGACATTTATATTTATACAACTTTTATTAAGAAGATTTTTCTGATATCATCTACATTGTTTTCCATACTAATGAGCTTACAGTAGAAGTACTTTCAGCCTAAATGAGCTGCAATGGTTTGAGGAACACCCAAATAATTAACAATCTCCTGATTAAAATTAAAACCGCCCCAAAACTTCGTTAACGAAACCTTGCAAAAACCATATACGAAAAGTTTCGGTTATTAATTAAACCGCCGCGCTCGATTGGTTCGCTTGCAGTTTCCTTCCTCACCTATAGTAGTTCAAAACCTGCGCGAAGACGCCGGGATGCCGGTCGAAGAAGTACTCGTTCAATATGGGATCGTAATTGGCCAGCGCCTCGGTGAGCCTGGAGAGCCTCGTGGCGGGGATCTTCTTCAGCGTGGCCTTGTAGGTCTCGTGCCGGATGCCGCCGACGTTGAGGACGACGCGGTTCTCCGCGTCCATGTTACCTACATTCATTTCTGCAACAGAACGGAGGGCTGATGAATGCGGCGAGAGGGAGGGTCGAGGGATCGATGGGGGCGTTGCCCGTTCGGCCGGCAGAGGGAGCCTCTGGTCGGATCTCTCCCGGTCGATCGGCCTAACCTGATGGACATTCGAATCCAGATACTGGATGTTTTTTGATTCTAGCTAAACTAGGAGGAGTAAGAGTAAGGAATTATCGCTGGAGGGATGTATATTTCTCGCCCGGGGGATGGAATATCGCGGTAACGTGTGTAATGTATACGAGAATAAGCAGTTTAGTCGGTGAACGTCTCAGGTAATGCGGATCTGTTTAGGCAAACATGAAACGTAAACATCATAAAGAGCTTACTGCAACAGGCTTTCAGCGAGCACCTCGTAAATTACGTATTAAAAGGCGCCGGTTGACGGATTTCAATTTCGCAAATAACGCTCATAAGATATGCACGGTTCTCATCATAAATTCCACGCGTACACTGAAAAAAATTGTCCTAGTATCGCAATGCTTTTGCGAGAAAATTACTGTGAATATACCCATCGTAAATCTCATGGTTATTTATTTCATTTATTATAACATTTCGGCCACCGTTTTTCCAGTGTACATTTTCATGTGGGCTTTTTTTTTATTCTACAGGGTGTAGAATTCCCGAAAGTCCCCGGCGTGTCGCGTATAACTTTACTGGAGCGTTGACGTTGAAAAATGTGCTCTAAAATTTATTCGTGACGGCATTAAATTATACAGTGCCGGTCGAAAGTCCACCCATTCGCTTCGTTCGGTATGTAATTGGGGGAGTAATTCGATGGAAAATTCGTCGATGCGAAATTTATGATGGTTTTTTTATTAATATTAGGTTGTGTGTGGTACGTGATTTTATTAGCGATGGCCTGTCTTTGTTGGAATGGCTTACAATTTAATAAATTAAAGCGATATAAATCGTACAAGTACCTACCCTCATCGTATTAAATTTATTCGAGTTTGGTGAGGGTCTCTTCGTATTATATCAGGAGTTTTAGGTATCTCAATTACATGCTCGAATTTTCGTTTCGTATACAACTTTATAGGCTAGCGTTTTATAATAATATGTCGGATTTTGTGAATTTTTTAGTTCCACTCGAGTATTCCTTTTTACCGTACTCTACTCTTTATACAGAATTTTCATTTTCGCGCGGGTTTTCCTGCCTTTTAGCAATAATTTTCTCTCACGGCCTTTTCCATTTTGTCCAAACATCAGCTGGAATGAATCTGAATTTAATGAATTCCATCGAAATCCCGTTGTGATTTCTTTCCATCGGCGCGATTTCGAAACATCATTATTCCGGTGCAAGGGTTTTCAACAATTACGAAGCCATTAAGCGATTTTACGATGGTACTTTATGTGAACGCGATCGGTTATTACACTGCCTTTTCTTTGTTAACTTTGATGGATAGAACAGGAAATAAATTTTGATATACACCAGATATTGACTATTTAACATTCCCACGCGAAGATTAATGGCCACATTGGAGTCTGCTCTGATGGGCAGTTGTGATTTTCCACGTTATGTAATTAAATTTTCAAAAAATAACGAGGGTTAAAATAGTGCAATTACAAACTTAATAAACGCTCGCCGAAATTTCCTGACGACGAAAAAATTTAATTAAGTGCACAACAATCTCGACATTTATGAAATTTTAATTCGGAAACTTCCGCGAAAGTCTCCACGTTCTTGGGCCAGCATTAGCATGTTTACAAAAAAAAGCCTTCTTGACATCTTTAAGTATGCGAGAAAGTTTACTAAACGCTCTCGGACGCCCCCGAAAAACTTTCCAGATATGTACCAACTCGCGCTACCTCTCGAACGAAATTTTATTCCTCCAACTCCTCCGAATCCTAGCAGGAGTTTCCGCGGTTCCCGGGCTTATCATATTTACACCGCGCCAATTTGTTTGCCCGGAGTTTCGACCTCCCCGAATTTTCGACAGCTAATAATTGTTTATTTTCCAATTCTCGTCGCGAATTTCCTCCTCCGCGCGCCTATCGCGTATCGATTCCCGGCCTAATCCCCGCGATCGCGAATTCCACCGGCATTTCCTTCGCTATTAACCTATTTGATAATGTGGAATTGTAAACCCATCGATCCGGCGACGACGTCTCGCGCGGATTAGCCCCAATTTGAAGACAGCGCTGATGGGAAATGTCGCTTTATTTATGAAAAGCGGGTGCAGGTGTATGCGAATTTTCCGCGAGACGAGCGGTCGGGAAACGCCGAGTATCGATGAGCTCCTGGTGGTTAGAATGGATAGAGAGGATTCTGTGGTTAACGAGGAATGAGATGCTGGAGAATTGTAGCAATCGTTGAAGCAGTATATAGGAGGATTAAAGTGGTTTTATTGATTAAATTAATCGAAAAAAATGCGACTTGAACTTCACCCCCTGTATTCTGCATATATTTTTTTAAATTGTTGGTGCCTCTGTTGGTGAATTTAGGCGGACGCCGCTGTTGTAGCAAATGTGCGGATGCGCCGAGAGCGCGTTGCATATTTCATGCGCACTTTGTGCCTCAAAGGCGTGCAATTAAACATTTCATTGTTTCTAAGACTCGACTGTTGACTGTCATTCCGAATGGGTACTTTGTTTCGGATTTCACCCGGACTACAACCTTAATGACGCCGTAAATCTTTTACTAAACTCCTGCTAACGTTCCGTTTAACCAACGACCATTACCGAATCGTCTAATAGCGTTCTAAATGCGGGTATTTTTGCGCTCGAATGACCGCAATATTGACGAAATAAATGTCATTTGCGCGAACCTCCATTATGCCATACAGTTTGCCGGGAATTTCAGGAAATGATCCACCAGTAATCACATCAATGCGCCTCAACAAAGTTAAATAACCCGTGCACAAGGCGAGCTTCCGATGTGTCGAAGTTAAATAACTTGTCGGCATCCAGAATTCGGAATATCCAGACGCTGGATAATTTCAATTCGGACGTCTCACGTCGCCGAGACAATTTTATTTCCTTTCGCCTCGTTTCCGAGTCGACAACGATAATGAAGCTGGAAAAACTGGAAAATCGCGCCGTCGGATGGGAAATAGGCGAAAATCGAGCGGCGTCGAATCGGGCGAACGCGCCGGCCACGGTTTAATCGAATCCCCAGCCGAAGCCTCCGGCGAAATGTGCGGCGGCGTACGCGTATTGTATATTAAGTTGTCATCGTTCCAATTAATCGGCCGATAATCTGTTTGTGTGCGGCGAGAGGGGCGAAATCGACCGACTAATGTCTTAAATTGAGTGTAACACGTTCGAAATTACCGATTCATTACGGCTAATGGAATTCCTCGGAGCGAAATCGCGTCGAATTTGTTTATAGTTTCGTCGACAAGTTGGGCTCTTTTGATCCGCCTAGACGTTGAAATCCGACGTTAAAACCGGCCGAAGCGGCAGGAGTGACAGGGTATTGATTTCATATAGCGGCCTTTGCTTAACCACTTCGAGGATTACAATGTTTACCGAATTGACGGGCAGTTAACGCGAGATTACTCTAGAAAAAGAGGCGCTTGAATGCGCCATCTTGTATACAATTATTTACAATCGCTTTATCTGGGCTTCCCCCAATTCTGAACCAACGTTGAGCAAACGAAAAGAAAATTCGCTGTATAATTCCGGAGTTTATTTACGACGGTTTGACACTAAACAACTGTTGTAAGGAAGATGCTATTCTATTTTTCTATAGACGTCAATAGACAATCAATCTTCTCGATCATTGCGCGATAAAATCCAATTTATCACCAATATTGTTAGACCGTTTTCTTCCATTCGCTTTTCGACTTTATCGAGGCCCAAGTGGCCTATAGGGGATACTACTAATCTTATCCTTAACTTGTCGTGTAAGTCAGATAGTTACACGATATAATATATTGTTAGTGTTATGTACACGAAGAAAAAGAAATTGATTCACGTATTGAAGAAATTTTAATTTATCCAGATTTCGTAACAAAAGGCAATCCAGGGCGGAATGGTTGATTGTGTAATTATTAATTGATTGATTAATTACAAACTTGGAAATCGGTCGATAAAAAATTAACCGGTCATTAATACATTCATCAATCATCGGACACGTCCTAATTTACTTGAAACTTTCGGTGGGGAAATAAACGATCGATTGGAAATTCCCTTGTATTATTTATCGCATCAAATTTGTAAACATTCCCGAAAATTAAAAAAAAAAAACGAGCAAAAAGCGCTGCTGCCGCTGAAAGCCCGATAGAAGCCGGCTTTGTAAAGCTCTAATTCGGCGTTGTTTTTCTCGTGGAAAGTTTCTTGTTCTAATGGAAACTGGGAATATCGTTAAGAAACGGCGGTTTGTAAGTTACAGCGGTTTATTAATTCAATTAATAAGTTTTCCATTCCGGCGTATTGTACTCCTTAAATGCACTCCCATGGAAATTCCCAACCAATGTTCAAACAACCCCGCAAAAAGTAATAATTCTTTTTACCCAAAGCGTCATTACATTCAAAAAAAAAGTTATCGCTATTGCGACCGTTATTTACACGCCTCGCTATAGTATATACCCCTAATCTTTTTTACTCCCTTTCCAAAGGATATATAAAAGCTTTATCTTTTCATTTACAAGCACTTACTTAATGAGAAAATCGTCTGGATCGCTTAATGAGACAACGCAAAAAAATACAACCGTTTGTGTGATGGATTGGGAATCCTCTTGAAATTATACCCGGCGGCACTAATTTAGTTTATTAGTTTTGAAATCTTATAGAGACCTCTTCGATATTAATTTTTTTATATAACTTATAGAAACCTTGCTTTTAATATTAGTTTCCTTATTAAAAACCTCATGGCACACAAAAGAGACCTTACAGAGCCTTTTTTCATATTAGTTTCCTTCTAAAAACCTTACAGAAAGCCTTATAGAGCCCATTTCGATATTAGTTTCCTAATAGAGACCTGATAGAAACCTTTCCGATATCAAATTCCTCATAGAGCTCAGTAGTATATA